TCCATCGATACCTAATTGTACGAAAAAATACATTCAGAATTAAAATGTCCCGAATAACTCGACCACATCGTACATGAAACTCTGCCCATCAGTGAGATTCGAGGACAACGCCCAAGAGACGAAATTACCGAGTAGAGGTATCTTTACGTAATTATACGTCTTGACGGAGCGCCGTGCCCGGAAAGCGTCGCGTCGTTTAATAGAGATGCCTTTGATAATATTATCTTAATAGAATTCCCCGTGCTCTTCATAGCTGATTGAGCATCATTAGCGTCAAAAGTGAGAAAGCAGATGGCTTTCCTAATTATCGGACCTTTTTTTTCTCGAAAATTTAAGAGGCACGTTATGCAGTATGGATGGAAAAACTGCGATTTTTTATTATTTGGTAAATACATCTCACCTCGATATTTAACGTAATATAATCTGCAATATCATCATCAAAAATGTAGATAAATTATTAAAAATTATTGACATATCTTTAAAAATTATTGACAAAAATATCTACATATGTATTTACAAAAAAAATCCTGTTAAATTTGACCTGTAGTGGAAATGACTTTTGCCCAACACGTATCTACAGTTGTAGATAAAACGATTTATTTCATCGAAATCAATCACGGCCTCGACCAAATTTTTTTATTGTTTTATCCCTCCAATGTGCAATCTTTCCAAACATCGTTTCGCGCCATCGACACAGACCGATGCACAGAAAAAAAAACTATTGGAGCCTCTGCCGGAGTTTCCGGAGTCCAGATTTCTCGACGACGATGACTACGCCTCAGAGATTACGCAAAAAGCTTTCCCCACGGTCGCAGAAGTTACTGATTCCCTCTCGTCCTCTCCGCCGATCGATGGATTGGTTTTCGGTAATCCTTCTCCGAGTTTTCCCACGCTATGGCGAAACGTTAAAACAGCTTATAATTCATCAGTTACAGTGCCGTAAAAGTTGTTAGAGCACTTTTTTAATCCACAAGATAGAAATGCGAAACTACCTAAATTATTAATACCTAAACCTACATATTTTTTGGAATAATGAATATAATTAAATAACTTGTATATCTAATAACATCTAGTAACTCTTTCTTGTTTTATTATTTTATGAGGATATCTAAAAATCGCTTATTGAGGCTTCGAAAACTAATTGTTATTGGTTGAATGTGACCGCACTATAACGCCTTCAATTTGCGTTAAAAGTGGGGTAATCTTATACAACTCTTGAAGTTGGGGTTTTCGAGTGAATTATATTAGGGGTTGTTGTAAACAAAATTACGAAGCCCCCGGCAAATTGTTTGCTCTTACCGAAGTGATATTTGGTTTAAGACAAATATTTTGCAGGTCCCTTTAAATTATTGATTCTCAGCGAGGTTTTTGTTTACTACGTTAAATTAGTTTTCCGGGGACTTTTAAATGAAAAAAGCGAGCTATAGAGAAGTTTGCCTATTTGCTACACATAAGTATGGTATTCATGAGATTGTTATATGTCAGAATCTTGTTAATAGGTCAATTCATCGTGCCGGAGATTTTCTCCTTGAACGTCTGCCCTTTAGCTTTATTTCGATAATAAATTTTCTCCTGTTCTTCCCGCTACGTGCTCAAATTATTCCTCGTGTAAACTGATTCTCCTTGTTAGCCGATTGTTAATTTTCAAGCATTTAATTTTAATTTATTTATTAGAAACACTCCTGCATCAGATATTTCAATTTAAACGTTTTCAATTTATGAAGTAGATACAATTTTATTGTAATAAAACGTTCAGTTGGTTTAGATGTAGGTAATATAAAAATAAATGTAGATATTCAAAATAAATATATGGATACGCGGCAGACGTTTTATGCCTACCTACATAAAAGCGATCATTGTATAATAATAATAAAACGGTAGGTACTACTATTTCATGCGACCTTTAAAACGAGGAACGTATTTCGGAATGATACCAGTTCAATACGTCTGGTAAAAATTGGATTATAAAGCCTCCCTGTATTCTCATAGTCGCCTCAGACGCTTATTTCCGCTGTCTCGGGCTTTTTATATCCCTCTGCCGTCTTAGATTTGTGAAAATTGAACTAGGACATGCAATATTCCACGTATTGCTTTTATGCCTCTCTTTACCATAGCTGTACCACAACTCTTTGCTAGTGCGCTACATTAAATAATTAAAGAACATCCGGCAATGCAGTTTGGAACTAAGGACTAAAATTATTAACAAATTACCTACGTTTACCAACACGAAACAAAGACGTCAAATTTTTTTGTTGAAATACCAAAAATTGTTTAATAAATAGATGCACTCAAAACAAGAAGAGTATATTTGAATCGCAAACGTCCGAGTAGAGTTAATAAAGCGATGGAAAATGTAAAACGCCACCGCTGAAAACATAACTTCGAATCCACCGCATACTCAACCGCATGCTAGGAATATGCAACATTTTAAAATGGTTATCAGATCACAAGGAAGTCTACGTGCTGCGCAATGATGTAGTTATTCGCAATTTTCCGCCAGAAAGAAAATTTCTAACATAACGAACCGATTATCGCAGACAAATAGTGGGTGTTTTTATTCGCGGATTTATGGTTTGTCCCAAATAATATTAGCTTTTTATTGTTGCGTTTAAGAGTTATGATAGAATTATTGGTTGTTAGCGGTTGAGAGTTGATCTATGATTCCAGATATAAACAAAAGACCGCAATTGATGGGCTCTATAATAACAGATTAAATCTGAGTTGAGCTGCCAAAAATTATTGGGCGATAAATTCGACCTCTCTCGATGCTATCCCGACCCGTTTGACGGATGCGCGTTTTTACGGGAACAAGATAAACACGGATGGTAGATGTGTCGTTGATTTATTTGGTGTTAACTAAACAAAAAAATAGGAAAAGGGGAATTGACTAAATTGATTTTCAGTCGGATGTTCAACGTGTGTTGTTTATGACAAAAAGGGGTGAAATAATTTGGGTGTTTTAACAAATAATACTCGTAATTAAGTTACTTTATTGAACACTAGTCTGGAAAACTGTTATCTCTTAACTAAACATGACTACAATAAACAAAGGTTAACAGAATAATCCTTGCTTAAATTTTTAGTAATGCAAATGGAAAACGCTGCTAACAAAAGAAACATTAAATTAACTACATAAAAGAGGGAATATGTATTGTTACAGAAAATTTAATTAGTCGAAATGATATTTCAACATGGACTTTTCTTTACGATTAGTCCACGATTTAAGTATGATTGTAAAAAAGTTTTGCAATTAAACTCGAATTGCTGTCATGGATTTTTCGTTGAAAGCAATTAAATTCAGAAAATTCTGAATTTTCTGTTTGAAATAAATTCAATGTGAACGAACCGGCGAAGAATAACTGCAATGACGGTAAATAGAAATCGAGCTGAGGTTAAAAGAATTTTTTGTTTGCCGAGTCGACTTCGGTTTTAATTTCCGATCTTTAGACCATTAGGTAGGTATTATTGTAATACAAAATGCACGTTTGCTCTAAAATAGTAATTAAAGAGCATATTAATTTGATATCGAACATGTGCTTGACTTTCATTGTCCGACCTATCAATTTAGAACGCCTCTCAAACGTATTGTCTGAACGATTTACTAATTAATGTCAGGAACTTCCCTTCCCTATTACCCAAAGCTCTTATATTTTTTTCGCCGACCAACAAAGTTTCAAGTCCTTTTTTTCCTGCTTCATCGGAAAGTTATGGCGTTGCGAACGAATTCGAAGATCACGTTTCCCGGAAACTTGCCTGGAAAAAAATCATCGTAGTTCTCTAGACTCGAAATTCAATTATATACCCGGATTTATAAATGTATGTTTTAATTGATGGCATATCCAACGGAAACCTATACGTGTAGGAATAAACATTATTCAATAGGGAAGTTTCTGTTATTTCTATTTTGTTGTTTAATTCGATTCGAATTGGATACTTTGTCAAAATCTGATTTAAACCGTAAACTTCCGGGCTGGCGCTGATGGGGGATACAATGAGGGTGGAACAACCACCTTGTTACGTGCTTGGATTTCCAAATAACATGCCGGTTGATCGCAATAATGCTACATGGTGCTCGCGGTTGACTACACTTGATATTATCAACAATTTATTTAATATTAGAACGAGCAGAAAATTTAAAAAACCAAAACATGTTCTCGGGACCACAAAAATTGTGTTTAAAGTGAGTTTATAAATGAAATTCATGACTTATTCACTTCTTTATGTAGATAGTGAACAGTTGATACCAACCGGCGCGCCATTTATATTACTGAAAAAGACCGATTTCTCTAATTTCGCAACAATGGCTATGATTAATGGTGTAGTCGGGACGTCGTCTTAATTGTTGCTGGTCTTTCTTAACCTGCTACTTCGGGACAGGGCTGCCAACAAACACTTACAGCAGATAAATGGCCCTTTGTACTTCCCATCATTATATCATTTTAGGGGATTTCCTTGTATTCGATGACAGATTTCATGTGGGAAAACAAGGCAACGAATTAGGGGAATAACCAATATTGATTTGTTGTATACACACTGTTAAACTGCCTATAACAATACTCGAATGTAATGTATTGGAGAGTAAGATGAGCATAAAAAAACATAGGAAATCATCGAAAAAATCGAGATTCAAGGCAAATGGAAAGTTATTTATTTTATTGTGTAGTTTTTTTTTTGATTCCAACTATATTACATATAAAAAATGTATCGCTTTTATAGGTACGACTACTTGAATTTTTCATTTCTCTATAATATTGGAATGTTACTAGCAAATTGGAATTTTTGCTTTGACAATGATAGATCTTGTATACTCCAATTATGTGAATTCTTCCTCATATTCTGATCGAAAAAACATATAAAAATTGTGACCCAGACGATATTTTTTTACCAATAAATTTCAGTAACAAAATTACTATCAGGATCAATCGGTTCCCTAGTAAAATGGAAATTCTCTTTTAAACAACAAAATATAAACGAAATAAATTTATTTTTTTATAACATGCCCTTTTTAATTATAATACGGATACAATTTGAAATCAGTAACCTTTTCTCCATCAATATAAAGGTATAAATCACAGCATTTTGTACATAGAAAAGTCCTTTCTTGCGGGAATTTCTCGCAACGAAACACCATCCATTCCGATGGCCTCTTCGCGCATAAGAAGCAAAGAATATTAGACTCCCGATTAGAAGACACAATTCTAGGATAATTCGACCTGATGTTATCTCTTTTCAAAACGAGACGAGCATCAGAAAACGAGAAAATGTGTTCGCAATTTCCTTGATGAATATAGACATATGGGTAACCCAATCGAGGAGATAAACTCGATAGAAGTGTCTAAAAGAGAGAAATATTATAAATTGAAATATAACACAGCATATATCTAGTACTTCTTCCATTTTAGCGGTAGTAAACACTCCAATATCTTTTTCTTTTGCCCACTTTATTACTTCTTTTGATAAATCTGTAGAATTCGGTACTCTTGTATCATTATAAAAAACACCATCTATAAATACTGTTTGTGCTGGATACCATTTCTGCAATACAAATATTCATATACTTCGTGAATATTATGAATGTGTTTGAACAAACTTTAGCGTTTTGAAATTCACTCAAATCTGCATCTGTATTTTCTACTTCCTTAATGATAGCTAAATTACTCGCACAATCAATAATATCAACGACCTCAGAGAGCTTATTACTACCGATAGCTTCAATTTCATAAGCAAATCTCAACTTTTCCGATGAATACTTATTGCCTTGCTCAATACTTCTTGGTTGATATATCAAAATTGAAAGAATGTAATCACTATAAGGTTTCACTGGATTTGATTCATAGTCAAGTGAATCATTTTCCTAAAATATCAAAAAAAAACTGTATTATATTTAAGAAAAAAAGATTGCTAATTTTAATCCCTTACAATACTTGATTTGAAAGTTCTTTTGGAAGGAAATGTAATTTCTGTAGAATCCCTTTTCTTGTCTAAGCCCTCTTTCGCTTGTACAACGTTCAATTCACGAGCCTTAGGAGTGATGGGATAGTAGTGGTCAAATTTGGTTTTCGAATGCATTTTGTCGGGCATATCTATTGGAACATTAGGTGGTTCATTTGATAATGTTAAACTGTTGGGGCTGAAAAATTGTAGATGTAGTAATAGTCATTTTACTATCAGGAATATACTTACTTACAAAGAGTTTCTAAATCATTAAAATTTGAAAGTGGTCCTTCGCCAATAAATTCAACAAGATTGTCATGAACGTTATTGAGAGGAGCAGGACAAATATCACTGTATTTCTTGAAGTATTGATTAAAATTAATCCTTTCTGAAGCACGAAAGCCACTGACTTCATAAATTTTCTCCATAATGTACTTGTGCCCTATCTGAGTATTGATTTATTAGAAATATCAAGAAGTTAAGCCAAATAAAATTAATATTTCACTCACTATTAGGTTATGAATATTTGTTTTTGTTATGACAGAAATGCCAATGTCCAACATGTCAATGTCAAAGTTTTAAACACAAAACATACAAAGCAGAAGCAAAAGCTATCGTGCGAAATTTGTGTTTTGTATTTGACAATGGATGAATCGATTATTTTTATCATTAAAACAATTTGTTTAGAAATTAAATTATAAAAAACACCTTTTAGTTTTACCATCCATCCATTATTACAATAACCAATTCAATATGAAGATATTTTATAGATATTTAGAAAGAAAATATTTTTATATTTTATGACATATAACGTCTGCTTAGGCAACCAGTTTTACGTTAGCATTATAATGCGCTCTCCAAAGCAATTAGTTTATCATTATTTATTGTAAATTCAGCTGGATAATTTATAATCATTAAAAATGATGTTAAATAGCGCTGAATTATGATTTATAACGGTACTTTTGTTTTCACTATCTTGATGTCGGAATTATTATAAAGCTGTGTAGGTGTATAAATGCGATCAACCAGAGCCGTAGTTTGCGGTATTAAATTTATTTTAAATTGATATAACATCCATGAATTGTAAAATTATCCATGTGAGCCGTATTATATCATTCTGTATGTTACTAAATTGATAGAAGGAAAGAAGAAAGTGGTTTATCATGATTAATACTAAGAAGAATAGAACAAAAAAATGGTATAAGATATCTATGGACGAAAACCTGATAACCTGATATAGGAAAAATATTTCAAATATTATAAAAAATGGATTAACTGATCTAAAATTTAGTAAGATGGTAATATCTTTATTGAATGGTTAAATAAAATGTACTAACGTCTTTTAAAGCAAATGGATCTATTATTGAGACAAATGTCGATAAATGGAATTATTTTATTGCATTAGATGAATGTGTAAAGTCGTTAAGCAATTAGCAGTTAAGCATTTTTCAATGTTTAAATTATCTATAATATCTATATAAAACTTGGACTGAGTTTTTATGGTCCGTTAATAATCAAACTTACTTATTTGTAATAAAATTTTAATGCTTTGTTATATTTTAATAGTTCATTAATTAACGATACGGTTGGGAGAAGCAATAAAAATTAACGCGGGCAGCAACAATGGCAAAAACAAGCAATAAGTACCTACATAAAGTAATTCCATAGGACACAATAGAGTGAAAACGGAGATAATAAGATCATATCGAGATTTCCTTGTATCTACGCCATTGCGTGCATTTTCCGGATCGTCGTCGGAGTTGCGAGCTACGAATTTGTACTAGTCTAACCGTTTTATTTATGCCTTTTTGAGACGAATCCAAGGTCCCGCATCGGCCGCAACTATAAACTGAAAATGGTAAGTGGGATGAAAATTATACGGAACTATAATTTTCATATTGCATCAACGACCAATTTCTTTCAAGGTCCACAAACGAATTCTAATGTGATTCTGTCATCGAAAAAATGGAGACAATTTTATTTGGAACGGGAATGTTTGCGTAGGAAGGTGCGTTTTTTATCGCAAATGCCTCACTGTTTGCTTTGCCTATAGAATTCTATCAAAAAAATGCTTATGGGGTGCATATAAATGGGGAGTTGCGCAAAATACATCTACATTTTTTCACTTGTAAAAATTACCTTTGATTTCCAGACCTTGATGCATCTTATGCATTTTTGCAATTTTAATATTGAAAAAGTATCGAAAGTAAACGATGTTAATCGTTTAGGCGTAGAACTCTAATTAATTGTAGTGATAAATCAGCTGATTGCATTTACCTACAAATGTGATAATGATGATATTCTAATAATCAGGTTACGCATACAAACATGATTTTTTCAAAATTATGCAATCGATGCTTGCTTAGCACCGTTTGCATTCTAATCACAAGATTGCAGGTGTTTATGGTATGGTTGTTTCGAATCCTTCTTTATAAACAAGAGCTTTACGATATTTACCAAACTGGCTTACAATAAACAAAAGGTGTATTCGGGCAAAGCCGAATTTTCGAATTATACAAAAATCATTCGATAAAAATGTCTATATTCTACATTCGATCGCGAAATCAAAACATTCCAGGAAGGTTACTCCTTATCCTAGTTTATTTAACATTCGATCTAATTATAAATAGATATTTTTCGTATTACCTTAATACACAATGATAACACTCAGCCAAATGATAAATTAACAAATTCTTTACAAGTTTTAATACAGTAATTAAAAATTAATTAATCAGGCAAGTTGTAAGTTGTAAATTGTGAATATGACACACCGCGGGAAAGTACATAATTAATTCATCTATTAATTTTGAATTTAAACGCTAGCTTTGCTGCCGACGTACATTAGGCCTTTCTTCTTCTGTGCTTTGAGTTACGCAACTCCAAAGTATGAAAAGTAAGTACTAATTTACACGAAATATAACAACCGTTTTTGGAATACTTTTCACTCATAGCCAATAGTGAAGAGCTTTATGGTAGGTATATCAGATAATCGAGAAAAAAGATTCTTTTAACACCACGGATTGTATTATTTACCTAACTTGCAGCTTGTAGATGCTATCCACCTTTTTTCTAAAAAATAGTCATTTTCAATTATTTGAATGAAGTAGGAGCAAATTTTTTCGTTTTAATAAATTTAAATTTGAATAAGCACATATTCGAATTCACAAAATCCTTCTTTCTAATGATAATGTAGGCATAGTGAATAGGCCGAATTGTGTGAACATAGTTACTGGCGACCTTCACAGAATTACAGAAGAATGTTAATGAATAAGTTGTGGCCTTTTTGATAAGAATATTCCTGATTGTGTGTGAGTGTATGTGTGTGTGTAATAACGTGTGTCGGTGACTGTGGTGGATTTAAATCCCTCTTTTTCAATGAAACAAATTCGGTAATTGGCTCGTTACATACTCTATTCATTTTTATTTTTTTCAGCGGGCGTTAAATCTTATGTCATGCCGATCTAATGAAAATGCCGCAATCCATGAAAATTTCTCTACAAGGTGGAGATTTCCTCTAATACCCATTTTTTTTAAAATAAAACACATTACCTTTTTGGGTTTACTTTTTTTGTAGAAATGTCATACTTATTTAAGAAAAATGTATTGTAGAGTAGCTAATACAAAGATCGTTTAAAGGAAACAAATTTGTTTTTAACTAAACTAGATAATTATTAGTTTAAGATTAAAAAGTTTGCTAACTGTTTTATAAATGGAAAAGTAATGAATTACAAAAAATAGCCTATTGTACTTCATTCACTATTCCTTACATTACTCCTATGCCAAGATCTTAATTTATTAGAAAATAGCAAAGAATATAATTCTCTACAGTAAATCCTTCATCAATTAAACGCTCCTCCAACGTTCCGCAAAGCAGAGAACAATTAGTATTAACTACAGTAACTATATTATGAAATAAATATGTACGATGCGCGCATGTTGTGCATGCAGGAAAAGAAGAATGGAACCGACGAAAAGATTAACTTAACATAAACTTAACTTATGCTTAGTCCGTGGTCCATTAGCAGAGCACACAGTCGCATCCCGACATCCTCAGCGAACGCAGCCGCACACACATACACACATAAACAACTCGCACACTTCGGCTCCGGGATAAAAAGAAGAGTTGCATTCTGTATTGTACAGGCTCCGCGAGTGCTTCAGGTAAACAAACAATTCGCGTTTTTCCTTCAATCAGACTTGCTGTCGAGAAGTTGCCGCGGAAAATGTGGTAGTGTTCGATCGGAGTTGGGTAGTTTTCCGAGGAAAATTTTTGGTAGGTAGACGAGCATGATGTTGATAGTGTGGAAGTTCAAGTGATTGTTATAGAAAGTCGGTTGTAATAAATCCATTAATAATTTGTATCAAAACGTAAGGAAGAGTAATGGCAAAGTTGAGAACAACCTTCGGGTTGAAAACGTGTAGGAACGGATGCCGTTCGATAAATACATCTGCAAAATGCCCGGAAAAAGATAAAAATTGTGTTTGATACACTTTTTCACTACGAAATGATACCGATTTATCTATTATTGTAAATTGAAATGTTAATAAATTCATTCATCCTAAATTATGAGGAAATTATAAAAAAATACAATTAGTGACCTCAATACAAGGATTGAAAGAAGAGTCTCTTTGGTTATAAAGTTAACATTAGGAATAATATATCCTATTAACATTCCTTAATCAATAAAGAATTAAAGAATTTTCATTGCTCCAATTCTGAATCCTCATTATGCAATTTAACATCCAGGTGCAATTCATGCAAAAAGCAAGAACTTAATAACCTCTGAAAAATAAATTTAAACACCAATAAAGTTTTTATGAAAATATTCATGCGATTCGAACGAATTTGAAAATTGCTATTTTCTAGCCTTCTAGCATATAGTAGAACAATTAATCAAAACGCGCTAGATATCAATTGCAAGTATTTGACCCACAACTCAGGCACACACACAATTTATTAACCCCATTAATTAGTTAATCAATTAGAAGCACTTATAATGTTTACTACAAGACGGTTAATATACAGGATGTTTCAATAATGGTGATGAATTTCCGGAAGACAAAACTTTACTTCTGCTTGATTCTTCATTCTTCATTTAGTTGATTATCTTTCCGATCTTCACTAATGAATAAGGAACCAATTTTAAAATAATTTTTACTCTTGGACAGTATTTTAGTACCAATTTTGTTTTGTTGCAGTTCCACAGACTGGGGAAGGCTCCTCGAGAGCCGAAACGAGGACGGGCGATGATTTTAGAAAAAATCGTGTTAGTGGTATGTTTCCTCGCGACCAACATAGAAGCTAGCAGACATAGAAATCTACATATAGATAGATCACATAACGTCACAGCGGATCTTCACCATATTCCACCAGGAGGGTATGTATCCCAATGATTTACGATTTTGCAATAAAAATAGTTCAATTAAAAATAGGATGGGAAGAGAAGATTTCGACTATATTAGATGCATAAATAAAAGAACCATAAATGAAACAGATTTAGAGTAAACTACCTTTGTTAGTATTTCCATTTAATGATAAATTTTAAAGAGTCAGTCAGTCAGTTTATGTTATTCAAAAGCTTAAACCACCTAACAAGCATTGTCAATTAGGCAGATATATCTAACTTTAACTTCTACTAAACAGTCAGAATTTGATAATCATCTAATGTTGCCAACAGCTGTGTATACAGGGTATTACCATCATTTATTTATTATTAGCTCCTGCAATTAGTAATTAATCATAAACAATAATGAGCTTCTCTTCATCCTTGTTCTATTTTATTTATTTAGAATGGTTGTGACAAGATATCTTTTAACTTCTTTACAAGGTTTCCTCCTTAATAAAGATACCTGGGTATTCAAACATCCTATATTATTAGTATCCCACTACATTTGAATTAATTTATGTAATCGTAAAAGCACATTTTGATTTGCGAAACATGCTATTTAAACACGAATTCATATGGAAATGGAGACAATCTCGCCAAGCTCTTTCACCCTGTAATCTTTATCTTCAATCAGTTTTTCGGATTCCGATACAAAGAGACACGGTTGTCGACACTTTGGGCGCACAAGTGGTTAAACACGTTTACAAGATATCACTTATCTCCTGTCGTAAATCACAAACGGAGAGAAACAATAACGAGGTGTCTAAGGGCAATTAGCGTAATCTGAAATAGCCTTTTTATTAGTTCCTTTGAAGTCGACATTTAGAATTCACGTTTTTACCTTAATATCCATAATTTACATATTCACATATTTATACCCAGTTCTTTCAAAATAGATATGTTTACATACATATGTATGTAGATATTCATACTTATTTTCTAACTGCCTTAGGATGAGGAATAGGGGTTAAAATAGTTTCCTGCTATTACTATCGCATCTTCAAACCCATATTTTTTACTATAGGTATAAGTTTAATATTTTATAAGTCTCAGATTTCCCGATTAATTTTTTTTAATCCACCCGATCCCTTAAGTGTATCATATTGCAGTGAGGCTGTCGTTATTTACGAGTGTATTAAAACTTTTTACGGTTAGAAGCGTGTAGAATTAAAATTTTATCTGAGTTACAACATTACCATTGATAGCCCGAGCCGGCTTAATAATTTATGTAAATTTTTTAGCGCCACTCTGCCACTCAGGCTTTTATTCACTCTTTGGGCATAGGTATCTTCGGTATTACCATAATCTTTGTAATAAAGTTATCCACTATGTGGACTACCAGCGGCGCGCCATAATTTATTTCTTAATCAAATAATGCTTAATTAAAGGCAAATGCAAATTATAATTAGAACAGCGAATTTTTATTGAACCGCCTATGCTTCTCTTATTTCCCATAAATAGAATCGAACAGCTTCTTAGTCCATCAAGCCCAGCATATCCCTTACTTGATATGCATATATTTCATATTTCTCATCTATGCCAAATAAAAAACCCTACATGGTGTTTACATATCCAGTTCAGCGACAACTTGATGGATTGACAGTATCAAAAGTAATAAAGAGATGGCGAGATGTACGCCAATCTAATTTGTAAGAGTACTTGAAACGTAAATGCGAATATGCTAATGCGAACGGGATGAAATAAATCAGAGAGATTCGCCGACTTTAGATAAGCAATCGCTGCGATGGAATAGGAGCCACTGGTTTTAAATATCGCCGCAGACGATGTTCATTTTATATTGATCGTTGTAATTTTATTGAAAGACAAATAAATTAACATCTCGGTTTATCAAAATACATGAAAAATTACGAAACACCCGTGTTTAAATTATTACTTTTACGCTATCTGAGGTGTATCAACTAAATCGTGTTATACGGGGGTGTGGAGGCATCAGAACCGATTAAAAAAGCCCGCCTGTTTTAATTTACTTTAATCCTTTTTGATCTAATAACAACTTATGTATGTGCATATTAAAAAGTATGATGTAAGATTTCTTTGTCTAATACGGCCGATGTAATTTACTGACACAACGTTGATGGTCTAATGGTCATTATCCCATTTCCTATTCGCAAAATGTTAGAATACATCACAATTACCCGCGATGTAGGTGTAGGTGTTTGTGACCTACTGAGGAAACAATTTTTTAAATTAGACGTCTCGCTAGATCGTTGTTCAAAAAATATATTCATGGTCCAGAAATAGATTCGTAATGTGGATAGATATCAATCGAATTAAACAATTTCTCATCTGAAGCACTATTATTATCTACATATTGCATGAAACTAGCGTAAAAATGGTCAAGTTACTCAATGTTTACAAATTTTAATATTTCAAGATCAATAAAAGTTCTGGGGTCATCAATTATCGTTTATCATCGAAATTGAACATGTGCTTTTGAATTTACATTGTAAAAAGGAATTTATCTACTATACGTTTGATAACACTTGACTTGTATTTGCACTTATTTTGAGGAAGTTAATCCGAATTTGATATTCCACAAACTTTGAATTCTATTTATACCTTACAATAAGTATTTAATTGCTTAAAAAGCATTTGGAAACTGCATTAATGATTTTATTTCATCGCCATCTCATTGAATGATTGAAGAATGTGTTACGTTCTAGTGGTTGTATTATTTTCATGAAAATATGCGGATATTTTTATTTATTTTTATAAAAACTTCTGTATAAACAAGCTGTCTAATAATTATAAGCTCATTAATTATTAATAGTATGCAATGGTTTCAAAGCTATTATAATTCTTAGAACGATATAAAAAGCACGGTGAAATCTTTGATATGCAGAAGTGATAAAGATAAGATGTTTTTAGTAAACTATCCTTATTTTAAAATTTTTAAGGCTTAACAGTAAAATTCCGCTTTCACTGAACAGAAAATTACTGTACGAAATCTGAGTGAATAATTACCGTTCATATATTACCATTATGCACTATATTGTTTTGCAAAGAGCTCATCAACTTTGATAAATAAGTTACAAATTCCATTCCGGTTTCAAACGGCATTATTGTCGTAATTTCTTTTAAAAATCAGTCACAATAGAGGATGCAAATGTGAAAGAGAACACTCCTACTTCAATATCCTAACGAGATAACTAAAGTATTCATCAAAGCGATACTTCGACGAGATAATACGGCGTGACTGGTGCATTTTTTCCGATGCAGACATATCGTCTGCCAATAGCAATGTTGTAGGTACAAAAACTTTTTTCAAAATCTTAGAAATATTTTAGTATTTACGTTGATAATATGGGAGAAATATTTGCTATTAATAATTTGCCAAACATCTTTTATCTGCCCTTGCACTCGAAACTTTTGCATGTATTCTAATTAAAATAAATAAGTAATTTTAAATTAACTATATTTTTGATTCTACTACAGGCAGGATGAAGCTATAATCGAAATGTCAGCGGGTTGTATTTGAAGTAATGAATTTATGGCCATAAGGTGTGCATACATTAATAAAAACGATAGTTAAAAAGTTCATTCACGTTCTCCCACAATCTATTCTAGTTATACTGGAATTATTAATATTAAACGACCCTTAGATGCCTTTAAAATCTATTTGTGCAGCGGAGAAATTACATGTATGTATGTTTGCAAGTGCGTTCATTGGAAAATCGAATCGATATCAAGTGCAAGGATCCAAAAAACGTGTAGGTAATGCTATTAAAGTTCACCTAGTTTTCAAAGAACTCTTATCATCTTGGCTGTAACTATAAAATCTTTAAGACATTAGTGATAAAATAGCCATAAATAATCTCGGAGGTTATTCAGTTCATTGTTACCTCTTTATTAATTGTTTTTGGTGAGTCGTTATTTGAATTCTTGTTAAGCACGAACGTTTAGGACTCGGCTAATTTAAATATTTTAGATCATGCACAAATATGCATTCTCTATGGCTAATAATTAGAATTAGAGCTATTATTTTGAATGAACTTTTTTTAACCAACAAAATTAATTTTTTGCAGAAAATTTTACCTTTTGGAATAAACTTAATATTTCTATTTTGTTAACGGTTTTTTAATCAATTTGACTATCAGCATTATATTAGCATATAATGCTTTTTTTAGAAGAATTTAGCTCGAAGAGCTAATAAATATTGAATAGCAAATTAATCGCTAACAGTATGTAGACATTCTTAATATCCATATGAGCAATTTGTGCTTATTTTCTTTATCAATGGATGACATTATTTAATAAATTATACTCTGTTTAATATACAGGGTGGTTTTGAATTCGAGGAGTTTCCTTATCATTTTCCATTGCTTCTCCCGTTTCTGCTAGGTAGACAAGGCAATGCAATTTTTCATAACACCAAAAACAACCCAATAAATTAAACGAAACGTAAATAAAAGAACATCCTGTAGATATACATGTACATTTTTATAGCTTTCTGATAAAAGAATTGCGATGTAATGAGTCCCTGAGAGATGTTAAAAACATCCATGTGCTCTACCCACGTTCAAGGATTCGATTAATTTTTCTCTATTTTTAACGAATCGCAGTTCCATTGCTGCTTCTTCAAATTGTGAATTTATTTAGGCGATAAAGGTTTTTTAATGGAGTTGACATTTCAACAAACCCTGAAAATTCGCTTATATGCTATACTTACACAGAATCGTTGTAAAATTCTCTATACTCTGTCTAGAAAAAGGTTCTAATAAAAAAAAATCTTAGATATTTTATAGGTTTATTGACCCCATGGCGTCAAAAATCTCGTTCGATATAATAATAATAATACACGAAAAATTCGTCAAATATATGCGGAAAAAATGCAAGGTATCAAAACATTAGTCTAAAATAGCATAGAGGATGACCATAAATAAAATCGTAGAAAACAAGTAGTTGAAATTAATTGCCGCTTAGACTCAATTAAGACGCTAAGTGGCTTTTTAGATTCCCCAATGGGAAACGTTTCGACACATAAAAAATTCAGAAACAGATACATCTGTGACATTATAACTAACAACAGGTTTTTCTATAATGAATCGATTATTAACTTTTAAGTGTAGCTAGAGAATCGCGTTTTTAGTTAATTTGATTAATATACAAGCCAATTAAATCATTTTTTTATAAATCAGTTATATATTTTTTAAATAAGAAAGTTACCACATGGTAAATCGGTACCTTTTCCGGATTTTTGATATCGAGTTCATAGCGGTCAGTCAAATCGGTTTGGTACGGTATTCGGTTAGTTAACTCTACAGGATACGGACCTTTAGGCATTCGAAGAATTATTATTTGTATATTCATTACGCTGGGCGTTCCTAGTTAAGTTAACAATGTACTATTATCCTATTAGGGCTTAGTAAAAATTAGGAATAAATACTCTTATCTACGCAGTCTAATAAAATCAAATCTATGTATAGGTACTCGACAAAAGTTTGTAGATACTTATTAATTACTAATTTAGAAAAAAATATTTATTATTTTAGCCATCGCAATTTAAACGAAAAAATTTATTATCTTTAGTTTAGGCTGCATAACAATTTGCAAAATGCCCAAACGGTCTCAAACTACAGGTGTTTGGTCGTTTCAAATCAATTCGCATGCTAGTTAATTACCCATTCATAGGTTTTTTGACTTTATGGGTCGTTAAATTTCTTTGAAATAGACCATTTTCAATGCGTACGTTCGCTAAAAAGTCGTTAAGTTCACGGACGCGAATATGTTTATGAATTAATATTGGTATTTCTGCAAGTGGTAACAATTAAATTATAAGTGTAAATATATTTTTTTACCATTTTTTTGTATGTATATTGTATTTTTTCTATGTATATCAGTTAATAATCTCAACTAATATAAGAACGCTGATTAATAATAATAATTACATTTAATTATGTTGTTTGGAGAAAAGAAAAATCCAATGAGGGTAATGTAAACCGATTAAAGCAGCGCCTTCCGTCGATCTACTGTCACATTAAAATAAATTTAAACTAAGTGAAGTTGAATCTTATCGACTAATTGACTTGTGTTTGAGATGGGATACTAATTGGTGACCACACAGATTCCGCACTCGGGCAATTATTGCATAAATGGAAGTTTAGTGCACTGCAAAAATACTTCCTTTATACATCAAGCTATATTTTAAAATATAAGAGACTGACCAGTAGAGATAAATTATTATTTAGTACATATCTTTATTCATTCGAATAGGCATTGTTGACAATACTGAATTATTATCCTTCTTGATAATGTAAAATTTTACTCTTATAGGTCTTTATCTACTAGGATGAAAAGTAGATTACAGGCTTATTATAGTTTTCATTTTATTTTACCCTCGTTAATTGCGTACATAAAGTTTGTTTTTCTCGACCTTGGCAATTTCGAAAATTTTATGGAGATAATTTTTTTTGATAATGTAAACCTACATACTCACGAGTTTGTTGTGGCGCATTTAAACTAGGTCATTTGCATTTACACAGCGTTGTCTACGGCACTGGTTTTGATGAAACATCAAATTAGTGTTATGTAAAATTTAACTACCGCATAGTCTTTTATTAATTAGGTAAATGGCAATTTAACTCCGATGAAAAAATTCACAAAAATCGGAATCGGATTTGTACCTTATATATAAATTAATAGCAAATTCGTTAATTCTCATTAAGTTTATTTTAAAAAATGTTATTTCAAAAAACAATTATATTGATTTTTTTTTATCCTTCATATACAGATCGAGATTTAAATGCATCAAACTTCACTTTCTCTAGACCTTGCTAAGTATCTTTTCAAAGAATTGTATTGATTTAAGTATTTAAGTGTCAATCAACTATACATATAAGAATAAACCGAAGTGATTCAATAGGATCTTCTCCACATGTATCCAACTTTTAACAGGTAGTTTTTAATTATAACTCTAATGAAATTAATCATGGTAATTTTATTACTCTTTATTACTCTTGCCATATTTTTTCATATGAATTTTTTTCTAATTTTTCTCAAAAGATTTACTTGGAAATAATACCGCGTACATATTAAAAATACGGTTCTTATAAATGAAAAATAACTAACACAGGTTAAATATTTTTGAAGGCGGTATATGCACCCAACCGTGTCAGTAATACCCAATTTTAAGAGTTCACGCGATTCGTGATTGAATCCATCGATTATAATACTTACCAAGAGCAGACCGGCCGACAACACATACAATTTTTTTTGTAGTTTCACACATGTTAAGCCTGTAATCTCTTATACAGTTCTGATTCGAGATTAAGGAATTTACAAAGATGATTTGTATCTTTGAAAATTCTTTGTGGTTGAGGAAATGTAATTTTTTATGGGTTTGGCCTACTTGTTTACAATATTAAATTGTAGATATTTTGTTAATAACAAAATGCCTATTTGTCTTCATCTTACCACTTAATATTATAGTATAGACATCAAAAAACTTATTTTTTATTTTCAGTCCAAATTTATGTCGATCAAGGACGAGATCGTATTGCTGTCCAGGATGGCAAAGGCACAATATTTTAGGATTATGTATTATTCGTAAGTATACATTACATATTTTTTATTTATTTTTATTTCCAATCTCCAGGCAATTCTCTGTACATATTACTTCGTGCTTGGTTCGAAAATTTTGTTGAACTTTTGTTCGTATTTGCAGCAATTTGTTCTAGAAGTTGTGGTCATGGACAGTGTGTATCGCCGAATGTCTGTCTTTGCGACGGTGAACATAGATCATCCATGTGTGGTCCTGGAACCAAACAAATTCAAGGTAACAAAAATGGAATCTCTAATTTTTTCACTACCTAACCCTTGCTTCTTATGTATTCAATAATTGTGTGTTAAAAAATATCACTAGGTTTGGATGGAAAATCATGTCGAGCCATTTGTATGAATGGAGGTACTTGCACTGATGGAAAATGTATTTGCGCCACCGGGTATAGCGGAGAATTCTGCACGGATCGTAAGTTAAAAAAAATTGTTACACCGAACAGAAGGATAATATTTTATTTTTTGTATAGCAATATGTGAGGAACCCTGCCGAAACGGAGGAAGGTGTATAGGACCGGATAGATGCGCTTGCTTTTACGGATTTTCGGGGAATCACTGTGAAATTGGTACGACCATATCCAAAATTTGTATTTGGAGGTTTTAAACTTTATCTTGTTATATAGACTTTAGGACAGGACCTTGCTATACCGGCTATAGAGGGAATTTGTGCGTTAACCAACTAGAAGGCGTCGTTTGTACAAAAACCCTATGTTGTGCAACTGTTGGAAAGGCGTGGGGTCACCCTTGCCAACATTGCCCTTCGAGATTAGAATGTGAAACGGGTTTTCTAAAAAATCTCAAAACTGAAGAATGTGTTGGTAAGAAATTATCTCTAATTCACGTATTTCTTATGTTACAATGCATTTATTATATCCACAAAGATATCAATGAATGCGAGGCGATTCCACATCTCTGCATGGGCGGTACCTGCATCAATTCAGTGGGTTCCTTTACATGCGAATGTCCTCCAGGACAAACCAGAAATCCCGCAACAAACCGCTGCGAGGACAAAGATGAATGTGAAGAGGAGGATGTTTGTCATGACGGAAGATGCGTCAATACTAATGGTGGTTTCATTTGCCTGTGCAATCCAGGTTTCATCCAAAGTCAAGATAAAACGTATTGCATTGGTAAACAAGATATTAATCAATGAAAAGATCAATGCACTGTACTTATTTATTTACAAATGCAGATGGTCGTCAAGGATTGTGCTACACTCACAGGTCGCCTCAAGGTTTCTGCAGCAATAGTTTACAAATGCGATTGTCAAAGAAGGACTGTTGCTGTGGAGTAAACATGGGGCAAGGCTGGGCAATGTACAGTGGAGAAGAATGTATAGCTTGCCCAGAATATGGCGAAGGTAGTTAGATATTCACAAACGCAAAAAGAATTCATAAACTAGCTCTTTTCCACAGAGGAACATCGAAAATTGTGCGAAGCCCCTTCCCATCCGATACCAACTCACCCGAGCGGCCATTTCGACCTTACACCTGGAAAAATACCTGACGGTGGTAACCAAGTGGGGCAAATCAGCGTCAATGAATGTATACTGAGACCAGAAATTTGTGGACAAGGAAAATGCGTAGATACTATTCAAGGTTATGATTGTATTTGTGACCCTGGATATCGGTTAAATTCGCAACAAGTTTGCGAAGGTCAGTAATGCAAATTTACATATCTTCTTGTGATGACGTGAAATAAATAACGCGTGCTTTATTTAGATATCGATGAATGCAGGGAAGGGAAATGCATAAATGGTAGATGTACCAATTTGCCCGGTAGCTTTTCTTGTCTTTGTCCACCTGGCTTCGACGTTTCTCCAGATGGAACGATATGTACAGATCACGATGAATGTTCGGAGATAGGAATGTGCACTAACGGAATTTGCATCAATATGGATGGTAGCTTTAAATGCCAATGCAAACCTGGTTTCAAACTTTCACCGACCGGATTTGCTTGCACGGGTAGGATAGTTTATCTACATTTTAATGATATCCCATATTAAAATTATTGCATTTAGATATTGATGAGTGTTACGAAAATCCCAGAATATGCTTGAACGGAAGATGCCAGAATACACCAGGCTCATACAACTGCGCTTGTTTGCCAGGTTTCGTTGAATCTGACGATAGAACCTTTTGTAGCGATTTAGATGAATGCTCTTCAACGGGTAAACATTGAAACTCTAATAAAATTATCCAGTTCATGCAATAAATATTTTTAGGTATGTGCGATCATGGAAAATGTATTAACATAGAAGGTTCCTTTAGATGCGTCTGTGATTCTGGCTATCGACTAGGTGCTGATGGCAGGCATTGCGTTGATATAGATGAATGCATTAATAACCCTTGTCAATTTGGTTCTTGTTACAATACTCCAGGCAGCTTCAGATGCGAATGTCATCCAGGATTTAGTCTAGGTACGTAATCATCTAATTGATCTAATTGATCTATTTAATTTTTAAAATTATTCTCCCTTTAGGTCCAGACGGTAGGTCATGTTTAGATACCAGAAGAGATCTGTGTTATCAAGAATACCGCGACGGTTTGTGCTTCAATCCATCCACCACAGCCGTTACAAAATCTAGTTGTTGTTGCTGTACCATCATATCAGGCAAACCGATGGGCTGGGGAACCACTTGTCAGCCTTGTCCGATGCCTGGAAGCACCGACTTCGATTTGTTATGCCCTCATGGTCCAGGTAAACTCTTACTCTATTACTTAAGTAGAATTGAATGTTATATTGTCTGTTTCCTAGGATCTACATTTGATGGTAACGACATCAACGAATGTGCACAAAATCCGAATATCTGCCTAAACGGCGCCTGCGAGAATATGATAGGAACTTACAGGTGCATCTGTAATCCAGGTTTTGAAGTCGACGAAACGGGAAAAATATGTACAGACATTAACGAATGCGAAGTGGAAGAATTGGTAAGCGAATTTATCTAAAAATAACGTACCACATAAACCAATTTCTCCTTCATATTTCTTACACACCTAAGGTTATGAGTCCGTTATGAATTGTTAGATCAATTGCGCAGGTTTGCAGCGGCGGGCAATGCAGAAACACGCCGGGCAGTTTCCAATGCATATGTCCCACGGGAACGCAGATGAATCCGAAGAACTTCGTGTGCGAAGATATAGATGAGTGCAGAGAATTGGGACCCGAAGCGTGCTTCAACGGCGAATGCGTCAATATCCACGGATCGTACAAATGCGAATGCGACGACGGCTCCATACTAGACAATACCGGAAGAATTTGCATCGGTAAAACCTAATCTGGGATTTTTATCTGATAAGAGCTGTAATCGTTTTAATTCTCGCAGATAACCGAAAAGGATCTTGTTGGACGACACTGAACAGAGGTCGCTGCGAGAACGACTTGCCTCAGCTAAGCAGGCGGTCGGAATGCTGCTGCTCCGTTGGTGTTGCTTGGGGATCTCCTTGCGAAAGGTGCAACAGAAACGAATGCGACTGTCCCAAGGGTTACGCCAAAGCAGACGGCAAGACTTGCACTGACATCAACGAATGCGATCTGAATCCGGATATCTGCAGGGGTGGCGGTACTTGCGTAAATACCGATGGAAGTTTCACATGCAGCTGCCCACCTGGATTAACTTTAGACGAAACCAGTAAGAATTATTACAGCAAAATAATATAATAATTGAAAACTATTTTACTATTAGGGACTAAATGCTTGGATATACGACAGGAGCAATGTTATACCAGATATAAATTTGGAAAATGCACGAATTCGATCGAAGGCTACTTCCACAAGAGCTTGTGCTGTTGCACTCAAATCGGTAAAGCGTGGGGAGATCGATGCGAAGCGTGTCCCAGACAGGGAACTGCGGCTTTCAACGAACTGTGTCCCAAAGGATTGGGTTTCTTGGATAAAAAAGACATAAACGAATGTACGGACTTTCCCGGTATTTGCCAAAACGGCAGATGCAAAAACACTGTAGGCGGATACAGCTGCAAGTGCAATAAGGGTTACGATTTTGATGAGAACCGAATTAAATGCATTGGTAAGTTCATAATATTGATGTTGATTTGTTTATATTGCACGTAAAATTACAGATATCGATGAATGCAATTTAACAACTGAAAATGTTTGTGGAAACGGCGTTTGCAAAAATACACCGGGAGATTTTATTTGCGAGTGCAATGAAGGATTCCGAACAATGGCTCCGATGCAAATTTGTATGGGTAAGTAACAACTAAGAGGTAATCTGCCTTTATAACACTTTTATTCGCTGTAAAGAAAACTTAAAAGAGCCTTTCTTTAAATTCAATATACATTTTTTGTAGATATAAATGAATGCGATGAAATTCCTGGATTGTGTAGAGGTGGCCTCTGCATTAACACGGAAGGTTCCTACAAATGCGAATGCCCGCCGGGTCACGAATTATCTCCAGACAAAAAATCCTGCAAAGACATAGACGAATGTTCCAGATCCAGCGGTATTTGTTCGAATGGTGTGTGTGAAAATATGATGGGAACCTACCAGTGCATTTGCGACGATGGGTACAGACAAACAGGACTAAAATCGCATTGCGAAGGTAATCCAATTGCTGGTTTACTGCATTTCAGTATACCACATACGTGCTTATTTCAGATATTGACGAGTGCGAAGAGGAACCTTGCGATGATATTTGCGTAAATACACCCGGCAGCTACGCTTGTGCTTGCGGGTAAGTTGGTGGACTTGTAAAATAGCTAAATATGATCCGCGATATTTTACAGTACCGGTTACATCCTCAACTTCGATGGAAGGACGTGCGCCGATATAGACGAATGTAAAGAGAATCCAAGAATCTGCAACGGTGGAAGATGCACGAACACAATAGGCAGCTATATTTGTCACTGCACAGAAGGATTGTACCCAGGACCCAGTGGTACTTCTTGTATAGGTAATTCCCTGTGGAATTTTTAAACCTATCTACCACATGAATAATGTTCTCCCATTTTAAGATATCGACGAATGTAAGCAAAATCCAAACATCTGCGGCGCTGGGGATTGCATCAACACACTCGGCTCTTTCCACTGCAGATGCGAGGAAGGATATTCGGTGAAGCCCGAAGGAGGACCTCAATGTAGCGATGAGGACGAATGCTATTTAGGAACATACAATTGCGATGACAACGCTGATTGCATTAATAATCCTGTATGTTTTCTCTAGAGAGTATTATTATGTATAATATTTTAATTCCAACAGGGATCTTATCAATGTCGCTGTCAAGATGGCTTTACTGGAAACGGCATCAATTGTCGAGACATCAACGAATGTTTAACCAATAATGGCGGTTGTGACCAAAATGCCCAATGTATTAACAACGACGGGTCGTTCAGGTATAATTAAGCATTCATAAAATTACTATGTTTCTAAAACAACCATTTCATAAAGGTGCGAATGCGATGCAGGCTTCAAAGGTGACGGATATACTTGCACAGATATTGACGAATGTTCCAATGATCCCACTCTATGCGAAAACGGCCAGTGCGTGAACTATCCAGGATCCTTCAGATGCGAATGTGAAATGGGATTCATGCATCCGCAGGAAGGCAACGAACAGTCTTGTGTTGGTCAGTAGAAAGTGCTTTGGTGGAATTTTGTGAGACTAACATATAGCCATAGGGGAGTTTAAATAGAGTAGCGCAATTCATGAGTACACTTTTTACGTTTTATACTTTTGAACAATGTTTTATTACGTTACAGAACACCCATATTTATTTATTTATTGCATAACGAGAGTGTATTATAGTGATATTAACCGCAATTATTGTTCAAGTAGTGTATTGTAGCTGGCTAATACTAATTTTAGATGCAGAAAATTTGGAAAAAGTTTTAATGGTTGGTATAATGAGAAGTAAATTAATATTTTTTAAAGAGTCTTAAACGCCAACCATTATAAAATTTGATTAATAAAACACTGAAATAATAATTTAATAGTTATTAGTAGCTTATCATGCTTTAGTTTATTAACCTAGCGAATCTGGAATAACTGGAGAATAACAAGAAGAAACGGAAGAACGCACAGACACCTACTAACAAACAAAATAACTAACCTTCATACAGTCAGGTATTTTAATAATTTATTACAAACTTCCTCCTTATTTTACATAAATGTATATTTCCAACATAAATTCATTCGTATAGCAGAACAATACCTTACCTAATTTAAACAATTTTCAATAGAATTATAGTTTCCTATTTAGTCTGAAACACGAATGAATTATGATTACCTACCTTCATTCATATCTTCTTTAACTAAGCTATCCACTACTGTTCTTAAATTTTCGTTAACTAAATATACGTTTGGTGTTTCTAATTATTTCATTCAACTCTAGACATAAACGAATGCGAAATGTTCAACAACTTGTGCGTATTTGGAAAATGCGAAAACACATTTGGGTTCTTCCGTTGCGAATGTCACGATGGTTACAAATTGGACAGCTCAGGTGGAAATTGCACAGATATCGATGAATGCGAGAGTCCGCAATCTTGCCTTTACGGAGAATGTACGAATACAGACGGTAATTTCAAGTGTATTTGCCCCGCTCATCACGATTTGGTGTCCGAAGGAAACGCTTGCATCGGTAACAATTCATTATTTTCGTCTATTTTTGTTTCATATACTCGTAAATTTTAGATAGAAGAACCTCTAGGTGTTTCCTAGAAGTAGATGGTTTCGGTAGATGCTCGGCTCCTACGGCAGATTACGTGACTAAAGCATCTTGTTGTTGCTCAGTTGGGCAAGGATGGGGTCCAAATTGCGAATTGTGTCCACCATTAGATAGTCCGGACTACCAACAGCTATGTCCAGGCGGAATGGGATACAAACCGAATGACGTTACAGTAATTAATTAAATCATTGTATGAAAAATGATTTATCTTAACGCTTTTTGTAGGTTGTTTTAGAGGATATAAATGAATGCGAGGAACATAAAAACATCTGCAAAAACGGCCATTGCACGAACACTTTCGGAAGCTTCATGTGCTCTTGCAACGAAGGCTACAGACTGGATCCCACTGGATTTATGTGCATCGATGTTAACGAATGTTTTGAAAATCCGAATATTTGTAACGTTGGTGAGTGCGTCAACGAGCCCGGAAAGTACTACTGCCAGTGCCCCGAAGGCTACATGCCTATGCCTGGAAGGCGTAAGTAATTTTTCTTGTAAGCCTTATTTTATTTATTGATTTATCGAATGTAATAGGCGAATGTGTGGATATGAGGAAAGACTTGTGCTACCTAAACTACAGCCGTTGGAGGTGCTCGACACCGATGACGCAGAACCAAACGAAGAAAGTGTGTTGTTGTTCTATGGGACAAGCCTGGGGTCAACCTTGTGAACCATGTCCTTTGGCAGGCACCAGTAGGTATAAATTTCTTCACTTTCTTCATACTCACATCTACTCTATGACAATAATTATTTATTTTCTCTTATTCTAACTCCTCATTAAAATTCAACATATCGCGTTAAGTGGATTTTTCTACCAAAAAGTTTGCTTTAAGGCGAGCACGTAGCCTTGTGTGGAGTGCGTCCTGGTCAAATAGTTAATCCCATTACCAACGAAACAGTGGAAATTGACGAATGCGAATTGATGCCGTCAATGTGCAAACACGGCCAATGCCTCAACACACCTGGAAGCTTCGAGTGCATGTGCAACAGGTAAATATTAGTGACTTCAATTTATTTGCATAATCAGTGAATTTATTTTTCAGAGGTTACATTTACGACGAAAATTCTCATCAATGCATAGACGACAACGAGTGCCTACGCAATCCTTGCGAAGGTAACGCTCAATGCATTAACCTCCCCGGTAGCTTCGAGTGCAAATGTCCGGCTGGCTACAAGCATGGAGCAACGTTTATGGATTGCGTCGATATCGACGAATGCATTGAGAAACCTAACGTGTGCCAAAACGGCGATTGTAAAAATTTGGAAGGCAGCTTCCAGTGCATCTGCCCTACTGGTTACTTACTAACGTCTACAAGAGACACTTGCTTGGATATCGACGAATGCCAGCGTCACCCAAACATTTGCAACAACGGCAGTTGCCTGAACATGGTCGGTCACTACAAGTGCCACTGCAACCAGGGCTTCAAATTGAGCAACAACAACGACTGCGTGGACATTGATGAGTGCCACATGATGCCGTTTTTGTGCAGGAACGGTCGATGCAGAAACACGCTTGGTTCTTTCTACTGCGAATGCGCCAGTGGATACGTTTTGACTCACGACAAGCATAATTGCAGAGACATCGATGAATGCCAAGAGGTAATCACTTATTCTAATGCGCTTTTTATGGATTGTTTATGAACATACTTTTTAGACACCTGGTGCTTGCCCACCACCAGGACGGTGCACCAACGTTATGGGATCATTTGTATGTTCGTGTCCTGAAGGATACGAATTGAGCGCTATAACTGGAGTATGCGAAGACATTGACGAATGCATACTTAACGTAGGCATTTGCGAAAACGGAATATGTACTAACACAGACGGTGGCGCTTTCTGCACTTGTCAAGAAGGGTTCATATTAGATCAGGTTTGTAAAATATATTACAATTACCTTGAAAAAAAAAATCATCGTTCTAATTTTAGCATACAATGAAATGTATCGATGTCAGACAAGAGCAGTGTTACGACAGTTTCCACAGAGGACAGTGTCAGGAGCCGAGGGGTATGAGCATAACAGCCAAAGAGTGCTGTTGCTCTAAAGGAGCAGCTTGGGGACGTTACTGCGAACGTTGTCCTGCCGAAGGATCAGGTAGCTACAATATAATCAATTTGTTATCAAAATATTATTATTAACTAATGTTTTTCAGCTGAATTTTTGAAGATGTGTCCCGAAGGACCAGGAAGGATGGATACTGGTAGCGATTTGAATGAATGCGAGCTGATGCCGAACGTCTGCGACGGTGGAGATTGCGTTAACACGGATGGATCATTCAGATGCGATTGTCCTTCAGGATACGTACTAGATAATACCGGCAAAAACTGTATCGATGATAACGAGTGCATTTCGAATCCCAATATTTGCGGTAACGGTACCTGCTCGAACGTCATAGGCGGATTCGAATGCAACTGCAACGATGGATTTGCACCTGGTCCTTTACAAGTCAGTAAACATAAATATATTACTTTATCGTTTTAAGATTATTTTTATTTATTAACAGATTTGCGAAGATATCAATGAATGCCATGAGTTAGGAAACCAATGTGCTTTTAGATGCCATAATGTCCCAGGTTCCTTCAGATGCATTTGCCCTTACGGTTATAAACTAGCTCCAGATGGTCGCCATTGCACAGGTGGATAGTTTTAACATTTTCTATTTATTTAATTCTATGCAATTTTGATTTTAGATGTGGATGAGTGCAGCACACCAGCCAATAACTGCAAATTTATGTGTAAAAATTTGATTGGGTCGTTTATGTGTATATGTCCCGAGGGTTACAGTCAAATAGACTACACAGACGATTGCATCGACATTAACGAATGCGAAAACCCTGATTTGTGCCATAACGGTAAATGTCACAACTTACAAGGAAGTTACAGGTGCGAGTGCGAAATTGGTTTCGACATTAGCCCCGACGGCAAGAGGTGCATCGGTAAGTTTCCTTCGTATATTACAAGATTAGCTTTCAAATGTCCTACATTTTTACAGACAGAAGACAAGGAATGTGCTATAGACAATTGATCAACGGCAGATGCAAAGCTCCGCATAATGAACTGAAACTATCGACAATGGCTGATTGTTGCTGTTCTATGGGCGAGGCCTGGGGACCGCAGTGCGAACTTTGCCCATCGAGATATACCCCACAATATCAGGAACTTTGCTTGGATAGCGGATTCCTGGTAGATGGCAAGGGTAAGCTTTAATTTTAAAACCAATTAAGCAATGTTTCTAATGAATCCTTCGTTTCAGACGTTAACGAATGCGAGACTATCCCGGATTTGTGTCGCAATGGACAATGCATAAACACTCTAGGCTCATACAGATGTATTTGCAATAAAGGATATAAACCTGACGCTTCTGGCCTCTACTGCTTAGGTTAATACTTTATTACATTAACTAACAATTCCACTTATAAATTACTATTTGTTTTACAGATATTAACGAATGCTACTCGAACACGTCACATTGCCAATTCCATTGCCATAACACAGAAGGAAGTTACACTTGCTCGTGCCCGCCTGGATTTTTACTAAATCCAGACAGTGTTACTTGCAGAGACCTGGATGAATGCGCCACCGGACAAAACATCTGTCAACAGAATTGCATAAATACAGAAGGAAGTTATAAATGTTCATGCGAAGATGGATACAACCAAGTTGGAGACAATTGTCAAGGTATGTAACAAAAACAAATTCTATGGCGATGGGATAATAATTAATGTGATTTTAGACATAAACGAATGCGAGGAACCAGGAATTTGTCCAAAACCAGGAAGGTGTGCAAACACTTTAGGAAGTTTCAGATGCATATGTCCCAGGAGATTTAAATTAGACAAAAGCGGTACCTACTGTATTGACGTCGATGAATGTGCTGATGATTCTAAGTGCCAAGAAGGGTGCCAAAATTTCGTTGGTGGTTACAAGTAGGTTCTTTCTCCAATTACTCAAAATATTGTTACAATACTGACTATATTTTCAGATGCGGCTGTCCTCAAGGTTTCCGCATGCATCCTAACTACAATCAATGCGTTGACGAGGACGAATGTCAAAGAGGTCCGTGCGGTGGTTCTGGAAGTTGCTACAATACCTTAGGTGGTTATAGATGCGGTTGTCCCGATGGTTATCAATTCGATGCTGGTCTAAACGTTTGCATACAGGTATGTTCATAATTTTACTGTAAACGATCATTCATATTATATAAAAACTGTGTTGTAAAACCATAGGTGAGCACCAGTTGCTCAGGTGCACCTTGCGCTTTCGGCTGCAACACTCAAGGCGCTGGTTACATGTGCGGATGTCCCAACGGATACCAAAGAATCGGGCGAGGTCACTGCCTGTCTACCATCACACCAGCTTACACAGGTTACGGTCAAGAAATTGGTGATGTGCCGGTGTATCCCATCGACGATGATTCCTCGTCGAGCGGCAAAGATAAATTGATTACCACGGAAGGATGCTTCTCTTGTACAGTAAGCATGGATATGCAACAAGAATAGAGCTAATAAAATACAATATATGTATTTTTCTCAGATAAATGGCAGGCATAGAAGACATTCGAGAAATACCAAATTGTCTCACAACGAAACACTAGAGCTTCTCGAAGGTTCGGCAGGTAAACGAAGAATCAGAAGGCACAAACATGCAGAGCACACCGAGGAATTCGAAATTAAGATACATTTGTCACAAACCAGGCACAGAACTAGAATCATTAAACTGCAACCTGCTGTAAAGGTATTATTTAACATTAGCGTGTTTAATGTGTTTTAATTTAATGTGTTAATATTTTAGACACCGATGGTATACAAAATAACAAAAGGAAACGATGACAAGAAGTTTGAGTTAATCAAAAAGCACGGAGTGTGGGCTTTGCACTTCAAGAGGAGACTCAAACATCCCGGAAGGTTCGAGCTGATCATACACGGTAAACCTGAGAGTAACGTTTTAGATGCAGAAACGTATGAACAGCCCATCACATTAAAAGTGAGAATTATCGTGACAGATGAAAAATAAACTGGAACACCATCGCCCATTTGTGGTTGAGAGAAACATTAAAAACGAATGTATTTTTCGGATATTTTTGTTTCTTTCGTAAAAAATGTTTTATGTTATGAAGCTTTTCGTATTAAGGTGTTTGTAAAAATATAGAGAGCTATAACCATTAAGTGTATTTTAATAGTTTTGTTAAATTAAGATAAAAATTGAATTAGATTAATTGAACTCTCTGTAATTTTACATATACGAGAACTTGTTGTAGCAAGCAAATTCATTTGTGATATTAAAATATTGCCATAATTAAATATCACTGCCAAAATTTTTTCGAGAAAAGATATTTTTCTACAAATGTATAAAAAAATAATTAATACTGCCGTATCATGTAAACATAGAATTATTTGTTAAATAAACTAACCAAAATATATTTGACTTATAAATTTTATTTTTTTTTCTAAACCAAAATTCGATAGTAGTTGTAAAGTATTAATAGTCTATTTTTATGAATCTAAGCGTAGAGTAATTACGCTAAATAAATGAAATATATTTATGAATTTATTTAAGTATTTAATTAGTTACCTCAGATATTGTTTCGATTGATTTGTAATATACATTGCTTTAAAAATAAATTTGTTCCTAAGTACATATTCGGTGTATTTTTCTAATAACCTACCCGATACATTCGGTATCTTCCTAAATCAATCTATGATATAATCGAATCTTAATTATTCATTTCCTTCTTCAAATATATTGATCGACGTATAATTAAAAAATGCCAAATTAGATCAATATATTCTTTAGTGACATTCACATTTAAAACGAGAATTATATAACATGCAATCGATCAGTTTTGTTGTTACGTTGATCAGGTAATTTTGCAGCTTTTTCTACACAAATAGAATGTATACGAGATACGAGCAATGATCTGCGTTGTCCTTTTTTTTACCAACTTTTAATATGAAAGTGGACTTGAATTGTTAATCCCGGTGATGTCGGAAACGGCGTTTCCGTATATAAAGCCGATCTATCCCCTATCACCTTTGCAGTTGCTCTATCATCGTGTGTCTAACCAAAATGAATACTTTTGTGAGTATTATTTCGGAAAAAATATTTAAATTTGTGATAATTTTTCAAAATTCAATAGTGTAATATTGACTGTTTGATTATTGGGATATGTATCCAATGTTAATTTTTTCAATAATAAGTTTCAAAATTGATCATAGAATTGTAATAGTTTGCTTAAACATTTATACTCAATATAATTATTAATTTACAAAATTTATAGGTACTTTTTATCACTCATAATTAATTATCTAGGTACTTATGCATTTTTGTAGATTCGTCTCTTTAGGACGAACTCCTCCCATATCATTCTTTGGTTAATTATTTTTCCTTTTTTGTCATTGATTTTTTATGCCATCGTTCTCACCGGAATATTATTTCTCTAAAATTTTATCTTATAATTAAAATCTAATAAACTATTACGTTTTAAGTTCATTATAAACAATCTAATAAATTGGTCACCCAATTCTCTAAATAAATGGTACTTGCTATTTCGTTCACAAATTTAATGAAAGTAGGTATAATCTGATTGTAAATTATGTAAAGCAAATTGTGCAACGTTTCTTCTTTGCTGGATGAAATCACATTTTTTGCCTTTAGTTGTTATGAATGACACAGTAATACGATCGACCAGTTACTCTGTTCAAACGGAGAAAGTCGATAACACCGATTAAATGATTCGATCCTTTTAAAAATTTTTATCTAGACATTTATCTAAACACATAGTAGTAGAAGTATATAATTTATTACCAACTTGCCTAATTTAATATCCGTTTTTAGACCTCCATAATGTCTGTGTGCTTCCTGGCGGTAGCAGTAAGAGCAAGGCCTGGTGTAGGCCATCACGGTTTGCACGGCGTTCCTGATCGTCAGACGTTCAGCGAGATTAAGTACCCGCAAAACGAGCTCATCCACCTGGGCGAATACTCCAAAGGGTACCTTCCGGGCGACATGATCCACGAGATCAAGCACATCGCCATCCCGAAACCGGAACCGTATCCTGTTAAAATCGAGGTCCCGCATCCCTATCCAGTGCATGTGGCAAAGCCCTATCCAGTGGTAAAAACCAAATACGTGAAGGTTCCGCATGCGGTTCCCTATGAAATCGTTAAGCCCGTACCTGTACCAGTCGAAGTGCCCAAACCTTATCCTGTGCCTGTTTACACCGATACGCGCGGGGCTGGTTCTTCACACGATCATGGATCTGCTGGTAAATGAAGTTAATTACACCATACTACGTGCTTTTTACTTGCTGCAATTGGAGTGTAATGAAATTAATTTTCTCAAATGCTTTCAGGGTCTGTTGAGCATTCAAGCAGTTATGAAACCGATGAATATTCTTCAGGACATGATTAATTGCGCAAACCTGGCCATATACCATGAGTTTTAAACAAATTATCGTTAGCTAGTTGGAAATTAGAAAATTTACAATCAAGATTTTACTGATTTTATTCAATTAGATCTGATTTGAAATTTTAGTTTTAGGTAATTTGCTACTGCTGTACCAACGCTTTAACTGTTATTGTTGTTATTTTATTATAGATATTACTTTTAAATAAATTGTTACCTAAGAAAATTCTGTTTTTAATCCATTTGTACTTTTGGGATGCACTGTATAAAGGATTGGTTAAACATTGATTACTTAAAACCCATACGTTACAGTGTCGTAATATAAGAAACGCATAAATTGTTCGATTTGTCGGTATGCGTTAATTTTTCACACATGGAAGACATTAAGGATAACAGAAGGAAAGTTGTATAGTAGAAAATTCTATAAATTATGACGATTTTTTTGTAAAGACCAGTAGTTGCAAAGTAACCGATATTCGATCATGAAATTTTTCGTAAGTAATTCATATTTTTTAATAATTCTAAAATTTATTTATCTATACCTTTCTTTGGTGTTTCGTCTTATTTTGATTAGTATAAATAATTTTAATAAAACAGCTCTTGATTATTCAATAACGCCAATTAGCTAATTTATTTTCAGATATTATTGATATCGTTACTTTTTAATATTAAATTAATCGCGAAACCTGTATTTATAATCGTAATTAATTTCTTTCTAGCTGCACGGCTAGCAGTTCCTCTTCCAGCAATTATTATTAATGCAACTGCCTTACCTACTTTCTCGATTTAAAATTTTCTTTTTTTGTAGACAATTTCTTGCATTATCCAATTCAAATTTCTGAAATAGATAGTCGTGATTTCATATTAACTACAAACGTGATGGATATTATGGCATAAAATAATATAGTACCTAATAGTGTATCATATTTTTTCCAATAATCCCGATATTACAAGAATTTTTTGTTTATTCAATATGTGCATTTATTAATGAGTTTTTCTTTAGATTGGAATATGCTTAATGGCATTCGCCTATGGCGAAGAAGCGAAAATCACCAAGAAGAGAGGTCTATACGACTTCGGTGATTTCGGTGGTGGCCACGAATACGCCGGCGATTTCGGGCACCATGAAGTCAAAGCTATAACCATTACAAAGAAGGTTCCCTATCCCGTGCCTCACCCAGTACCTGTGGAAGTCATCAAGCACGTACCGTATCCCGTAAAGGTAATTGTTTCTATGCATTCTAAAAATTGAGAGAGTTAAAATAAAAGTAATTTCAGGTTCCGGTTAAAGTACCAGTAGACCGTCCTTACCCTGTACCAGTGCCTAAACCTTATCCGGTAACAGTGGAGAAGCCGTATCCGGTTTACATTAACAAACATATACCTTACCCTGTAAAAGTTCCAGTTAAGGTCCCAGTGCCAGTACCCCACCCTGTTCCGGTACTGAAGCCGTATCCAGTTACAGTACACAAACCTTACCCAGTTAAAGTAAAGGTTCCGGTGGTAGTAGAGAAGAAAGTGCCTATATTTATATCGAAACATGATGATCACCATTACGGTGGTTTTGGAGGTTTTCATTGAAAACTGAAGGTAAAATGTAAAAATTTTGTGTCCTAAATGTCTTCAATTTTTTTCATTTTTTTAGATTAATTAATTAAATATGGCGATAGATGAAGATACTATTTCTTAGATGATAAATATTACAATTATTGTTAATTTGTTAACATAGTACTTAATAAATTTTTCTATTAATTGATAAGTTGATCATTTTTATTATCGTTATTTACTAAAAAATTGGTATAGTTTAATGAAATCGGAGACTTTAATAATTCAAATAAATATACGTAGATATTTATTTTAGATTGATTTCATTTGAAAATACCTACTACAATTAAACAAAATTTAGACATACTGTACATACAACTTTTTGCTATGAAAAACTTAAAAATAATAATAGTATCAATAGTACTTTGAAAGACTATTCCAACTAAATTGATATAGCAGTGAGCATTCAATTTAAAATTAACGATCAAAATGCAATATTATAATAATTTGAAAGAGCTTAGTAGAGGAACGTTCGGGTATGTAGCACGGTCATTAATTTTAAATATATTATCTATCTATATTAATTTTTATTAGGACGATTCATTTGTGTGAAACGTTGCACGATAAGCAAAAATTAGTAATAAAACAAATTCACTTGGATTCGAAAGAAAACAAGTTAGATACTGCTAATAATGAAGTAAAAATTTTGAAATCGTTAAACCATCCTAATATCATCAAATTCTACGATAATTATCACCACAATGGAATATTTTATATTGTTATGGAATACGCGACTGGAGGAACGTTACAACAACTCATTGAAAAGAACAAATCGATTGGATTTTGTCCTCAGGTAAAATTCCAATTGATTACCTACCTAAAATTACGAATTAATTAAATATTAGATTTTCTTGCCAATTTTAGAGTGTTATGGATTTCTTCTGTCAAATATTAATGGGATTGGATCACATTCATGATAAGAACATCATACATAGAGATTTGAAAACCGAAAACATATTTTTAACGGGTCTAAATTGCGATGTAATCAAAATAGGGGATTTCGGAATATCGAAAGCTTTATTGAAGTAAGTTCACTTTGTCTCAATAATTCTATTTTCCACAAATAATCCTGGTCGAAAAAAATGATCAATTACAATGTATTTTGTTTCCATGACTTGAGTGTTTAATTTTAGCGAAAAGAAAGCCAATACAATAATTGGAACATGTAATTATTTAGCTCCGGAATTGTGCAATGGAAGTGCGTACAACTCGAAATGCGACATATGGGCTTTGGGTTGCATCCTATACGAATTGTGCGCAATGGAAAAAATGTTTACAGGACCAGTAAGTATTAAAATTTTTATAAGTTTCTTGTGTTCTTCATGTGCACACTTTTCAGGTGGCAAATGTGGTTTCATCAATAATACGAGGGCGCATAAAGCAAATCGATACTAAAACTTACGGGGTTCAAATGCGGAACTTTATTCACAAAATGTTGGAATTAAAACCGGAAAATAGACCAACGACAAAGGATTTGATAGCCGATTCCGATATTTCGCCTACTTTGTATTCGCTGGGAGTGACTTTAGGATCTCTTTGATCAAGATTTTAGCTGGTTCTTTTAACTTGAATTCATGTTTTAATTGTCTTATTTTTAATAAAGATTAGCAATAAAAATTTTACTTTAACTTTGTTAATTTTTATGTTATTATCTTTTACTATACTCTACTTTTAGTGAAAGTTACACAAAACTTAAAAGAATGAGTTCAAAAAACGACCCTAGCAAATGTGAAAGTTTACATATTTTGCATATGGTAGATACATTTTAAAACAAGATAAGTATAGAACTGAACAAACACATAATTTTTAATTCATTTTTAACATTGTGCAAAAGTTTATTTTGAATACACAGATACTTTGCGTGGGGTATGAATTCTTGCAAACAAATCATCATTAAGAATGTTAAATTTATTCTCATGAAACAATACGAAGGTGACGGATAATGGGACACAATACAAAAGGTTTGAAAAATAATGCATTTTTAACAATAGACAATTTAATAGAACATAAATGGGTAAATTTTATTAAATATTGCGTATTCTGTATTTAATATTACTAATAAGGAAATCTTTTTTCTTCTGCTATTATACGAAAATTTGCGTAACACTTCATAATTTAATGCAAGTTTATTATTCAATTTAATGATGGTGTCATAAAAAACAAATTATTGATTCAAATATTTAGTATATAAAATTCAGTATCTATTAAAAGAAAAATTATTTTATTGGCATGAATATCAAATAACCCATCAAATTTTAATATTATTTATTGACGCAATCTAATTCGATGCACGACACTTACTTATACTCTCTATTAATTTATTTTTGCAACAATAATACGCACTTCGTGAAATAAGTCTTAACTCTGGGATGAGTCTTTATCGCCACCAAACTCGCCAACAACTCTAATTTCTAGGCCTATTCTGTCCCTTGTCCGGTATGGGTACAGCGCCGGGCGGCAAATTCGGGAAATTTCCTTTGCCCTTGTTTTTAGGATTGTTCTGAGGAATGTTATCTAGCTCGTCGTCATCTTGAGGAAGAGGCGGTGGAATGGTTGAGGGTACGTCGCAATCCTCAGTAGGGGGAACTACACATCTCAAAGAGTGCCTGTCGAACACCAACATAGCAGGACATCTCTGGAGACGAGGGTAACCTCCTTGACATTGCCAGTATCTGTTGCAGGATTTTCCCAGCGGTACGTTACCGTTAGCATCCTCATTGCAAAGGGCTAAAAGATAAGTTGTTAGAGAAATTCGTTGTAAAATAGCATTACTTACGATGCTTTTGGCATCCTTCTACGTTTTCGGGCCAATCGCAGGAATGCGTTTTTTCATTGTACAATAATCCTCCGATGCAGAATTGTTCTGTAACGGTACCATTCCAGCAAGTCCAGTATCTAGTACAGGATGTTTCGTGGCCGAATATACCGTACAGCCATCCGCAGTGTTCGTTACTAATGGGTGAATCTTAATAAAATAAAGGAAGAAAAAATAATTATTTAATTGTTAATTAAGCAAACTGAATTTTAACATACTCGCTTGCTGTTTTCCGTCGCAGTAATTCGACCTCCAAGGGTAGTCGCACCCTTCGGTGACTCCCTTGTTTTTTCCCGCGAATACAAGACCGTTGGGGCAGTCGTATAATTCCGGTTGACCGTGCACGCACTCCCAGTACCTGTCGCAGTATGTAGCGTCTCCTACGACGCGTGATTTCAATTTGCAGGGATCTTCTTGGGTTTCCTTTTGGGCCGACGCGAAACCTGCAAAAACTCGGATTATATCAACCTTTCTGCAAATGGAACAATAAGCTCTTTTAATCGTGCAAATCCGGATTTGCATTCACTCAGTAGGGCAAAATTACGAAGGAATTTTTGCTTATGTTAAAGGTTAATTATCTAATTAATTAATCCGATTCATCTCCATTGATAATCCATGCATAACCGGTTAGTTTTCCGCGTACAGTTGCGGATTTGTTTAAATTAAATTATAGGAATCACATTAAAAATGTTTTATAACAGGAAAACTTGCCGCTTTTAAATTGCTAATTAATATTGAATACCTAGTTTGACCTTTAACATGCATGTATTAAAATGTATTCGGCGTGAATACCGGTATATTATGTTATATAATGGAGGTTGTTGGATAAAAATAAAATCTGCTGTATTAAAAGAAGAAAGTAGCGAAGAAAGCAAAAGTGATGAAGAAATTGACTAAATTATGCATATTGAGGCTGGCTCCACTTTTGTCTTCATTTAAATCTGTAGTGAATGTACGTACTCTACCCCTAAAGGAAAATATAATAACGATCTCGAATCTAGATCACTCAATGTATTTAAATTTAGTCCAAATTATAGCTTTCTTACTATTACTTTTAACAAAGTTGTAGAGTAATAATTTAGCCATTTATCATGTGAAATATTCCTTTAATCGTGACTGTATAATTATCGAACATAATATCTTTGTGAGGCCTCTACAGAATTGGTTTCAAGATCATACATAAGAGATTTTAGTAGGTACTCACACTAGGTAAGTTGCCTCAAAGGCGATAATATAGAAAGTGGCATAAGTTGTTTTTCGATGATATAACTCCATTTTTACCATTATTATGTTGTTTAAATAATGAACGAGCGCATATGAATTATATAAGAACAAGCCCATCTTAGAGATGCTAATTGTTTTCTTTGAATAATTAACTATTTATAATGGTGTTGGTTAAGAATGAGACAAATGGGAATCCTGTTATAAAAGTGGATACGTAATAACAGTTAAAATAATTAGAAACATTGTTGCATGTGAACAAAACAAACATTAGGTAAATAGACATACAGAACGACGAAAATTATAAAAATTATTTCCCGAAATTTATCTGGTTGCACAATAAATAAATCAAATGAAGTGGGTATGTAACCTATAATTTTTTAAGAAATCATCTTTGTCAATATGCAATAAATAAACAATTTCATCTGCGATGGAAGAAAAGTAGACTACCCAATAGAAAGTACAGAGAAAGTCTACGTTGGGGCATTTCTCTCCTACATCTTGTAGAGTTAACTTTAGTGATCTAATGCGGTATGCACACACACAGTTCTATTCTTCGTCGTAAAAAATTGACCTTTAACTTTGGCACGGCGTCCTTATACAACACTAAAGAATTTGAAAGGATTGAATGCATACACAGGTACCAATTGTAACCAAAAATGTTGGGATAAATAAAAAATTGTTCAATTTTCTTTATGTCGAAGGTGAATGTTACTGGGGAGATAAGACGCATAAAAAACAGACCAATTCATTATTCTCTCGTAAATCGTGAACTTATTAGAGAAAGTAGAGCATTTGTTGACCCTGAACTTTCGATTATCCAACTGTTTTACTCTTTAAATGCGTGCAAAAGAGCGAGAGAAAAAAATCTCAACACTTCAAGGAAGATGAATCACGAAGAACGCTGCGCTGCGTCTGTTGCTTAATTAACAACAAATATCCATTGAAAGTAAAAGGAGTTCTGTTTATATTAGATGTTGAACTGAAGCAAGGATAATAAATGCGGCGATACTACTACATAGGCGGGTTTCTTCAGATTATTCATCCTTAAAAAAAGCCTAAATAGAAGAGGAAAAGCACGATATTGTTTAAGAGTATATCGCAAGATGTTTCATGTAAGTCATCGTCGAAAAGAGAAGATTACCTACTTTCTTTTCGTGTATTCTCGGCTCACCGTAACTGTTACGTAACTTTTTTTGCCGATATATGTTCATAACTTAATTATTATTATTATTTCATATCAAGAGCAATTTTATATCAGGCTTTCATGACCCTAATAAGTCCGGGTATGGTTAGTTGAAGGAAAAATCAAATGAAGAAAATATTTTATGTAATGCCCATAAAAAATAGGACACGCAGAAAAGAACTAATGGTTCATAATGATTCGTATATGATAAAATTTTATTACATACGAAAATACCAGAGCTAATAAAAGAGAAAATAAAAGTGATAGCAGGAGCATCTTTAATTTCTTTTGCACCTATGTATTTTCGTGTAATAGTTTCATAAAATATAATGTTCATCATAATAAAATAACCATTTTCGCTAACGACTTTATCATTATTGTAACCTATTATGTGCCATTTGTTCCTATTCAATAACTTTTCCAAGAAAGCTGCAATTTTCTAATAACTATTCGGTTAATATCGTAAATTACGGTAGGCAGTTACAAAAACATTAATTCGTTAATCATTATTTATAATTATTACTTTCTCTGAAAGTTAGCCAAAGATAGCAATCAATTTTACAAAATTAGTTTAAATATGTCGCCAGTTAAGTCATGATTATTTTTCTTCATATTTATCTGTTGTCGTTGCCCTTCATGTTTAGATTCAATCAGAGTCAGTCTTACAATAAGAATATTTTCCTTTTTGGGAACACTCGAAGAACTTTATAAAAATAAAGTTTTAAAATCCAACAAAATATCTAATTAGGTATCACTTTAGAAGGTATTAAACGATTGTGGAAAATACCTTCTTAGCAATTAATAAAATACTGGCCTTGAAATTAGATCAGTTATGTAATAAAATATGTTCAATATTTTTCAAGAATTTGATCGTTGACATTGCTTCTTAATTCAAATTTCTTGGAACAAAAAACCTGTTATTAACCGATTTAAATTAATACTAACAAGATTAAGAAGATTAAAGAAGTGCTGATTTATTAGTCACATGAAAGCGGTTGTAAATCTAAACTCTATTAACCCCATTTGTAACAGATTAGAACAACTCTTACAACTTAAACATTAAAGGCTAATATGGGTATATTGCTAAAGAAATCCGTATTGCATAAGTGAAACGGTTTGAATTGAACAAATAAAAATGAGAAAACCGAATTATTAAACATAATGGGTTTTTTGTTCCAGATATACACACAGTAGCAAATTTTCTCTAAACGTAAGAGACATAAAAAATCGTATACAGATAAGGAAATTGGAGTTTGCTTAGGTGAATGTCCTGCCATTGCAGGTATACCAAACAATCCGCATGAATTCCAAGAAGGTACGTTTAATTGCGGTATTTTTCAATAAATAAATTTAGTATTCAACTCGCACTGTAGGATGTATCATAAATTCTTCATAATAATTGCTGAAGTCAACCTTCCTGCTCATTGTGACACCTTAACTAAAGATGTAAGCAGCGGTGTTTGTATTAATACATCAAGTCTAATACTCTCTTCATTTCTTTCGCCCAATCACCGGCATAATCCGTCAAATACAGATTATTATACAAATCTATATTGCTCTGAATATACCATACAGTTCATTTCGCAGGAAATTGTGGAAAAAATAGATTAGAAAAACTAGGTTGACTAATCATACAGCCCGCACCCTGTTAGATCTATCATTAATCCACATTTCAATGAATGGATGTAAATTGAATTTGAAAGCGCATTGCGTAATTCAGGTGGGTAGATGATGAAGAATAATAAAATTCATATTACAAAATGATGGGTAATTTTAAGAAATGCAAATACAGATACTATTTCTTTTAAAAGGATATCAAATTATATTGTATAATTTATTATGTGGGTACAATTTAGGAAATATTATAGAACTTTAGAGCGTGTATCCTGTATCTATGAAAATTGTCACTTAAAATCTAAATAACATCTTTTAATTATTTCGGAAAAAATACATAAACTAATTAAGTAGGTGCCATATAACAAAACTAAAGTATTAAAAAAAATAAAAAAAATAAACCTACCGAATAGCGCAAGCGCCAAAATACACCGCGCGCTGTACATTTTCCAATAGTTCTCCAAGAAATAATCGCACACCACCCGTACACCGCTCTTCGCTAATATAAGTCTTTCTCTTCACTGAAGATCTCTTGTGAGTTCTTCCTCTTTTGAAACTGGCGAATCGACCATTCCGATATTCCGATACGCTAAACTCGAAAGCGATACCACCACCATCAGTAAAATGATGGTACTGGGTGCTGTGGGTACTTAAAAGTCTTCCGCAGGGGCGTATTAGCTCTCCTAACCCATCTGAATCTACTTCTGTATTTTTAAGAATTCCGGGTGTTTACATAATTTTACAGAATTGTCAATTAAGGAGAAATATTTGTGAACTTCTTTAAAATGTGGACATTAGAAAATTAAAGTAAAATATAGCAAAGTATAAGATCTGTGTAGTGTATCATTCAATATGATATAAGAGGAATACAGAAGAATATAGTACATAATAAAAGATAAATTAGATTAGAAAAACATGTAAAAGATTACTATTGTACTACAATAAATTAATACTGCTCTGTAGATATCTAAGAAATAGTCTATTGTCTTGAACTGAAACAATCAAATATAGTCATTCCTATAAACTATTGACCAAGAATAGTTAACGAATTCCTTATCTTCCTGCATCAATGATTAATTCAACTTGAATATTACGAATATAACAAAAAAAACAGAGATCCATTCCGAGGACGCCTATGGTGTATCTTTCGTTCTGGGAAAAGGATTGAATAAATTAGAAATTAACAAAGTTTAGCGTCCTTTTGATAAGTTGGGAACAGATACAAGGCGAACGATTCATTGTATTTTTTGTGTTAATTTTTATATTAATGGGTTTACCTGGAGTTAAACGCGATGTTATTTATTGCTTTTTTATTTTGTAACTGGCTAATGTGCCTGTGATGGTTTCTTAATAAATACCTACAGCATAGTGATCCTATTGTTTATTAAAATGTAGATAATCTTGCTCTGTTTAGGCTTGGACTTTTATAACTTCACAAATCACATTTGCATAAATTCCCAAGGAAATATCTATTTACTCGTTTATTATAGTGTAATGTGTATATACGGTTATAAAAAATATTTTATGTCTTACTAAAAGCTTTTAGAAGAAAACTAAAGAAGTTAAAAGAATCAAAAGTGTTAGGAGTCTGGGGCTGCAATCGAGGAGCCAGCCTTTTAATTTGGGAATCCTTTTCAAATACATTTTGAAACTAGAATCGTTATAGTTTTGTGGCACTATCGTTATTTAAATGGTGTACAATTAGGAAAGCCATGTTGCTGTAAACATAACGGGATGTGTAAAATATTTTGTATTTCAACCAAGTATAATTAAATTGGTTACATGGTCAAACTCTATTTGCGCAAACTTTCGGCAAAATTAACTCTCACAGTAAAAAAATTAACAATGTAGGAGATAAACGATGTATGGTCCAATAGTTTGTGCAAATTAATTTGAATGTACATTTAGGAGCTGCTTAATATACACATAAGTGTAAAATTGTACGCAATATAAGGTGCATGGGACAAAGACAACTTATATTAGTATCATATAAAGGAAAAAGAAAGAGTGATATTGTGGGATTACAACTTTGTCACTCTAACCACTGTTATTTCAATCATTTTTCTTTGTTCAACTCATAGAATTGATGATATTGCAAATAATTGTGCTCTTATGTATAAGTTCAAAATTGTATGCAATATTGTCTATAAGTGTAACAAAGACAACTTCTATTAGTATCATTCAAAGGAAATTATATAGGAATCATATAGGAATCATAAGGAAATTGTAGGACTACAACTTTCCCGCTCTAATCAGTGTTATTTCAATAATTTTTCTTTATTCAACTCAAAAAAATTGATGATATTGATGCAAACAATAATTGTGATCTTATGTATAAGTTCAAAATTGTATATGCAATATTGACTATTGGTGCAACAAAGACCACTTCTACCTTGCAACCTTGCAACCTTTTCACTCTAACCACTGTTATTTTAATAATCTATCTTTATTCAGCTCATAGAAATGAACATATTGCAAAACAAACCAGCACTTTCCCATAGAATAGTAATAGATAATAGAATAGTAATAAAATTAAACCTTTGTTAGGCCTTTAAGGGTGCAGGTAGAATCTAGAATCTAGATAATAAAAACTCATTATGTGTGATAAGAAATATGAGAATTTTAATTTTATTATATAATTGCATAATTTTAATTAGCCAAACATTTTTGAATATTTAAATTACTAAACTGCTACAGATTTACTTATACATTACATTTTAGTGCAAATTATCAATTTTAAATAAAATTTAAAAAAATGGCCGAATAATGGAACAGTAAAAGTCCACATGTGTGCGGATAATAAATTTTAAAATTACCGCCACCAGGAAACGGAAACCGTCCGCACGCAACCATCAGAATTTTACAGTCAAAAAACAAATGAGTAATGGGAAATGGCGCTTGCTGTCGTAAGTGAAGTATTTTCAAGTAAACTTGAAAAGTTGCCACTAATTTACTTAATTCAGATATTTTTAAGGAAACGGCAAGTAATTATATAAAGAATTTAATCGATACGAGAACGAACCGCTAGTTACGAAAAGTTGAAAATGAGTGTCGATGCGTACGGACCCAGTTCGCAAACACTCACGTTTTTGGATACCGAAGATGCTGATTTGATTGGGGCCGATACGCAGGGCTCCGAATGCGACTTCACCGATTTTACGATACCCTCGCAAACGCAGGCCTCGCAACATGACCATGCAGGTCCCAAAGTTACGGGAGTACAGGTTAGTAAACCACAAGGTCATTCGTGCATATTGTTTACTGCAAAACAATTTTCATTCTAATAAATTTAACCTATCGCGCTAATTAATTTAAAATTACACGTGTTTCAAATAATATTTAACTTGTCATTGGCTACTACTGTTGTCAATACCTTTGTATCTATTATTTAAGGTGATTATCTACCGTTCTGATCGAATACGTAACCTTCGGATCATTCCTAAATACGTTTAACTTTAACAGATTGCTAACAACATAGCCAACAAGATCGCTGCAACGACAAGTGCTCTAGGGGAATTGCAATTCGAAGAAGACGATGAAGAAGGTTATTTCAATGCGAAAGAGCTCCCGGATTACGCGTGCAAGTATTGTGGCATTCACGAGCCGAATTGCGTTGTCATGTGCAACCTCTGCAAGAAATGGTTCTGCAACGGTAGAGGAAACACCTCCGGTAGCCACATTATCAATCATCTGGTACGTTTCGTACAATAAAACTTCTATAAACTATTGCATTACGTTCATATTTTTAGGTAAGAGCTAAACATAAAGAAGTCACCCTTCACAAAGATGGTCCTTTGGGTGAAACGATTTTAGAATGCTACAGCTGTGGAGTTCGCAATGTCTTTGTCCTCGGTTTTATACCGGCTAAAGCGGATTCTGTGGTGGTTTTGCTCTGCAGGCAACCGTGCGCTGCGCAAAATTCCTTAAAAGTTAGTACAACGATTACAAATTACAACTAAAACCATCTTATTTCGTTGTAAATTTTCAACAGGACATGAATTGGGATCAAGATCAGTGGAAGCCGCTAATAGCCGATAGATGTTTTTTGACTTGGCTTGTGAAAATCCCGTCAGACCAAGAACAATTGCGAGCTAGGCAAATATCCGCCCAGCAAATCAACAAATTAGAAGAGCTGTGGAAGGAGAATGTCGATGCCACGTTTCAGGATTTGGAGAAACCCGGCGTGGACGAGGAACCCCAGCAGGTTAGACAATAAACGAAGCGCCCAATACGCATAATAAATGCAATCTTTCAGGTTCTGTTACGTTACGAAGACGGTTATCAGTATCAAAACATTTTCGGTCCGCTTGTAAAACTGGAAGCCGATTATGATAAACGCTTGAAGGAGTCCCAAACTCAAGAAAACATCGAAGTGCGTTGGGACGTCGGCCTGAACAAAAAAACCATCGCGTATTTCACGCTAGCCAAGACCGATGGGGATATGAAACTGATGCACGGAGACGAGCTGAGATTGCGTTACGTTGGCGAAATGCATAAGACTTGGGCCGGAGTCGGACACGTTATCAAAGTTCCCGATAATTACGGAGAAGATATCGGTATCGAGCTCAAGAACGGGTCTGGGGCCCCTGTCGAATGCAGCAGCAATTTCGTTGTGGACTTCATTTGGAAGAGCACTAGTTTCGATCGGTGGGTGTACCTTTAGCGAGTTTGTACTGTATTTTAATCAATTTATTTTTGTATAGTATGCAATTGGCGCTTAGAAAATTCGCCGTCGACGATGCTTCAGTATCAGCTTACATCTACCACCGCCTTTTGGGCCACGAAGTTGAAGAGGTTCTATTTCGATGCCATTTGCCTAAACATTTTTCCGCACCAAATTTGCCTGATCTTAATCGTTCTCAAGTGTACGCTGTTAAACACGCCCTTCAGCGCCCGTTGTCTCTAATCCAAGGGCCACCCGGTACTGGTAAAACTGTCACTTCTGCTACCATCGTTTACCAGCTCGTTAAGCAGAACGGCGGACCGGTAAGTTGTCTTAAAGTTAATAATTAATAGTTGTAAATGTATTGTTTTTGTAAGGTATTGGTGTGCGCTCCAAGTAACACTGCAGTAGATCAGCTCACTGAGAAAATACATAAAACTAATTTGAAAGTAGTCCGTCTGTGCGCAAAGTCGCGCGAAGCTATAGATTCTCCGGTAAGCTTTTTAGCTTTGCACAATCAAATAAGGAAGATGGAAGGTAACACGGAGCTGCAGAAACTGCAACAGCTCAAAGACGAAACCGGCGAACTTAGTTCCGTGGACGAAAAGCGCTATCGAATGTTGAAAAAAATGGCGGAGAAAGAGCTTCTCGAGGCTGCCGACGTTATTTGTTGTACGTGCGTGGGCGCTGGAGATCCGCGTTTGGTTAGATTGAAGTTCCATTCGATTTTGATTGACGAAAGCATGCAAGTAAGTGTTGACGGGTTCGTCTCGATATCGTTATTGAATGATTTCGTTTTTGTGTGTAGGCGACAGAGCCGGAATGCATGGTGCCTGTTGTGCTCGGAGTCAAGCAGCTCATCTTGGTTGGTGATCATTGCCAATTAGGTCCTGTCGTTATGTGCAAAAAAGCCGCTCGCGCCGGTTTGTCTCAGAGCTTGTTCGAACGTCTCGTCGTGTTGGGCATCAGACCGTTCCGTCTTGAAGTGCAGTACCGTATGCACCCGGAGTTGTCGCGGTTTCCGTCCAACTTTTTCTACGAAGGTAGCTTGCAGAACGGTGTAAGTTCGGAGGAGAGAAAGTTGAATAAAATCGATTTTCCTTGGCCGATTTTGGACAGGCCGATGTTCTTTTTGGTAACGCAAGGACAGGAAGAAATCGCCGGTTCTGGAACTAGTTATCTGAACAGGACGGAAGCGTCGAATGTTGAAAAAATCGCCACCAGGTTTCTTAGGTCAGGTGTTAAACCTGAACAGATTGGAGTCATTACACCTTACGAAGGACAAAGGGCGTACTTGGTCCAGTACATGCAGTATCAAGGGTCTCTACACAGTAAATTGTACCAAGAAATTGAAATTGCGAGCGTTGATGCATTCCAAGGTCGCGAGAAAGATATAATCATCATGTCTTGCGTGCGCTCTAATGAACATCAAGGAATCGGTTTCCTCAACGATCCTAGAAGATTAAATGTTGCTTTGACAAGGGCTAAATACGGCATTATCATCGTTGGCAATCCTAAGGTTTTATCCAAACAACCCCTTTGGAATCATTTGCTGTCGTTTTACAAGGAGCAGAAGGTTTTAGTCGAAGGTCCCCTAACTAACATGAAGGAATCGCTTATTCAATTTGCCAAGCCTAAGAAACTAACCAACTCCGAAAATCCCGGATCTCATTTCATGACTACTTCGATGTTTGATGCTAGAGAAGCTATGGTACCCGGTAGTGTTTATGATAGAAGTGCTAATCAGGTAATAATGATCTAGCTATAATTGGTTTGGTATTGTGTTAATTCATCTAATTTAAATTCTAGGCTATGAATGGACAATTTAACTATCCAAGTCACAGAGGAGTTCCTCTAGATGTGTTCGGAAGAACCCACGATCCCATTAGTTACATTTCACCGGAACGAGCTCAAGCCGGAATGAATTTACCAGTGCCCGTAGGAATGTTCATGAACATGGCGCACATTCCACCAAGATTCTACAACCAACACCAACAAGCTTTACAAGTAATTCGTTTTAGTCTAATGGAAGTCGATGGTATTTACTCGACTATTTCCTTTTAGGCACGCCAGCAACAGAACCACCGGAACAGAAAACCGCCTCAGAGGCAAAAAGGAAAAGGCGGCAATTTGAGTCAAGATCACACCCAACCTTTCAGCCAGAGCTTGCAATTGACGCAAGGCATGTCCCAACCTGGGTTGTCTCAACCTGGTTTCAGTTTGAGCCAACCGGGATTGTCGCAGGCCGAGCTTAGTCAAGATCCTTACATGGCCGAATACCAATCCCAGATGGACGGACTATTGTCTCAAGATTCTACATACCAGGGAGATAGGTGAGATATATTACGTATTGTTTATAAAGTATTGCTTATGCACTAGTTTACAAGGTTCTAAGCAAAAAACTTTGGATAATAGGAGTGATGTATTTTTGGTTAATGAACGAAAATTTGTAGTAAAACAATCCTAAAATACTGTCGAACAATAGGTGTTCTAGCACACCATTTAAAAAACTGTCTAGGACCATTTAGAACGCTCCAAAATCATTTAAAACTTCCTAGAACCATTTAGAACGCTCCAGATTCTTTTAGAACATCCTAGAACCATTCAGAACGCTGCAGATTCATTTAGAATTGTCTCGAACTACTTGAGAACTACTGGAGAATGCTCCAGAATCATTTAGAACGCTCCAATTTCATTTAGAACATTTAGAACTAGAAAAAAAAAAGTTGAATAATTATCGTACACTAAAAAAAAGTGTAAAATTTGTAAACTAATATTATTATTATTAATATGTGGTGTTTCTTCTAGGTCTGCCTTCTACCAGCCGAGTGCTCAGTTCTCCCAGCCCTATTGATCGAGTTCGGAAGAAACATGACAATAGAATCGCGGGAGCGGTCTTCTGAAAATTTGCAAGTGAAAGAGATCTGATCGTCAAATTGTCAGTAACGCAGCAAATAAGGTCACAAGATGTCGACAAAAACCAGAAAATAATTCAATAATTCGACATATGGAGAGAGAAAACAAACAACATCAAAATAAAATAAGTAACAAAAAAATACATAATAAAGGCGAACGCCAGATTAAAAAAAAGGTTCATGTTCCCTAAAATAAATTTTTCGATCCCCTTACGATTTAAAGGGGACGTTGCTCTTCCTGTAGGTGACGTTTTTCACAATGCTGTGTCTAAGATACCTTCATTTACATTTATTGTAAGTTTTATTTTAAATTTAATGTTTTTAATAAGTTTATTTTTGTTGGACAATTTTTAGGAGGTTGACCCGGTTATTTCAAGTTAGTCTGTTAAAAACAAAAAAAAATATCGTACTTTAATTTTTCATTGTCACTATTAATTCTATTTCATGTTGTTCAAAATAGCCCAAACCGACTTTTGAAATAATTTCTGTCAACGCACCGTAAAGTAAAAAGAAAATTAAAGTTAAATGTCACGAATGGCATGAAAAAAAATTGAGAAAATTTTACTTATTTTTTATTATATGGCATACATTGTCGAAGGGTTATTGGTTTATTTCTTTTATTTTCATGAAATTACTTATTCATTGTCGAAAATGCGATTAAAAGCTCTTTTCATTTATCACTACTACTCACTGCTTTTTACTTTGGACTCTTCCTGCTATACCAAGCGGTCCTCTTATCGGACTTGAGCTATGAAATTTATTTTGAGCAATAAATAAAAACGTTTTATCATGGTTTTGTTTAATTAATCACTCAGTCAATTCCAATTGAAATGTACTCACACGTTCACCAATGAATTCGACTTTATTGTAAATTAAATTCCTTTTAAATTGGGATTCAGGATTAGTACGGTGAACCTTTGAATCAAAGGATAATTAATATTTGCCTAAACTACTCGGATCTTTACTTTCGCTTATTTTTATGAATCTTCCGTTAAAGTACAATTGGGTAACGAGATACAGCGAGTTTTTTGGCGCCTCTCTAGTATGAGGTCTACCATGATATTTGCGGTCTACCTACATATTTAATCGCCGAAGTGTATTTAAATACTTTAACTGGTGTCATATTTTGCAAAACTGAAACTAGTTGTGAACATGTCTTATAAAACTGCAAATGTTTGTCTATTTAAACTTTTTTTCTATCTCCTACAGTTTCCGAAATCCTTCTAAAAAACATCGAAAAAACTCACCCTGTAAAATTCTGAGAGGTCCATAATTTTCGATAAATTGAATTACTTCCCTATTCCCTGCTATTCCATACATGATAATACTGGTAACATTCTTTCGATTGTTTATTGATGAACGGTATATTTACATTTAAATAAATACTGGTACTTCCCCGATTCTCGGTAAATTAAATTACCCACATGCTGCGCTATAAATAGCATCTACCAGTATTTTTTTTGCTTAGAACGGTCAATTTTCAAAATTTTGCTGTATATCTACTTTGTATAAAATAAATTAAATAAAATAAATACTAAACCAGATGCGGTAATAAGGTAGACCGGCACCAGTTTTTTATAGATGTTATGGTTGATATGATTTGCAATTTTTTATTAATATTTTCGGGAATTTCCATTATACACCGTAAAATACCTTTTCCTCGCATGCGGAAGTAGGACATGAGAAAGCAATTTTGTTTCCTATGATATATTTCTACATTTCGCGGTAATTGGGTGATTATCAATTTTCCAAATGTCCAACGAACATCTCCGTATTTGTTTTGAAACGTGTCGTCAGCAACTAAGTGGTTTGTATGACGTTGATGCATTGGTACAGGTAACGAGTTTGTCGTCACACTTATTAAGTAATGGCTAATTAGCATACCAGTAGGTAATATACTATGTTGCCACGTTTGTTACAAAACAAACTTCCTGCGACAAATGATTTTATCAATATGTTATTTTGGTTTTTTTCTTTAATCTAGTACTGTTTTTCGAACTATATAACTACAATGCAATGTGCAGATGGTGGCTGATTGAATTACTGAATTATATTACATTCATCTAATATAAATTGAGAGATTAGATAAAGAGATTTACTTAAGCGTGTGGATAAACATATGCTGAAGAATAAAATTACAACCGCTGATCAAACGGGATGCAGGAAATTCAGCACGAATAGCGAACGTGATAAAAAAATCTCATCTAATCTCCTTTAAATGTTATCTATAATATTTTTTATCTGTTTTATTTTGGCACAATTGATAAAATAGGCATCGAGGCGATCTCCCATACATGAAATATCCGAGCGGGGATTCCGCTCGAGCGGGGTTTCCCACGGTGACGTCAATACGTGTGGTTCACGGCGATTCGCGCGCCGGACTCTGGCCGAGTCTTCCGCGATTTGGAAAGTTCATTTAATCATTTCGCTGCATTTCGACAAAATTAGTTGGAATCCAGCAATCACGATGATATATCTATGTGATGTTTGTCGCGACTGTGAGTCAGTAAGTTCAGTGGATTTAGAGGGTTATGAAAGGCTCTTTGCGCTGAAGTTAGTCGACGATAAAAGACAACATGTGAGTACTAGTACTATTTTTTTAATTATTTCAATTGTGGATTTTGAAATTCGGTTTTCACAAAATTATTTGCGTGTATTTTTGTTTCTTTTATTTATGAAAGTAAAAAGGATGTCATTCAATTTTAATCTCTTTTTAGTGAATGTTTATAAATTTATTTTGATTTCGTTCATTTATCGCGAAATTTGCGGTGTTAAAACTGGTTGCAGCACTAGTGTGATGTGCGATAAGAAAATTCAAATTAACTGCAAGAGGAAATAAATATTATCAATGTATTAATAATGTGTGTTTTTGCAGAAAACTCTGACGACCTGCCGCTTGTGTTACAAAAAGTTGCGATTTTTCAAAAAGCGGTTAATTTTGAAACTAAAAATAAGAATGCACTACCCGAATTATCCTCCTGAAAAAGAAGGTGAATTTCCGGACCAGTTCTTCGAATTGAAAGAACCAACAAATGCCCAAATTGATGAATTTTTATCACCAATGGAAGACCAAAATTTAGAAAACCAAAATACAGAAACATGCACCGACGATTACAATTGCCAATGTGATAACTGCCAGAAAAAATACGGAGATTTGCCCATTCTTTTACAAGGTAAATAATTATTATATTTTTCTACACCCCACATTCCTAACATAAAATTTTTAGGCATCGAGCAAAAAACCTTCAACGATAAGACTGATTCCCAACCATCGACGTCTAGTCATTCGAGCCCTTCGAAGAGGATCCTCACCTGCGAGTATTGCAAGAAGACATTCACTCACAAAGGGGATTTCAACAAACACTTGAGGAAGCACACTAAAGAAAAACCTTTCTCCTGCAAAGTGTGCGGGAGGAAATTCGGACACACGTCGAACCTGCTGCGACACCAACGGCTACACAGCGGGGAGAAACCCTTCACTTGTGATAATTGCTCGAAGAAGTTCAGCCGTAAAGACAAGCTCGATTGCCATAAAAGAAGCAGAACGTGTTACGATGCTAGCACGTCTCGCTCATTGTTTAATCAGTGATTGGACTTTTTATATGGGTATCTTAATGTGATATGATGCTACTTTGATCTGGTGTAATGTACATTCCAAAACGTCATTACACTTACTTACTCATGAATCTTCGTTAAAAATTATTGTGACTAAAATATTTATTAAATTTTGATGTTTTTTTATTGTCGTTTTTTTACCAAACAAGACCTTACATATGCATGTTGAAGTAATCCTGAGTTAATGGGTTTAACTCATAAACACAAAGTAAAACAACAGGAGGAAAATTTACATTTTTATTCTAACATCTGTTCTATATTGTACACAAATTGACTACTACTATGATTGAAATTGAAGATTTCATAGTTTAGTAAGAATATACAATGAAATAGAATTGTACCTAACAAGGATAATATAACGAATTAAAAAAGAAACTAGTTAGTATTGATTTAGTTATGTTTATTCCCAATGTTCATGACAGATATTTTATGTTAATTATGTTTAGTTTTCACCTTCGTTAGGGAGGTATCCAGATATCTGAAATAAGAAAAGGGTTCCTGTTAATAATCAGATTATTTACTAGACAATATAACTTGAAAATTAAATACACAGTAACAAAAAAGTACCCGGAAAATTGGAATATAACGCAAAATTCCTAATATTCATTCTAATTTCTTGAGTGTTCTTCAAAATAAGCTCGTTTTGAAGCGGTTCACATAATCAGACGCCTTTTCCAATCATCGAAGCATTTTTATAGACCCTTTTTGGTACGGTTTTTAGCTCCTGTGAATTTTCTGTGATGGCATTTATGGAGTTGAAAGGAGATCCCCCAAGTGGCAATTTGAATTTGGGAAACAAAAAAGTGTCGCAGGAGGCTATATCTGGTGAGTAAGGCGGCTGGTCGATGATACTTCACACGAACCAGCATGTCTGCATCGACCAGTTGACGTATCGTTTATAAAGAAAGTCAGCTCTATCGAAACGAGCCGACCCTCAATTCGCAGCATGTCAGATGAAGAAGACAAACTCTTTGTTCATTATTTATGTCCATCGCAAAATTTGCAGAGCACTACTGAGATGAACTAATTCAATCAGGTGCTACAACCAAACTGATTGAGAAATCTCTCGAATTTTATGTATGTAATGAAGAACAGTGTTACTTACATACAAAAACTTGAAATAGTTAAAAATATTAAGTGGATGTAATTTAAATCAGAAATTCCGGGAACTTTTTTGTCAGAAGGTACTTAACAATATTATTATTCTTGAAATTTATGTGATGAAATTATCTTCGGAAAAACCTCTTCTATATCATAGTAGACCTTTAAACTGTTTAAGTAAACATTCTAAATGCATACTTAATCATTTTAATTAAAATGTAAGATACCTAAATAATGTAACAATTTTAGCAAGGGTTATGGTATTAATTTTACTAACATCCCAAGAGAAATTATGAATAAATATCAACTTCATATTCATGTTGAAACCTCAATTGCAAGTACTATAAAAACTGTAATCCTAGTAGTGTAACGGATCCCTTAAGTTTTCGAAAATGGATGTTCATCCTTCGGGATATCGAATATTTCTATACTTACTGGCATGGGAACCTCTTCGAATCGTTTTCCAAATCGAAGGCGAAGGGATGTCGGTCTTTCATTAGTGCCCTAAAGCAGATAAAAAATATATCGACTTTGCATTAAAAATAGTTTTTGCGAAAAATTAAGATCTAGCGAGGCGTAAGAAAATTGTGGAATTAACTTACTTCATCGGCTCTTTTGCCAAAACGTAGGCGTAGAGAGGGAGGTCTTTCGTTTCCATTCTAAGAATAAAGAATCATTCATATACCTCTACACTTTTAATTTATCTACTTAGATTTAATTTAAATTAAATTCAACAGTAGCATTTAGGTGTATTGTTACAAGTATACAGGTATACTTACTGCTTTGGAAATAAAAGGATCAAATTCGTCTGCTCGTTTTCCAAATCTTAATCTTAGCTGAGGCCCTCTTCTTCTTTCCACTTGATGAAAACCGATGGGATCCTCCATATTTTCTTTCTGCATCAACAGTTCGACCAAATCGTGGATATTGTCTGTAACATTTCGTTTAAATAATTCAAAATTTCTTCATTATTCATTAATGCCTAACGTCTCACCCTTTTTCTTTCTATTAAAACTCCTTTGACATATAAACAACTCTGATTTATGAAAACATTTACCTGCTTTTTTATCAAATTATTGAAATACTTTAATGCCCTCGTGCGCTCGCATAATTTATTAAAAGAAATTTCGAACTTGTTTCTCCGAGTTCGTAATTAAATTTTTCCAATGTTTCTTTTTTGCGCCCGCTGGATGGCTGGACCTTAAAGTTTACTTGCTTGTTATCTAATATCCAGCAAGAGGGAACTTTGAGTATTTTTCATACAATCTTTCATGTATACATGATACACCTACTGAAAAATTTGCCTAATCTAATTTATTTTTTACCAACTTTTGCAATTATATAATTATTAAAATTTTAATCGCGAAATACAGTGATTAATTCACAGTTAATTGCTAAATTTCCAGCTAAATAATATAATACTGATGGAATTGTTTGTATCGGGGAAAATGCCTTCTGTTGAATTTGATTCTATTGTTAGAAATATCTAATATTTTTGGTCTTTTGTATGTATTCTATCGATTGTTAAAGGAGAATTTGGAAACTTAATACAATGAATAATTCGTCAAAGATCCTAATCCATTAATCTATTAAATCAAATTATATTGGATTAAATTTAATTCCATTATACATATATATCTTTACGTGGGTAGATTATAATCCTAAAATCATAAAAATCAATTCATAATTAGATATTTTTAAATGTAGATAAATCTGCATACATAAATTCTAGTAAATCAATATTTAATTTATGTTTTAATAGCGATATTATTGTATTAATATGTATTTAAATTTAGAAATATGAATTATTCCACATCGGGATCGCTGTGATTATTAAAAAAAAGTTAATTAGTTTGAATGAAAATTGATTTGAATCAGAGTGTTAATAATTTAACTAATTGTATTAACTATTAACGTTTTTGGCACGTTTATATAAACTGCTCCACCAAAGTTAAGGAAGTTCGCAAATTTTGCGATTATTATAAAAGTTACAGACTTTTTGATCACCAAATTTTCAAATGTGCGAAATTAAATGTTTTCTCTCATATCTGAGTGGATTTTTTGCCCCTACCTCTACAACTCATATTAAATTTGGCGATCAAAAAACCTGCAACTTTTAAATTAATCTCAATATTTGTGAACTACCTTAACTTTTGTGGAGCAGTTTATTTTATTGAATGCTCTTACAGGCAACGTTTACATAGAATAGAAAATACTTTAATCAATTCTTATAGTGTACATTTTGTTAAAATATCATTTTTCTGAATGCATTTTGGATTTGATTCGAAAGATATGATAAAATAGTGTATCACATTTTTTAAATATGAACTATACAGTTTTAAACCCATACAAATATTATTCGCTATTATCAAGTTTACAAATCGTGTCTCGTGTAATCGTCGATATTATTATCCATCTGGAAATTGCTGTTTATGACATAAATATCGTTCCTGCAGCATTTCCAATAAATAGAATAAGAATATATATTTTAATTTTAAAAAAACTTTTAAGTTCTTTTTGTTTGTTAACTTAATGTTTCTCTAACTAAATGAGATAGTTATACTTTGTAGTTATTCTATACAATTTCTCCTGGCAATAATAATTTTTTTGTCAACTACTTGCTTCGTTTCTAACGTGTAGGTTTAATTATTAAATTAAATTAATTAATTATTAAATTTCGTTTTTCATGTTATATTATCTTTTATGCACAATTCTGGTTTACCTCAAATTATTATTTTGTAGCGGCAATTAAAAGTTTTACAAAATGACTACGTTAGGACTCAACAAATAATCCAAATTTGTTAGTTGCAGTAATGATAAAGTAAGCATATTTAAAGCTGCTTGCAAGTGCTTAAATATTTTTAATGGCGGAGGAACCTGCGAATCCGCCAAAATTTCAAAGGACAATTTCATATTTTCAAAAAATTAGAATACATAATGATTAGATTAAGCACAAGTATGCTGCAGTAAATTAACATTAACGCTAAATTTAACCATAAATTTACCTTACTTACAATACGTCCTTTGTCTCTAATAATATTTATAGCAGGTGCTGCTGTGTAGAGGTGACAAAAATTAATGATTTTCCAATAAATAGATTAGGTACCTATATGCCTATAGGTATGTTCAAGCGTATAAATAATATGACCAAAGTAATAATTGTACTTTTATTTGCTATATATCTGCTCATCTACCCTATATTACCTAAATTGATTATAATTTTTTAACGAAAATTTAATTTACATTTCAGATATCCATATTAGGTACACATTTTCTTATTATTTCATTAACACAAAGCAAGGTAGCAATTTCTAGAGCATGTAATATTTTAATTTATAATTTACGTGCAGATAATATGCACCAATAGGTCAAATTATTTTTATTACATTCATAAATTATTCATTGATGAAAAGCATGTGTATGAACGTAATTAGTTTTGATAGAAAATGACATTACATTACTAAATAAATATTTCAACAATTCCGAGTACATAGAAAATAATCAATTTTCATTCATATTTAATATAAATTGCGAGACGACAAACAAGACTGGGCTGCTCCTATTGTATTTTTTAGAAATACAAATATTTACTATTAAAACAGTATAGGAGCACAGAAATTAATTTTTTCGTTAATACGCATTTTTTATAACAAACATTCAAATTAATGTCCCATGTTAATTTTATTATTATACATTTGAGAGCGTCCTTATTACGTCTAATCATCACCAAAATATCTGGGTAGTTTTTTCCGCTGAATAAACTAAGAGTAAGTACGGCAAACCAAATGAATTCTGTTAATTAGATTTCCTATGTAACTGCTCTCCGTTCTATTACGCTTTTTATAAACAAGACCCTGGAGACTTAGAAATGTAATGAAATTTTCGGTATCGTGCTACAATTCGCTATTATTCCTATCAAAATACGAGAAAAATTAGTCACGAAATGTATAACCGTTACTGATAATGTCATTATTATAAATAGGCACGCTTTTTTTAATTTCAGCACGTTCTATAGTGTACAATACAATTATTGTAACTTGTAGAAATTAATTAGCTAAACGTATAATACCTACGAGTAATTCATCAGTAAAATTATATTTATTGATTTATCTAATAATTTAGGTAGATGATAAATGGATGATCTTGAAATCTTTCATTACCTAATTTGTCTAGTGAAACCGATACCAAATGGTAATGATTTCATTATCCTTTATAATTTAGCCTAAATTACTTACTGTCATAATCTGCGTAGGGTGCCGTTGAAACTACTGCCAAAATAACGAGGAAAGCAAATACTGCAGAGAATAATCTGAGCGTCGGAATATTATGCATTCTATATTCGGAAATTCAATCTGAAACAAAATTTATCATTTAAATTTTACGTTGAACAAAGCTTAAATATTAATTTAAGGTAAAATGAAAAAGGAAATGTTGGTATAACTTGGCACGTTTATCGTCTGCATCATTTAATTGTACGTATTAGTTGATTCAATATTTGATTGTAGGGGTTTAATTTTTTTCAAATCTTGTTATGCAAACGGCGATTTCATGCTATTACACGCACGACAAATTTAATAATACGCGAATTTATATAGCCACTCACTTTGTAGGGGTTGTAATTTATACGTTTTATCAACGCCTAGATAGGAGATCTACGAGAATTAATACCGTTATTATTCTCAAGTACAATGGAAAATACGTTATTTGAAAAAATTATAATGTAATAGAGGTCGATTCTATATACATACTGTATATACACTTAAATTCAATTTTCCCTCATGGTCGAGAAAACCTAAAATTTTTTAAAAAGTTGTTTACTTCAAAATTGAAAACGAAATATAGAAGGTCGCCAAATATATGTGTCGGTCGAATAAAACCGTTCTCGACGATAATAAAGAAATCATTATTTTTACATAAGTCTTCCTTAACAATATTTTAATAAAACGCCGAGCGGATACTTTGTCGAGCTCGACAAAAAGAGCTGTTTTATTGTAAAATTCGACAACAATAGGTAGTGCGGGGCTTTTCAATAGCGTGATAAATTTTTATTGGTGCCTTCTTACGAAGAGACTTTTCTCGATTTAAAAAATGCGTATTATATTACGACATATTCTAATAATAGTCAGGTGTATAGTTAATTGGATGAAAACTTCGAGTGCTAAACGCCGGGACAAAAATCGTTTTATTGAACATAATAAATCGTAGGTAGTAGGCAAACGTTTAATAACGGGAAACTGAAATCCTGAAATATGCAGCATTTTTATCGCCATCTACTTGATCAAAATTTATTAGTAGCGGAGCGTGATATTTTCCACCTGATGAATATCCTCGTTAGTTGGGTTTTATTAATTTTTTTCTATTGCAAACTGTTGAAATCTAATTCTCATTTGCACCTTTACGCAAAAAGAACGATTCGGTAGTAAAACCAATCTCATAACACCTTCCAATATAATGATAAAGCGAGATTAATTTTGAAAATTTTTGTTTAAATTGTATACATAAAATATAGAAATAAATCCAGAGATGATGACAGGCATAAAAATCGAAAGTAAACAGCCGGCATAAAAGCGATGGGAGTTAGTTTTATTGCTTGCATATTCCATGCGAAAGGTAGGAATGATTTCATACCAAAAATTTACATTGTAAATTTTATATCGAACTCGAAAGAAGCGGTGTTGAAATCGTTAAACTAAGAGCTTTCTATATATCGGTGGATAAACCCTCTATTTTTTACATAAATCCTGCAATTTTCGGTCGTGTTTTTTTTTCGCAAAATGAGATTTTCTCTATTATGAAGTGTTTGTATTTGTAAAAATTAGAATACACCGAAAGCTGCTTAGAAGCTCTGTAGTAAAAGATATTCGTTCTCTCTATCTCTAAAGTAAAAGCTTTACGTTCTTGCTTGCATTAGCGCTTGATAATTATAAAAATTCCCACCTACCCTTACCTTCAACCGATTAGGTCAGAATTTTACCCTGAAAGCTTTCCACATTATAATTTTATGCGCTTATTTTTTTTCTGCATTAGATACCATCAAGAAAAAAACTTGTGCATAAGCCATTATAGTAGTAAAAAACTATTTTTTATTATACATGTTAATTTTAATCCTACCTGTATTTTGAATTCTAATAAAATATCGTATAATTTTGATGGTGTCATGTGTTTGGTTTGCCTCTATTTCGAAAAATTGGTATTTATTTGGCTTGCGGGGACGGTTATAAAATACCTATCGATTGAACGAGCACGCAGAACCTTTTATATTCGCCTTTATTCGGAGTAATTTATTCAGTTCAATTAACATAACGCTCAAATGATCTTTATATAGGTTTCCTCAGGCGCAGAGATTAGAAGGATTACGTATGACATGTGCAGTGCTTGTGTAGATTTTCTGCTGACAACTTGCCTAATGAATCGGCATCAGCATCAGTATCAAGGAGACGATTTTCACCTAAATTCAATTTTTTTTATGAATATGCGTGGAAAATTTTGTATTCGAAATTATCGACAGATTGGTTTTTTACAACGTTCAGCCGTCGAAGTTTTTAAAGCTCTTCATAAAGCTCGTACGAACTGATGTAATATTTCATTCAGAATGCGAATAAATGGAAATGTGAATGTGTACCTGATTCGTATCTAATTAAATAGAAACTTTTTCAGGATAAATTGGAAAATAACCAGACGATTTGTTAATTTTTATCTCTCTGCTCCAGCAGCTTCTATAGGTACTTATACACAATTCGTATATGCATAAAATATACAATAATAATAAATCACAAGTATTTATCTTCAATGCCTGGAATATTGATAAAGTTAAATCCACAAAATAAGCATGGAAAAATGGCGCGTATGTGAACGCGAAAATATTTATTTACGTTATATGCGAAATAAAGACGTGACAAAAAATATCAACTAAATGTCGGTTACTGTTTGCAGAAAAATGGGAAATTGAATTTTACGTTGTACAGAAAACCACATGACAATCACTTTGGGGATTTTTCATTCGCTAGATTATATTCGACCGCAGTGCGAAAAGCGCTTATTGTTTTAGTCGTCAACATTAATTTAATATAAATTTTCCTTACACAAAGACCTATACATAATACTTATCAAAATTAAGGTAGAGATATCTAAAAAATCTACAGTGGCTCGACTAGGCTTTTTATTAGAATTTTCCTCTAAATAAATGCGATTATAAGAATGTTTTTACATGATGATTGCATGCGGTGCGGTTTTAATATTGCAATAAAATTTCATTTAAAGCGAGCCTCAATATGTTAGTTTCGGGAAAAATTAACTCTTAAAAGCAATAAAAATTTTAACTAGCAATAAAAGCGCTATTAATTGGGACAACTTATTAAACTAGGTAGCATCTTATGCAGACATAAAACTATTATTTTCTGGTAAAGTATAACTTCAGAATTAGAGTTTAAAATATTTGGATAGCGATTTTAGAGAAGATCAAGTGAGTTATTTTATTATACATATTTTAAGTGAAAATTAAGTCAAACGTTGGTAATTTATTCATGAATTATACACGAAAAAAATCACTTCAGATGCAAATGGATTTCGACAAAAGTGTTCATCAAAATATAGAGTATGATGAATCTGTAAAAAACTTTTTACTGGGTGATTTACGCAAAGATTAATGGTTAGTTTACGGGAGTTCATTAATTTTGCCTTAAGGTGGAATCTTTTAATCAAAATTTTTATAAGTTAGCAGTTTATTAGCATCTTTAAGGAAGAATTCATAAAATTTTGCTCAGTGGTGGTGACGATAGTCCTGCTAGATCTTATCTATGACTGACAATATTGTAATTCTTATAAATTTCAGTTAATATAAGAAGTTTAGTTTCAATCATTTACGAAATCTTCTTAATTTTTAATAGGAAGTTTCACAAATAAAATATCATAGAACAATTAAAAAAAACACGTTAAGTTGTTACAAAATGTGAATATGATATACAAACTTTTTCCGATTTACTTTTAAAAATTCTTGCCGCCCATGGAAGTTCTTACCATAAAACATCCAAAGAGGTATTGAGTCTTCATGATTCCGAAAGAGAGAAATCGTGTATAAAAAGGTTGATTTATGGGAATATAGAATACTTTATTGGTACTTGGACTGGAAAAAGTGTAAAAAGCAACGCGAAACATCGTCTGAGATAGTATCCTTTATTCCTTTATTAATGATTGATCGGTTTCTGAAAATAGGTAGGTATAGGTATAACAAAATGTTTTTACGTGCCACTGTTTTCATTAACTTCTTACTAGCTCGATGTAAATTTGACTAGATAGCAGATTCGAATCTAATTAGACATTATTTCAGTGTATAGGATGTAGGCTATGGTTGTATTCAATTTACTTATCAGATGTACCTATATAATTCAACACATTATTTACATATTTCATGAATATTAGGGAGATAGGAACAAATTTGCATAATTCAATTAAATTATCTTAGTTTATTTAATATAGTTTCAAAATAAATGAACCTTTAATCAACAGCACATTTCCTAAAATCGAGTTACATATAAAAATGACGTGACTAAATATATAACGAATTGATTAACAATTTATTTTGCCTGCGTGGGTTCATCTGTAATGAGACAAAATTTCCTTGTTACCTAAAATCCTCTCTCGAAATTAAATTATAAATAATTTTACATGTAGTTAAAAGTGTAAGCGTTATATTCAAATGTAATTATTTTAATTGCAAGTTTATAAATAAATTTTAAATGAATTAGGCTTGAACGTATATGGACACTAAAAAAAGACTTTCAAAATATATTCAATTAAAATAAATTACGCGTTAAAATGCCTGCAATTCACCTGTAGGCGTATAAGCCCAATCGATAATCACATTATAACCCATGTAAAAAAATTGTAAATAGGCACAAATTTTCAATAGAAAATATATTTTCATTCAATTTACATAGGACTTGTCTCCCAATTTAGAAATAAATAAAACTCTAATAAAACAATGCGGTGTTATTTAACCGAGACTCGCGTACAATTAATTAACACATTTTATTTAATTAGCTCTGATTTTACGATAATCAAATCAACATTTAAATTAGCCAGCGCTTGAAACGTTCGAATTGAACGGATTTCTTGCGATTCCCCTTCAGATACATGTATATTCATTACGTACTTTTGTGAGGCTGCTTTCACCGAACTTTCGAGGGTTTAGAGTAATTTAGAGCCTTCTGATTCACGAAACTTCTTCAGCTCTAACGCGACGCACGTTATTTTATGCGAATGAATTAAACGTGTACATACAAATATGTTTTCCAGAGTTTTCGTTAATTTTAGCCAATTACTACGGGTTCACTGCTTCTGTTAACGAATTTAAATACTACTGTAATATGTATGAGAAATAGTAAATGTAGTATTTATTGATTATCGAAAACGCAAAAATTGTCCAATTAAACAGCAATTTACTTTTATTTGTATTAGTTGAGTAGGATCATAAATACTTTGTTTTATTTATACTAAATACATAGATGTGTGATAATAATTACTTATGAATGATTTAACATACTTACCTAATACTTCTTATTTAGTAAAACCAATATGTTTTATGGATTAAGTTTAAATATTATTAACTAGCAGAAAATTCGAACATTAATGTCTCTTTGTATGATAAATTTCTGTAATTTTTTTACTTCTACATCAGGAATTAGAATAAAAAACAAGCATGATAAGGGTAATAGTATTTTCCATCTTTATCAATGTCTCTTAAGATATTTACATATTTTATATTTCCTCCTACATATTTCTGTAACACTCCAAAACATTGTGTAACTTTAATATTCCAAGAAGCACGAGTAGCTCAAAGAAGAACAATTTTGAATTTATGCAAAATATAATTTCGTAATGATGGATTTCGCTCGCATTTCGGAAAACATTATGTCACTTTTGCGCCTCGTAACATCCAATTATGAAATAAAATATTTACGCTTTTCTCCAGAGAATCAACCGATGTACGTACTTACGTACCGAATACAAATAAAAATGATGTTTCATTTGAAATGTTTAAAGTTTAATTTGATGAGGTTCCATTGGGAATTTAATTTTGGAATAGCATTTCTACATAGCAGTTATACGATTTTTAGATAAAATATTCATAATGTGATTTAAAGTTGTAAATTAAAGTAAAACTTTGATCAGAAAATTACGTGGGAGTTGAAGGTAATTAGAATAATACTACCAATTTAATTAGGTACATATCTGCAATTTTTTATAAAATGAAATATGAAAATGATTCAAATAAACCGGAAAATCCCGGAAAGTCTGGAAAATAAATCAGATTTAAATCGTATTTCACATTACTGCATCAGTTCAATAAAAACCCAATTTAAAATTCTATCGGACAATATAATGGTTATTTCGTAAGCGCATCTGATTCCAATTTTACAAAAAACACAATAAAAAACTCTAAATATATCTAACTAAAAATATACTTCAAAAATCTCCACATATAAAATCAAATCATAGTCAACTCACCCTGTATGTACACAAGTAAAACAATATACCTGTTGATGGGACTCACCACGGACAATGAATAAACACTATTTCCCTTAAACTCTTATATATCTAAACATTTCTCAATCAATTTTAGCGCCCTCTGCTCTGCGCTTGCCCGCCAAACTCTTCGAAAAAGTTATTCACGGCCGGGAAAGGATAACAAGGGGATGATGTTATTCGTTTAAAAATGGATTTTCGAACGTGCGGGGGGTGTATGTTCGGAACGGTCGCATAGCATCCTCGATGACGATTTTTAAACGATCTACGTGGTTAATGGAAAAACGAGGAAATGGATATTTCACTATATCTAGAGTATATTGGTTGTTTTGAACCACGTACGGTTTTTCATAATTTATTTGGTGCTATTTTTTATCCTGCTGGTGATTTGTAAATTGTTGTTCATTTTCCTAATAAGTAAGATTATATCAATATCTTCTAACGCAACTTGCCCCTCAAGAATGAATCTATATTTGTTAATTTAGTACCGTTATTATTAATTGCAACCACCACTCCTTAATTATACCGTAGGTACTTATAATAAAGAATTACTTATACGATGAATATTTTTGTATAAACACTTTTTCGGAGTTAGCACATTTTTATATTCAGCGAAACTTTTTGACCTTTTCGAAGAAATAAGCTACGACTTTTAGACCTAAAACAATCAAATCAGTTTGTTTAGGATTTGATGTAAAAGCAAACATGACCTGCATTAAAAATATTAAATAATCCTATGTGCCAGTCAGCTCCGATGCCTCGAAGCCATTAGGTTATTAAAAAATGAAATTGTTCGCAATAAACGAAGACTTTTTCCAGAAGGTATGAAAAGCTTTAATTAAAACATTTTGCTGAATTTGTGGGCAAATTCATTTAACAATGTGTATTTATCCTCTTTCATGCAGTGCGCTCATTTCGTCAATTAAAATCCAATTCCTTCCAGCGTTCCTGCCGGTATTCCAGATTGTGGATTATAGATTATCCAGTTGGAAATAACTTGTTATTAGTCTACGTGTTTGTCATAATAATTCACTAATGTCGGCAGGCTGGTAAATTTACCAACTAGTAACCACATACATCAAGAGTGAGCCTATGTATCTAATCAGATAGCAAATAATATAAACAATATTTGCGAATATACCCTCTAGAATTATTAATTTATTGTGTACAATATTTTGTATAAGTGATTTATGTAGGTATTAATTTCGAAGATTATGTTTGCTTAGACATCGTCTGGAAAGGGGTAATATTTAGATAGAAATGATAGTTGACTCTTGTACCAAATTAAAACATTTTTATTATTGAAATTTAATAACTGAAATATGTTTAAAGTATTAACGGATAAATTCGTTTTAAAATAACTTCTCTATTCCAGGATGACTCTTTCAGAATTATTGATTGGACATATTTTTACATTCTTTTTTCGTACTAATGAACACATGTTGAATTGACGTAATAACGCCACTTCAACGGTATAAATTTACGTTATTATGTGCTAGTGCACATGTATAGCCCACCTCTTCAATATCAATTAATGAAACTGGATACTATGTAAATTTAACTCGGAAAATGCCAATATTTTCTTATACAAATGAAATATGTGGGATTCATTCACTCGCCATTCACTTGTTAGCAATAACAAAATATATTTTTATGATTATTCGGTACCTACGTACTTAATTATTTTTAGGATTAAGTATTTTTGTTTCAAAATATACTACCTTAATTTTTGAGTTTAATTTTTGACTTTTTGAGGTAGCTAAATTCAATGTATCCAAGACTGTTTCTTCCATTATTCTTCTAAATTATAGAAATTTGTTGATTTCCAAATTTCTTTTTAAACTAGATTCTAAATCTAGATTTTAAAATAAAAACCTAGATTCCTTGATTATGTTATTATCATCTCAACTTTCAGATAACCGGATATACTACTGTGACACAAAAGTACCCGGAAACTTGGAATAAAAAGCAAAATTCCTAATCTTCATTAATATTGTCGTTAATATTAAGTGTTCTTCAAAATATGCTCCTTTTTCCATTTTTATAGACCTTTTTTGGAACGGCCTTTAGCTCCTTCTGGAAATTTTCTTTAATGGTATTTATGGACGGGATCTCCGAAGTGGCAATTTGAGTTTGGGTAACACAAAAATATCGCGCGAGGCTAAATCTGGTGAGTGAGGCGGCTAGTTGATGATACTTCACACGAACCAGCATGTATACATCGAACAGTTGACGATATCGTTTATGAAGAAAGTCAGCTCTATCGGAACAAGCCGAGCCTTAATTCGCAGCATATCTGATTGGTTAAGCATAGTCAAACGAGCGGTTACACGATAGATGTTGAAGTCAACTGCTACTTCTCAAATACAAAATCACGATAATTTTCGAACTCAATTACCTTCATTTATTCGCTGTTGAAGAGGTTAAAGGCCGTGCGGAACGAGGCTCTTTAGCAAACCCCCGACCGTCTTTAAAAGTTTTGGACCATTCGTATACTTTGGTTTTCGATAAATCAGAGTCACCTTCAGCATTTGCATCGATTCGGCCCACGAAATTCCGTTCAAACCCAAAATATGAGACAAACTCTTTGTTCATTATTTTTGTCCATTGCAAAATTCGCAGACCTGAGATAAACTGATTCAATTAGCTTCTACAAACAAACTAATTGAGAAATCTCTCTAATTTTTTGCATATTAATCTGGGTACTTTTTTGTGAGAAATCTCGAAAAATTTCAGAAATAGTGCTGGAATACAAATATTTATCATTATTTTCCGCCTAATTGTAATTGCTGAAGTTATTAATGAAGTTATATAAAATTTGCTGGAATTCTGATATTTTTCCAACTCATATCACGGGAAATTGTAGTTTCCATTATTTGAGTTAAATTGATAAAGCCACGATCTCATATACATTCTTTTTAGAAATTTTATTGATAGGGATAATTGCAGAGGTGGTTTTAGAGAAGAAAAATCGCTCCTTTGAATTAAAAAGCTGCATCTAGAATAGTTATTTTAGCCCCAGCTCCCGGATTTGTACCAAGTTGGTTTATTATTTTAAATATTGATATGATTTTAAAAATTGATATGATTGTTGATTGATTGATTAATTGATTGACTGATTTTTATGATCAAGTGATAATAATTTTGAAATATACATTTAGACATCATCGTTAAACCTGATACTAAATATCGTCTTTGCATTTATAATAAAATTCAAGATATAAAAAATTTAAATTGAAGCATCTATGCATAGTTGTTACCTTAACAAATTATTTTATTACGGAAAAGTAGTTCGTATTAATAATTCATGTACTTTGGAATGTGTACTTTTCAATAATGCACAACTATTTTTTAAAAATTTTATTTTCGATTATGTTTTACATGCTTTTCTTGTCACACAAACTTTTCGGTTATAATATCCCTGTATATTCCACAAAATAGCATAAAAATGTGTACAATATAATAGAAAATTAGGATTAAATAAAAAGAATTGTGTATAAAAGTCTTGATCGATTATTGACTATCCTCCTGCAAATATTTTCTTATTGTATAGCAGCAGGAATACGCAATAAAAAAATTAAAAATAGCTACTTATTCAAACAATATAATTACCCTGTTGGTATTGGTATTATTTATATTTTATAGCTTTAAAACTATTTACAATTTTTGCTTCTGAATAGAAAAAGAAAAAATATCACAAGACAAATTGCTACAAAAGATCAATCAGAAAGGAAATATACTATAACGTAAGTAAATAAAATATTCAAATATCAAAAATAAAGTCATATAAATAAGAGCACCTAAAAAGTCATGTTATATTAAATAAATGTAGTAATATAAAATTTAAATATTGTGCTACTTCATCAGCAATTAAATAAATTAATATCTACACATGGCGCAAACTGTTATGAATAATCCTCTAAACATCAAAAACTATTGATTATTTGATTTTTCCGGAAATTGCGCCATTTTCTACTTAAAATACTCGTATAAATGCAGGTAAAACTATCTTAAATATTATGTAGGTATATATAAAATTTATAAGCATTGCACCAGATTAATATGTACTGATGAAATGTTTGTTAAATTATTTATACTTTTAATTATTGCACGAGAACGTATTCTAAAAAATACATTTTACAATACTTAATAAGGTTTTTAACTTTGAATTTTCCCTATTGATGCTTAAACTCAATAATTAGATTTGATCTAGCTTTTAAATTCATTTGATAATCAATCATTTTGAGAATAAGCTACCAAATATTACAAAAAATTAATCTATCTGATTTAATAAACTTACAATTTTACGAGTAAAAGTCTGTATACAAATTAAATATAAAACTAATTGATTCATACGTTCGATTTTTACCAAAATTTTACTTAAAATTAGGAACTGTACAAAGCAGTTATAAAAAGTACAAAAAAACTTATAATTCGAATTTGATGTCTGCTTTACGTCTTCTTACTTTAAAGAAAACTGATATGAAATCAGTCCGTTTTCTGAAAAATAAATAAACCAATTTAATTAACGAAACGAGAAATATTAATATTTTTTAAATACCTTTCTTGCAAATGGATAAGCAATTGCAAAATGATGCATAAAATTGCTTTTAGACGTAACTTAAAACTGAAACTAAATGATGAATTAGTGAATAAGTGTGATAGGAAATGGAGCCTGATAACTCAATGATATGTGATAAGGAATTCAAACTAAACATCCTCGATTATTATTTTGAGCAGTATTTGATAATTTGCACCATAAAGCTCCTAAAATTTTAATTTGTAGATTTTTATTGCGAAATTTCACATTAGATCAAATACTGTTTATCACTACTTATGACTTGCTAAAGGGTTAAATAAGGTGAAGAATGAAAAACCTTCTTATAACATACTATTTAATACAAAAATCTCTAAATACATTTAGATAAAATATACGTAGTTCCAATTTTAAACAATACACAATGTGGTCTATTTGTGTGATAAAATCCAATATAATATCCTAGTTAAAGATATTAGAAAAGCTATTTTGAAATATAAAAAATTGTAAAATCTTAAATAGCTTTTTAGAAAGAAAATTTGACTTTAACGCGCAAATTGATCACTTTGTATACGATAAAAATTCTAAATTTTAAAGCTTAATCACTAGTCCAATCAACAGAAAATCTTCTACTATCAACTTTCCTTGCAGAAACTCCAAGAAACATTAAAATTGGGGATTACAACACACACGAGGCCTACGAGAAATGTTTGGAAAATTTATAAAAAAACCAAATTTTCTGCTAAATTTTTACAAGGGAATTGAACCCGTTGATTGGACTGTAGTCAACAATTTTGATTCGGTAAAGTATACGGTATAAAATTTGAACGGTAAATACATTTCCTAATTTTACGTATATATGTATCAGAAGGTGACGACCAGACTCATACATTTTTCTGAATTAGAAAAAACCATTTCCAACCCGTTTCATCTAAAAATAAAAACATAAATCAGACCCCATGTTCTGACACGGCACTTCCCCGCAAAATTATTTGTTCCAAACTAGTTAACATACCATAACAATCACTATTACTACTCAATCAATTTGTATTTTACTGGTTTATTGATATTATTAGAGCCTCATTGATTATGTTGTTAGATCGACGGGTTTTGGCCAAAATATTTTATGTAGATACCTATTTTTGCGGGGAAGTTAATGTTTTAATCTCGGTTATAAAAAATACAGAATCTAACACCGCTAAAAAAATCTTATGAAGTTGTTGTTTAGGTCTAAACAAAGCAACAACCACGATTTTTGATCTCTCATGCAAACATATTTTTGGGTTTTGGTTTTTTTTTTCGTACTAATAATGCTTCCTTCATGCAATTTTGCCTGGTCTGGGATTTAGAAGTATAATGATAAACAGTATTTGAAAAAGTTGCGTATTTTCCGGTGAAAATTGGTTTAGTTTGTATGTTTATGGTTTTGAATTTCTTATAAGTTTATGGAAAATAAAAAAAATAATGATGCCTTTGATGAAGAATACAAAACATAATTTATTTTTAATGTAATCAAACAAAATAAGGGTGTTTTGGGTACTCAATTTCTATCTAGTGAAATTTTCAATCTTTAATTAAAACATAAAAAACGGGTACAAAAATAAGTTGTAGATGCAAAACCGAAAGTAGTCAGTAGGAAAAAAATTATTTTAATTATAAATGAATATAAAAACTATATAAATATTAAATTACGTCATATTTACGTTGTATTTATTAACGTAGTAGAGCCAATTAAAATATTTATGTATAATTGAATACCCAATTCGTTTGTAGTAAATTAATTCTAAAATTTGTAATAAACAAGCACGTTCATGCAAAAACTAATTAAACTGCTCAAAACAGATCAAAAAATAACAATAATCAAAAATATATATCAATTTATTACTTAATTAATTCACATGCATCATGCAACAAGTACAAGTAAAATATATTAGGAAAGTTTAGACCAAATGTTCAAAAATTCGGAAAAATAGTTCACATAAACTAATATTTACTAATAGAATAGTTAAACTACCTATTATTGATAAAATAGCAATTTGTAACTAATTTCCTAAGCATTTAATTCATTGTAAAACGTATTTAATAGTTTAAATAATATATTAGAATTTAATCAAATTGCTATCATTAGAGATGGCTTCTATTTTTATATTTAAATATCCTGATTTAAATAATATATTCAATTACTATGTATTTTTTTGTTAACGAATTTTTGAACAAAATCGAAAAAGTGTGCAACTGTTACGATACATTCATCAAACATTATAAAAATAACTTTATAAAAAACATGTTCATGAACATAAAAAATTGTTCGTATGCATACATGATTCGTTTAAATTCTATTTCATAAAATTTATAAATAAATTCAAAATGTACAAATAGAAAATAATATATTCTATACATAAAAAGCAGCAAAAAAAATGCAAAATTTAACTAGTGAACAACTAATTAGAAAATCTCGAATTTTCCAAACACAGTTAAATTTTACTTAATTCTAGTTAAAATTTAACTGTAAACTTATATCAACTTATTCAAATAATCACCAAACAAATCTTTAACTGAACGTCCATACAAATGATAGTTCAAAAGCCTTTGAATCCGAGATTTCCTTAAAATAAAACAACGATCACATTCTACACAACATCAACAAACATCTCGCATGGATTCCCCATGGCGATTTTAAAAGACTGTCTACTACCAGCTATATCTTTCGATTGGGTATTGGCCACTTGGGTGCCGCTGCTCTGCTCCGAGCCGTTCGAGCTGCCGTTGCCGTTGCCGCTGGTGGTCTTCTGCAAGGGCCCCGAACGCGGCCCCAAAGACGTTATGTCGCTGTCGGAGGCGCTGCTGTGGCCGGTCGCGCCCTCTTTCAAGCGCTCAGACCCGCCCGACGAACCACCTTTAATAGAAAAACAAAAACCAATAAGCACCAGAGTTCATTTCCACGTGTGAATGTTGTGAACTTCGACTCGTTAATCGTACATTCACGTAATGGATTGTAAGAAAATATTTGAGTAACTAAGCCAGAAAAAGTTTCCCAACAAAAATTTTCTTACGCTAATTATTTGAAATTATTTGTATTTGAAAAAATCCGCTCTTATTGAACAATTTTTCTGAGCAAAAATAAATAAACGAAAAATTAACTCACAAAAATTTATTTACAATATTAACTAAAAATAACAAAGGTAATGTAGATAAACTTATTAAAAAAATACCTGGTAGATGTGAATGGATAATGAATGCGAAATAAAAAAGAAAACCACCAAGTACCTTTACATAAACAAAAATCAAATAAATTATAATGCAACTTCACAAATGAGTATTAATAATTAAATAAAACTAAATTAATAATAAACAATAATTAAATAAAAACAATGGCAACGATAAAATGTGTTACTTTGCTCAGTTTTAATTCAATCATACATAGGAACAACTTTAATAAAATAGAGCTTATTTAATTGTTAATACCTAATCACAAATATAGTTTAAACAAGTATTTTCGAATTTATCAAATATAAAAAGAAAAAAAAATGGCTCGAGGATGGAGTGACAAGTTGGAGTAAAAACTGGCAAGACTGGCAAGATCTCAACTAAAATTTGAGAAACTCAAATATCTGGTTAATACTGACCCAGAAATTAAATAAATTATACCCTTTTAACATATTTCAAATTAAAAAGAAAAGGAAAAACTTTATGTAAAAGTGAATAACTAACATTGAAACTAAAAAATTACTAATCAATCCATTCTCGTAATTGATATTAGTTTGATTAATTTCTTTATTAAAAATTATTTTCATAACTATTCTATTCGAATACTCAATATTAACGAATATCGTTAGTGATTTTTAAAATATTAATAAGAATTAATTTGCTGTTTAAGTACAATTAATAAAAATAATTTTAATAATACTTAAAATTCATGTTAACTAAATAAGTACGATAAAAACAAAGATTTGAAATATGTAAATCCTGATGGTTAAAATGTCAAAATGTTATCAAAATTGCTTAATTCTAATCTAAATTCGGGTTTCTTTTTTTCTATTTTTCTCAATTCCTTCCCTGCTTGACTCAGACTGTTTTCAAGAGGACTGAATCAACAGAACGTCTGAAAAAGAAGGGTTTTATATTCTGATATTTTGTTTAACGAATATTCTACATACCTATTTAATACGTCCTAAACTACTACTATATTTTTACTTTTTACTATAAGTCACTGGAATACATCACTGAAAACACTTGTTGATAACAGTGTTACATGTGATTAGCTTAACTCATAACATTTATCTAGAGTTTAAAAGGCAAAAAGTATCCATCTCACAAAGCCAAAGGTAACAAAACAAGAGGTTATTTAAATGAAAAATAACTTGTAGATCGAAACAAAAATTAGGCAACTTGGATCAATAAATCAATTCCAAAAGTAACTCAAATTAGATAAGAGAATAAGGAAAATAAGTAAAGAAGGTAGATAAACTAGAAGACAATTTGATAAAACGATAAAATTAGAGAGTATAATTGGCTTAACATCCCCGGTAATTCAATATTTTCTACAAAATTATTGTTGTAAAACTCTTTTATAGTTTCTCAAGTACACTTCAAGAAAAGGCTGGTGGTACCGATGCAGTTCAACTAATTTAAGAGCCCGTTGTATATACTTATACCATTCAACAAATCATTGTTGAACTATGGTAGTACAACCAGGACCTCTTAACATTCATACAAATTCGCGAATTTAAAGCGCTAATCATCGATATCAAAACTTTTGCTTAGCAAAATTCTTTTCAAATGAAACCAATAAATCTAAATACTTCCATTAAAATAAACAACTTACCGCTTCCGCTCAGAACTGATTCTTCTTTATTGTAACCGTATACTGTGTTCTCACTGTAGAAAGGCATCGGCATGTACTCCAGCGGATTGTAAGCACCGCTATATGGCATGTAATTGGGCACATTTGGCAGTGGACCGACACTATCAGTGTCACCCTGTATTCTAAGGTTCGTCATGGCGGAGCAAAGATCGCCAAATATGTAATAGCACTAGAAAATAAACACACACAAATTGAAAAAATACAGAAAATTCTTGAAAATAACGATAGACGCAAACTCTCACCTGTTCAGAAAAGGTAATTTTGTTAACAGTGTGTCGAATGAAGCCGTTTTTAAGCAACTGCGATGCGTACTTTCTCGCGTCGCGCCTTTCCTGGAAGCCTTCGACGTGTGTTAACAACCAATCTATCATGTCGGTGCCGATGAATGCATTGGGAATGGTAATCTTCAACCACATTCTGTCGCGTATTTCCAAACCGCTGTCGGGCCGTTGCATCGCTTGCACTATCTGGGACATCGGCGAGTTGACGTACAGCGGCTCGTCCATATCTGGAAATGTTTCATATTCTTGTTTTCGAAAATTAAAATTAGTAAAAATGATAATTACGAAATAAATAAGACACGTAAATAAAATAAAGTGCAATAAAAAAGCCTCTGTAGCGAGTGCATACATACCAGGACCGAGAAGACACTCACGTTCGTTAGCCGGTATGGTACTGGCTATGGACGAGCTGGATACTGTCGAGCTGCTGGGTGGACGTGCCACTGGATCGCCTCTTACTGCAGCTGTGTGCGCTACCCATGCACCTATTAAAAATATTTTTATAACACATATTCACTAATACTAATAAAGTATCGATTTACTAACCTGGATCGATTGGTCTTACGGGTTCTGTTCTGGGTATCGTGAAATATCCTTTGGGATTTGGGTCCCAACATTTTGCGACCACTAATTTTATAGGGCTAAAATATATTAAAACATGTTAAATTTACTTACAAACTAACTCCAAAATCCACTTACCCTGGTTTTTGTACAACTTCTCTTAACACTTTAACAGCCTCATCGTTTGACATATTTTCAAAATTTACATCGTTTACTTGTAATATCATATCACCCGGTTCTATTCGACCGTCTAATGCTACAGCACCCCTACAACACAAACAGTCAAATACCAATTATTATTTTTAATTAAATCAAATGTACCCTTTCATAATTGATCCGACATATATACCACCATCTCCACCTTTGTTGCTTTGCCCAACAATAGAGATACCTAAAAAGTTCACTGAATCCATATTCAAAGTAACTGTTATTATATTTAATGACATGGTAGAATCGGTAATGCTCGAATAAGAACTGGTTCTTGACATTGCCTAAAAAGAATCATTTTATGAAAAACTGTTATAATTTATTATAGTGTTATATTTACTTGTAATCGTTGTTTTCGTCGCCTCTGTGGCCTTTTCCTTCCAGCCACGTGCAACCGACTGACACTCGAGCATTCTGATAAAGCTGTGTGTCTACCTGTAGTCTCCGATTGAAAACTTGTTGTCTCTAGATCCGAACTTACTATAGATGCAGTCTCATAAACTCTGCAGAAAGGAAGATGTTTTTAATAATCTAAATATTTACAAAATATTTTCTCTTACCTCGAAAGATGTCCATTTATCCGGGAAGAGTACTTGTGATGTCGCCTGCCTTGTCTTGAGCTAATGATGCTTTCCGTGTCCGTACAGACGGATTCGGCCACCGGAGGAGGCAACCTGGTTTCCGATTGATGCGTAACACTGTCCGTACATTGAGAACCTCCATCCGATTGATTTGAGCCATCGGCAGATACCAACTATGATTAAATTATGTCAGGATTAAATAAGGTTTTATGTAAACAAGTGTGCCATAAAAGTCGTAAATGTGTAAATTAATTTATCCAAATAATTTGTATTTGATTAAATCATTAATTTGAATATTTAGTAATCTGTTTCGAGAGTACTCACCCAGCTTACTACTCTCCCGTTGAAGCAAGGTAAACGTGCTGAATCTTCTACAATTTCTTCCTTTACCACGCTAAAAGAAAGTCAAGAATAAAGACTTTATTTACATTTACTTAAATCCCCCTTTGTTTATGTAATAAATATTTTTCGTTAACAAGAACATAATATTTTAAAGTAATACTTTATATTTAAAATTAAAAGTAACAATTAAAAACTTCAAGAAAGGAGAAAGAGAATTCTTTATCAAGTAACTAAATTTACTAAATATTTATTTCTCCAAACTCTTAATGGCTACCATAGGCACATCAATAGGCATACTTTCTATTCCTGTCACAGCTTCCATATAAACATTTGAATTTAAGTCATGTAAGTTGATTTGCACACAAATTAATAGGATGCATACTAAGTAACAATAAATTAGTTATAAAAAGAAGTGTTTATTTACCCAAAATCATCGTCCATCGATTTGAAAAAAAATTTGTAGTTAGGCCTATTCAGAACATTTTTAAAATCTGATAAAGTTACTTTATCTGGAGATATTGCAATTTTCACTAAGTAAGGGGTTTCTTCATCGTCTATGTGATAAATTACTTTTGTTTCTTCCATTTTTATACACTATTTCTCGAAAATACTTAATAATTTGACAACAGCAAAACACTCTTTCCCAACATGGCGGACAACAACATCCGATAGAATTCCGAATTCTACCGAATCCGTCCGATTTCGAAATCAGCCATCCCCGCCCATAAAAAGTCCCCTTCCCCTAAAGTCTTTGACCTTGATAATAAGATTCTGATTAATTTGTTATTAATTTCATCCAGAAATAAAGTAAAAATCGAAATAATCCAATATTATAGTTCATAAATATAAAACAAATAAAGTTTTTTGACGTTAAATAAAGAATTTACAGCAATCTATATAATTGACATTTGACACTTCGAGTGACGCATGCGCAGATTGTTCAAAAAGTAGTTGAATGGTCAAAAGAAACGTCAAAAAGTAGGTCAATAATTTTACATTTTACCTTTCAATACGTGTGGTCGTATGTTGAGAATTTTTTTTAGTATCTTCACTATTACTTAAGAATTTAATGATGTAAGTAAAGTCTTTTCGTAGTCACTGAGGATTTCCAATACGGTATTGTGGAAAATTTTAAATTCACTTTTGTCAGAGGTATTCCAGAGGATGGGTTATAGTGAAATATGGCTGAAAAATTAGGTTTAGGTACTGAGATTAGGGAATTAAAGATTGGACAGAGCTTTATCAATCCGAAATCGAAAGCATTTCACACTATAAAATGTAAGTAGTAAATGGAATATTAAAAAAATTAGTCACTCCATGCTCCATGTTTTCCAGATGATTTTAAGCCTGCCTCAGTAGATACGAGCAAAAAAGCGACTGTTGAAGTTGCGGGAGGGAACCAAGTCACTGTTACTGTACCTCATTTAGGTAAAAGTCTTTCCAAAATTATCCAATATGTTCCCTAATCCTGCAATATGCTATCAATCAATAAAAAATATTTTCAGATGGAGCTGGAATTCCTCAAACCGTATTCAAGGGTTCCCAAAAGCCCTACACTAAAGAATGTGTTCTTATAATAGATAGAGTAACAGGTGAAATAACTTTAGAAAAATTAAATTGCAATATACAAGTAAAGAAAACTAGGAGTGAATACAGCAAACCTCATTTGTCTAAAGGTAAAATTTACTAACAGCTCTTCTATTTACACAATTAACTACCATTCATGTAGTTGGTAGAATTGCTTAGCATCAGAATCGCCCAATTTGCGAAATTGCTAGCTTGTTTCAATCAGGAAAAGTGCTGCATATTTTCAAAATTTCAAGTCCACATTGACCCATATGCAGCACTTTTTCTTGATTAGTACCAGTAAATGCAAGTCGCAGTTGGGCCACTCTGACACTGAGCGATTCATTTATGATATTATTTTATTTTCCAGCAGATAAGGTAAATCAGAACAATGACAAATCTGGCGGTGGTATGTCATCTTCCAACTCGTCTAGCAATTCTAAGAATACGCTTCCGATGCGATCTCAAACACCTCCCGGCCCCGGCGTAGGTCACCGTGTATCCAATAAAACGAAAGTGACAAGTGGCAGCCGCAGAGGTGCCGATAGACAAATCACGCATTTGGTGCCAAAACATTCGCCTCTACACGCGAGCCCTAGTTACCCTTCTCCTGGCCATCCAGTCAAAAGTCCTAAAAGAGAATTACACAACAGTAATGCCCACGAGTTAGTAAAAAGTGCGATTGTTGTGTATTGTTGTTGATTAACTCTTATTGATGTTGTAGGTCACATAGCCACAGCACTCTTGCCAGTTTGCCAATGATAGGTGTAGATGATTTTTCAGATCTCCGACCTCCTTCTAGAAATGCTCAGATCCCTTCGAATTCCAGAGCTCAACATAGTGTAAACAATCAAAGACTACCTAATGAAAAACGACCTATGCCTCCATCTGTGCCAACTGTTAAGGTACATTCAAAAGTTGATTGTGATCATTTCACAATACTAATGTTTCTCGATTTTATAGGTTGACGATAACGGTGTAGGAGAAATAACTGATAGTTCATCATCAAGTAGTGATAGTGATTCGGACTCTGATGAAGATACTGTAATGAACAAGAACGTTTCTGCAGCTGGTAAAATAAACGGTTATAGTAATGGCAATGCCAATTCTATGAAACTGTTACTAAATGATGATTTGTGCCTCTCTGAAGAAACTGGCTCTGATTCAGACTGATTTGTTAAAGGTTAGATTATTCTTTTTTTAAGTAGGCTAAACGCTAATTGGTTTTTTTTATTTTAGGGTTATTCTTTATCCTATGTAATTTTGTGAATAAAGACGATGTGGCAAACTTTATATGGTAATGATATTTAGTATTGTAATAAAATGATACATAATGTACTATATTTCCATAATTATATACTGCAGGTGAATTTTGGTTTTTTAAAATGTTTTTCATAGAAAATTTTGACGAAAAATTAATCGTAATTTTACCTACTTTCTATTATAATTTTTTTCATTTGTAAAACCAGGATTACTGTATTTCCATATTATATAATTCATCCTTACGTCTCAGGTCTTCCTTTTTTTATGAGTTGTATCAAAATCGTCTTTGCGTATTTCTAAAATATACCCTTATTCCACACAATCAAGTCACTACTAATAAAATTCATTTATTCATTGTTTCACAAATTTAATAAGGTATTAGTCAATTAGTCATGAGATAACTTATAATTATAATTTATTGTTGCATACAATTCTCACCTAAAAAAATACACACTTATTCTAAATACAAATTTAGGTAGATACATAATAAAATACCCTCTTTATTAACATTTTTTAAGGTGATGTACCTTCGTACATTTGATACAACAAACTTATGTATAGATGACATGTTTTAAATGGAATGCGTACAAAAAGAAATATAAACCTATTGAGAAATTTACATATTTACAGATTGAGCGTTTGAGAAAGTTATTTCATTGGCACGCTGTATCCGTTTATATTCCTTGTGTTTTTCCTGTATTTCAATGTAATGCTTCAACAATACAGGAAAATCGATAGTATTCACTAATGATTTTCTCTTGTGATCTACTCTATGGTCGTCCTTAGATACTTTAATGTCTACTTTATGATCATCGTGATGCACGTGGAGACCTGGTATGCAACTTAATCTCGTCCTGAGAGTGGTAAATGCTTCTGTTTGAGGTAAAAGCATCAACAAACCATATAAGGCTCTTACTAAATTTTTATTAGTTGGAATTTCCAACAACTCGAGTCTTAAATAAGCGAATATGGGAGATTCTATCAATTGTACTAATTTGTCAATATCTATTAAAAAATCAACAGTAACTTCTAAATTACCAAATAACTGTATCAAATCGCAAACATGATTGTAACTTTGAGTTAGCAAACATAATGAAACAGTAGCTACAGGATTATGACACCAGGTTTCATATAAACAGATAAATAATGATTTACTTTCTTCTGTTAACAAATCTTTCAAGTTATTTCTCATATCGTATAACTCCGAAGATGTTAAAAGAATCATATTTAAATGCTCAACCATAATACTTGCAAACTTTAAATTGATTTCTTTTTTTAATATTTCCGCTAACGTTCTGTATATTTTTTCGGCGTTAAGTAATACACAAAGCTGTCTAATAATAAATGAACCACGTTCATCCAACAACCTATAATTTTCCCTGAACGAAGTCAACAAATTAATAATAAATTTTTGGTAATAAGTATCCCCTTCTTTGTTGTTCTCTGGTGATGATATAACTTCAGCCATAACAACCAAACACTGCTGCACGACTTGATCCGATTCATCGACCAGGGTTGTTTGTAGAAGAGCAGGGAAAAGGATATCGATAAACTCCCCCATTTTAGTGGGCAATTTGATGTATAAATCGTGTATCCATTTGAGAACTGCAACTTTAGTTTGTATCGAATTGTGTAAGAGATACTGGCTCAACACTTCTACCACTGTAGGTAAATCCAAGTCAGTTGGTATATTTTCACTGGAGTCTTTCAAATCACTTTTAACAGCAATCAATTTCATTAGATTATAATTAATGACTGTGGCAGTTTCTTTGATATTTCTTTGGACTTCTGTATCGTAAGATAAGCATGGTAACACTGCTGTAAATATTGCTGACATACAAGGTAACATTGAAGGACCGGATAATTGTACAAATTCTTTTATCCAAGTTAACGCTGTATATTGCACTAAATCGTCACCTTTCTCCTGGGCGTGATTGATTAAAATATTTATGGTAGCAGCAAAATCAACTTTTGAAGGGTCCTCTTTTATTTTTCTTAAAAATTCACCTAATATAGTTTCGCACATTTTTTTAACTTCCAAGTTTGGATCATCCAATATTCTAAATAACCCATCCAAAATTTCCGGTAAATACCTTATTAAATCTAAATCTGGTTCGGAATTCAAGACGGATATCCAAGAGATGATAAATTGTCTTGAAAAGGCGTTTTTTGTGTATATTCGTTCTCTAAGCAACGGAATGAAACCGTCTAAATCAAATTCTGTGTTTTCTAACACTATCTCCTTTAAAAGTCTGTCCAGTAGTTCCGATGCATTTTTAACGTTGTGATCAGGATCTGTGGCAATTTTGCTGAGGGAGTTAAATATTGCTGGAAAATGACATAAAACAGCACCTCTCGAGACTTTTACAACATTATACAGTGATTCGCAAGCGTAATATCTCACTCGCAAGTCTTGATCGACCATACAATTCAAAATAGGCCTTATCAATTCATCCGTATAAGTTTCTGTATTTTTACCAAGAGCAATGGCTATTGCAGCTAGCCCGATTAAACCACCTTTCTTCGCATGGGCGTTTTGTGACACAGCAAAATCTTGCCCCAACACTTTCAGTAGCCTTTTTATCTGTCCAGTATTGTTTACAGCTGCAAACTCTTTCACCATTTTCTCGATTTCTAGGGCTGCGGTTTTCCTCTTCTCGTATATCTTGTCATGTAAAGCACGAACACACGCCGCACTAAGAGGGGCATAGTCTTTCTCAGACATTTAATAATATTATGAAAACTTGTTACTTAAATAACGGTAAAATAAAGTAATGAATATCGTTGAATTAGAATATTACAAACTTATTGAAATTGAAAACCAAAATATAACCTATAAAGGCTATAAATGACGTAATTTGACGTTGACAATTAGTATTATCTTCTTTTTTAGAGTATTGAATATGACATATCGGAGTAGGTTTTTATAATTTTTAAAAAATACAGAAGAAGAGTTTGACTCGTTAAAAATTAGATTTGTGAAACTAATGTTTTGAATTTTTTGAATTCAAATATAAGTTAACAATTAAGGAAATACGTAAAAAATGTCGGACTATATTTATATAGATATGTCGTTAGTTCTCTTACAAGAAAATGATGTTAATGTGTCAGCTATTTACTTGAAGAAAAACGTGATGGAAAACTTTGCTCAAGTGTTTGGAGAAAGTGCCTATTACACAAACGTAGACGTTTTAAAATTCGATGAAAAACAAAAACGAGCCATTTTACGAGTGCCCAAAAAAGACTATACGAAATTAAGAAGCAGCCTCTGCCTGTCTTGTACATACGAGAATGTATACAGCCAATATGTAGTTCATAAAATCTCACCACTGTTATTGTCTCTTCAATCGGATTCTCGAAGTTACGCATTCTAAATAATTATTCAGTTTATAAGGGTAGGAAAGTTAAATACAAACAATTTTAAATTCAACAACTAGTATAATTCTATATCTGATTTTCTACCTTAACAAAGTTATGTGTCTTTTTCATGTGTTGCTTGACATAAGACTGATCGTTGAATTTTTTGTTACATATTGTACAAAAGAAGGGTTTCTCACCGGAATGTGTATATAGATGTCTCGTAAGTTTGTTTTTTGCGTAATAAGCCTTCGGGCATATATGGCAAATATATTTACGTTCTTTCGATGGTAGTTTTATTTCACCTACACCAATACCTAGTAAAATTTTAATATTTTTAATACATAAATTATAGTTAAACTCAACTCACCATGTATTTTTGCCATGTGTATTTGCATTATTCTCTTTTCTTTGTACTCTTTTTGACACTCGGTACATCTGAATTCTCGTACATTTGTATGCGATTTCATGTGTCTCTGTAGAACGCATTTTTCCAAAAACTTTTTATGGCACAAGTGACATTCAAAATTCTTTTCTCCCGTGTGTCGCCTCATGTGACTATCGTAGTTCGATTTTATAGGGAATTTTTTATTACAATATTCGCACAAGAACTTCCACACCTCTGGGTCAGTATGAACAACAAGCTTATGAGACCTGCAAATAAATTGTGCATTAATTCTAGTGAATTTGTATTTTTTTATTATTTCTATTACCTTAAATCTTTATGGGTATTATAGCTTTTCATACACACATTGCACTCGTATTCCCTTAAATTCAAATGTTGTTTTTCGTGGATTTTCAAGTCTGTCTTCGTAATGAAGCCTTTTCCACAATAGGAACAAACGTTGGACCGGACAGCTTCGTGATATTTAATATGTTGTAATAAATTCGAAGAGCTTGCGAATCGGCTGTTACATTTTGTACAAACGAATGGACGAACATCCTTAAAATCCATTCCATGTTTATCAACACAATGATTTATCAATTCTTTACTTGAAGAATGCTTTTCGGTGCACTTATCACATTGAAATCGTAATGTTCGTTTCCGTTTCTTGGAAGGTTTAATTTTTTTACCTACAAAAAATGCTAATTAAAATTGACTGTATAACCCACATAGATGAAACACCATTGAATTATAAACAAAAAAGAAGATTCAAGTTAACCTCAATTTCAATCGAAAAAACATTGCACGTGAAGTAAAACAAATTTTTCAATTTCACAATGGAAATAGATGCACAGACAGAATCAAATATAAACTTCATACCATGCGTAAAATGGGTAAGAAAAGGTATAGCTAACACGAATCCCGTGAAACTCCAACTGTCGAAAAATGAGTTAGTCGATATAATAAATGAAACGAAAGTGAAGCTCCAAGAAGCTGAAGAAAATGACGAGGAACTTATGGAAAGCGATGTACCGAGACAAGATGAATTCAATCTGGAACAATACGATGAAGATGAAGCCGAAGAAAACACTGCAAACGCATTAGGGATAGGCTCGTTAGCTGAACTAGATAATGCAGCCGAGGATAATTTCTCCGAGTCCGACGATTCTGATAAAGAAGACGAAGTCATTAAACCTACAGATAATCTGATATTGGTGGCGCACGTAGAAGGAGACGCCAGTTTCTTGGAGGTGTACGTTTACAATGAAGAAGATGAATCTTTGTATGTACATCACGACATTCTTTTACCATCATTTCCACTTTGTCTTGAACACTTGAACTACGAACCCAAAATGCCTAAGGGGAACTACTGCGCAATAGGATCCATGTCGCCTATTATAGAAATTTGGGATTTAGATATTATCAACGTAATCGAACCTAGTTTTACGTTAGGTCAAGTAAAGACGAAGAAAAGCAACAAAGTTATAGGTACATAAATTTCTTCTTAGTGCTAAATTCATTGTTTATTAAAACATTTTTTTATTCAGGACACACAGATGCAGTTTTAGCATTGGCTTGGAACAAAACATTCGACCATGTAATAGCAAGTGGATCAGTAGACCAAACAATTCATCTATGGGATATGGAAATTAAAAAACCCAGTACAACCATTAAATCGTTTACGGATAAAGTACAATGTTTGGAATGGCACGCTTTAGAAGCTCAAACGCTTTTAGCAGGAGGTTGCGATAGTTCTATAAGAGTATTTGACTGTAGAACTCCAGAAGCTCATCAAACTTGGCTCTTAGATGGCGAAGCTGAACGAATATGTTGGAATCCATTGGAACCTTTTAGTTTTTTGGCTGGTACCAGTAAAGGTTCAGTCCAATGTTTCGACTGCCGAAAAGGGGAACTGTGGTCTATTTCAGCTCACAGTAAAGAAGTTAGTGGCCTATGTGCCAGTACACAATGCCCAGGTCTATTAATAACGTCCTCTACTGATGAAACAGTAAAAATATGGGATTATAAAGACCTAGCAAATGCTCCTTGCCTAATAAATGAAAAGGAATTTAACTTGGGTAATGTGCACTGCTTAGATCTTTGCCCTGATTTACCCTTCGTTATATCAGCTGGTGGAGATAAAAAGTCGCATAATTTTACAGTGTTTGATATACAGAATATTGATGTTGTTAGAAACACATTTCAACCGAGAGGCTTAATTAAATCAGAATCTGTTAAAGAAGAAGGTGCCTCTACCTCAACTTAGAGATATGCACTCAATAAATTTAAAAATAATGTTTTTTTTTTAATTTACTTACCCTTTGTATTTACTTTACTGTCTTCAATGTAAGCGTCACTGCTATCGCTAGAATTTTCATCCATAAAAGTGTCTGTAATTTCTTCATATTTATCGACGAGTGTTTTACTTTCTTCGTTTTCAGTTGAAGTGTCTCTAAATTCTTTTTTACCATCATTTTCTTTACATAATTCGTTTTCTTTTTGCCTTCTTAAAATGTCTGATTTCAAGCAAGTTTCACGGAAACTATATACAATATCCAAGAGATTCGTGCATGGTTTGCAAATCTGATAATTATTAATCCATGCCTGCAAACAAGTATATTTGTTAACCAGTTTTAATGATAATAAAGAATACTTACAATTTCTGGCACACTACTAACTAATTTCTTGAATAAACTTATATTACGTTCGTCTTCATCTGAAAGTTTATTTAAATGAAATAAATCATTTAAACAGACGCAACAATTTTCAAGCATCTTCACCGGTTATTGTTAGAAATTAAATTTTAACGCTACACTACAATTAAATTATAAGTTTGTTTATGTGTTGAAAGAAAATCAAAATGACCTTGATGACAGTGACAGATAATTGATGTCCGAAAAAACAGTAGGTTGTTTGTCTGACAATCGAGACAGTTAAGCTTTAGTAGTTCGATTCACTCAACTAGAAAATTGACATCTAACAAAAAGTCATAACAGTTTTTGACAGCTTGCAGTAATGTCGATAAGTTTATTGTTTACGTTTTCTGATGTTTAGCCAGTTTAGCTTTGTATTCGTTTTAGTTAGTAAAAAGTGTTAAAATGTGCTCTAGAAAGTGTTCGGTTTGCTTCACGAGGAGCGATAATTTAATAGACATTAGCCAAGTAGATGAAGGGACCACAATACTATCGAAATTACAATATCTAGTCCCTGAAATAGTAAATTTTACAGCCCAACTTGTTTTAACTAATTAATTCGCATCATTTCATTTCAGAATTGGCCAAACGATTCAAAACTTTGTAGTACATGTGTGTCAGACCTAAAAGTAGCTTGCAAATTCAGAGAACAATGTTTAAATATAAGAGTAAAATTAAAAGAGGAAATCGAAATGGAAGAGGATGCTTATGTTGACTACAATGACATGAAGCTCGATTACGGTTCGGATTCAGAAGAAGAAAAATTCAAAACAAAGGATGGTCAACAGTATTTTATATGTTTCCACTGTAACGATAGGCATACATCAAAAGAAGAACTAATCGAACATATTCAAAACATGCATCACAATGAACAAAAAGACCTCAGATACAAAAGAAAAACTATGTGTCCCCAATGTGGAAGACGTTTTGCTAAAGAATCATCGATAAAAGAGCATTTGGAAGTTTGCGATGGTATCAGAAGGCATCGGAAAGTCAAAACCCAGCATCAGTGTCATACGTGCCAAAAATTCTACAGTACTATGAAGATTTTGAAAGCCCATCAAAAGACGTGCGATGAATCGAATGTTAAGAAAACCGATTACCAATGCCCGAAATGCTTCATATTCTACAAAAACGCGAAAAGACTGGAAAATCATGCTAAACAAGGGTGCAAAAAGGAAGGAAAAGAACCCTTTTATCTCTGTAAAAGATGTGAAGGTATTTTCAACTCAGTAATAGATCTAAAAGACCACCTTTTGAAAATCCACAATGTTGTCGATTACCAATGCGAAAAATGCGACAAGATTTTTGAAACCAACGATGAATATAATACACACAAACACAATGAACATAAAAAAGTTTCTGTCAAAAGGACTTTTACTTGCCAAGTATGTTCCACTGAATTCGATCTGTTGAAAGATCTCACCGATCATTGCATAAATGCCCATTCCTTGGATGAAAAATCAATTCGACCTTATTCCTGCGAATTGTGTCAAAAAAGGTATTTACTACATATTAACATACACAAAAATTTTGATGTATTTTTATTTTTTTAGATTTCGTTCGTCTACAAATTTGGTTAATCACAAGTTATACCACGAAGGAAACCGCACCCACATCTGCAGCATGTGCGGCAAAAGCTTCATTACCAAAAGCGATCTCATAAACCACGAAATAACTCACTACGATAAGAAGAACTACGGTTGCGATAAGTGCGGCAAAGCCTTCAAAACTAGGAATAATTTGTGCACTCATTATCTAATCGTACACACGGATCCGCTGTTGTGGCGATTCGTATGCAAAGTGTGCGGAAAACGATCTCCTTTAAAATCAAATCACGATCAGCATACCAGAAGGCACACGGGCGAGAAGAATTTCGTATGCTCGTTGTGTAAGAAACAATTCGCCAGTAAGAGGGAAATGCAAGTGCACATACTGTGCCACAGTAACGTTAAAAAACACAAATGCGACCAGTGCGGTAAGGAATACAGGAAAAAGCACACTTTGGACATTCACTTGAAGAAATCCCACGGCATCGGTAACGCTAAAATTCCTGTAAGAGTTCGTAAACACGCTTGCCACATTTGCTCGGCAAGGTTCTACGATAAAATTAAATTGGCCAGGCATCTTTGCACTCATTCCGGATTGAAACCATTCACGTGTTACGCTTGCGAAAAGAAATTCACCGATAAATCGTATCTGAAACATCATTTAAAGACGGCCCATAACATTTATGAGGACCCCATGAATTCGGTGGGATCGATGATGATTCTCCATAAGGTTGAAGATATGCCTGTTAGTTAAGGTTTATGTACTTTATTTTTCTACAATTGTTTGAAAATGTGTTTGCGTCTGTAAATATAGAGTCTTGATTGAAGTTTGTAATTTATAATGTAGATAAACTTGTAGTAAGAAATTGATTTTTGAACGTTTTTAAAAGTAACCGAATGCCAACACAGAAGCAGGCCAGGAATACATTTGAACTACAACGGTTACTAAACTTCAATCGATTAGTAAATTAGTTCTTTTGTCATTCCATTTGTGTTTATTTTTTGTGAATTTTCGTGTTATTACGTAAACTATTTGTGGTTTTAAAATAAGCTAAAATATAAGAGAAATGCTATCTAAACACCTTTTGAATAACGTTAATAAAATACGTAATTTTTCTAATGTAAAACGGAGTTTTGGAGCTGGTAGAGTATACCTTAACAAATCTGCAGGTGGTACCAGCAAGACTAGCACTAGTACCACTGCTAGTTCAGGATCAGATGTAAGCAATGTACCGGGATTATCATCTGCTTGTGTTTCTGTAAGTTTAAAAAAAATGAATCAAATCGAATATTTCATAGACCTTTTTTAGATTCCTTCTCAACCCGTAGGACCTGGAGCATCAAAAGACTCTAATAATTACCAAAATCCTGAATATTTTAGTTACAATACTTACAGTTATTTTGAAGCAGAAGTTGAAATGTTGAAGTATCGGTGTCCTCAACCATCTACCGATACTCCTTACTATCAAACTAAGTAGATATTTTAATTATTTTTGTTAATTTATACAAACGTAGATGACTTTAAAGCATACTCAAACTTTTGCTGTCTGGTATAATAAATGTTATAATTAAAAATATTGACGTTTTGTTCAAAAACCAAATTTTTATCCAAATAATGTGGCAAAGACATTTAATAAAGAGTCCCAAAAGGGCATCAATATTACACACAAAATTTAATTTCACTACTGGAAAGGTAAGTTTAAAAGACGAAAAAGGTTCGTCTGGTGAGGATGGAAAATCCTGTGGGAATAATGGAGACAAGTGGAAAAAAATATTAGCCAAAGTGAAAGGACTATCAGAAGCTGTACTTGAAGTAAGTTTGAACAGTATTTATCTTTTCCTGACAAGCAGAGTTATCTTCTTTTACAATCATAAATACCTACCATTTTTAGGTTCCTTGTGATCCTGTAGGACCAGGAGCTAGTAAAGAAGGCAAGTATAAAAATCCGGAGTATTACTGCTATCATAAGTACAGTTTTGTTGAAGCATTAGTTGAATTACAAAAATATCGTGCATCTTCATCAGAATGCAATTGATAAAGAAATGAAGGCTAATAGTCCGTTTAATATTTTTATTAAATCTAATTGTGAATAAACAGATTAAAAATCTAATAAATAAATGGAAATGTTACTGCCTTAATAATAGTAATAAATATAGTCTTAATAGATAGAATAGAATGAGAAAATGAAATATTTTACATATAAATATTAGTGGAGAATGATTATTAAAACATTACATTAAAATTTGATAGAACCTTTTTTAAAAATGTATCTAATAGGGTATCTTCGACAAAATACTATTGAAAAAAAAATCCTTTCATATAAATAATTAAAAACAAACAGTACACAGTACAATAAAACCTACAAATATTCACAATTTCTAAAATATTTCGAATATACAATATTCATTTAACACCATCAAATTCGTATTTCAGATGCTGAGGAACTTCATATTTTAATTCACTTGCATCGCCATACTTTAATTCATTCATACTATCATACTTAACCTCAGGTATAACATCGAATTTACTTTCATCAGGCATCGAAAGATTATGCATAACTCTCATATGGTGTTTTAAGTACGACTTATCAGCGAACTTCTTCTCGCAGGACGTGCATTGAAAAGGTTTCACACCCGAATGGCAACACAAATGCCTCAGCAATTTCTGCTTATCGTAAAACTGACTGGGACAAACGTGACAAACGAACCTCTTCTCCTTCTCGGGCAACTTTTCACCGATTTCGTGCGATCTACGTAAGTGAGTCTTCAGCGTACGCTGCGTTTTGTACTCCCTCTGGCAATACTCGCACGTGAAAGCCTTGACGTTCGTGTGCAAATTAACGTGTCTCTTCAATTCGCTGCTGGTGATGAACGGCTTCTGACAGATGTGGCAGATGTACTGCTTGTCCCCGGCGTGTCTCTTCATGTGCTGATCGTAGTTGCCCTTCTGAGGAAAGCGCTTCTCGCACACGTTACAAGCGAACTTCCAAGCCGCGCGATCCGTGTGCACGACTAGTATATGGGTCTTGAGGTTTTTGTTCGTATTAAACGCTTTAGCGCAAGTGGTGCATTTGTAGTTGCGGCGGTTGAAGTGCGTGTATTCGTGAACAATAAGCTCGCTTTTGGTGATGAATCGTTTACCACACAAACTGCATACGTTGTCACGGCTTCTGCTGTGGTATTTCAAGTGTTGGTCATACCCTGAAAGATAGAAAATATTTTTATAACATACTCGAGTATTGTATGTGTACATACCTGCGTACGTTCTAAATCTTTGCGTACATTGGCAGCATGAATAAGGCTTTACGGATCTTTCTTCGATGCCATGGGTAGTCGTGCAATGCGCCATTAAGTCTTTGACTAAATTAAATACTTGATCACAGGTTTCGCAACTGTAACTTCTCGTCGACTTTCTACCTCTTTTCTTAGATTTATCACCAGCTCCGCACTTTTTCTGATGCAACACTAACGTTGATTTTATGTTAAAAGACTTATTACATGTGTAACAAGAGAAGGATTGCTTTAAACAAATTTTCTTGTGCACATTCAGATCTCTTTTGTTCTTAAATTCCCCCTTGCACTTTTTGCAAGTAGGAGCGTTTTCTTGTTTGCTATTATCGGGATATGATTCTTCTTTAATCGAGACATTATTTATGGAGGTTTTGTTATTACTATCGAATTTTTCGTCTAAGTCTGAAGTATTGCTATCGTCGTTTAAACCTATTGGACTATTAATGAAATGTTTTTCTTCATCTTCTTGTTCTTGCTTTGTTTGTACTTCTTTTAACCTTTCCACTAAATTGCATATTCTTTCTTTAAATGTTAAAAAATCATTCAGCTGCTTCGTACAAGTATCGCAAATTAAACTATCCTCAGATTCTTCTTGCTGAAAGTAAAATTGCAGAATTATATGAAATCATATGAAATTATCAATAAATATGAATGAAAAATTAGGCATTTACCAAATCGGGAACAATTGATTTTAGCTTCGTTAACCAGTTGATGTTATTGTCGTCAAAATCACTGAATCGATTAGTGTGAGATGCATAAATAAGACAAATGCTGCAATAATTCTCATTCATTGTTAGTAATTTTTGATAATTTTAAATATTCATGTTTATGATCATTTATTTTGTTTGGGTCGCAAATGACATTAATGACATAACGATATTGACATAAGTGACATTTAATTTCTTCATTTATACGCATATAACTGTTTTAGTATGTAGAAAAAGGCTACGTCAAAATAACATTTTTTATATAATCTTAGGTTATGTTACGACATATTTACAGTTTCAAAATTGTTTATAAGTAGTTTTAATAATATTTCGATTGCTTTACGTGTATTGTTTGCTGTGTAACACGTAGCAGAATTTTCAAAGGTTTCAAAATCGAAAAATGTCCAACCCTAAAGTTGTTTTAGTAACAGGTGGTTCAGGTTTAGTTGGAAAGGCAATAGAAAAAATAGTTAAAATCGAAAATAGGAATGATGAAAAGTGGATATTTTTAAGTAGCAAAGATGGAGATTTAAGGTACCGTTTTTAATCGTAATTTAATGTTTAAATAATCGTTTTCGTTGTCTTACAGTGATTTTAATGCTACCAAGAAAATATTCGAAACTTACAAACCAACACATGTTGTACATTTAGCTGCAATGGTTGGAGGCCTGTTTCACAATATGTCTCACAATTTGGATTTCCTCGTAAGCCTATAAAGAAATAAAACCATTACTCGTTTTAATTTTATTATATTTCAGAGAAAAAACCTTCACATTAACGACAACGTTCTTCAGTTAAGTTATGAAAATAACGTAGAAAAAGTCGTTTCTTGTCTTTCTACTTGCATTTTCCCCGACAAAACGGTGTATCCTATTGACGAGACAATGGTAATATTTAAAAATCAATCAACCTTACAGGGTGTCCTGCATATTGCAACTTTTTGGGCTCCCCTACACGCCCCTGCTTTGTGTTGGTTCTTATGTGGGACACCCTATATTAACTAACACTATTCTATGTCGTTTTAGGTTCACAATGGGCCCCCTCATCCGTCCAATTTTGGTTACAGCTACGCTAAACGTCTAATTGATATTCAAAATAGGGCTTATAGTCAACAGCACGGTTGTCAATTTACATCTATCATTCCTTGCAATGTTTTTGGACCTTATGACAACTATAACTTAGATTCTAGCCATGTTATACCGGGTCTGATTAGAAAGCTGCACGATATTATCCAACAAGGTAATGATAGAAGCGAAAAAAAAATTAAAATTTCTAAAAAAAAATGTTTTTTTTAGGTGGAAAAACGTTCACTGTGATGGGCACAGGCAAACCTTTAAGGCAGTTTATATACTCTTTAGATTTGGCTAAGTTGATTTTGTGGGTACTGAGAAACTATCAAGAAATTGAACCAATTATTTTATCAGGTTTGTCTTTAATATTTTCTATTTAATTAAGTTAATCTGGTGTTTTTGTTTCAGTGGATGAAGATTCTGAAATAAGTATTAAACAACTAGCAGAAGAAATAGCCAAGGCATTCGATTTCCAAGGAGAAGTAGTATTTGATACTTCAAAAGCAGATGGGCAATACAAAAAAACTGCCAGCAATGCAAAATTGAGGAAATACTTGCCTGATTTTGAATTCACTCCGTTTTCCACAGCTATCACAGAGAGCGTGGAATGGTATAAGCAAAATTGCAAACAAGCCAGGAATTAACTCAGTTTTTATTTATTTTGTTTTTAAATGATTTATATTTTTATCGTAATGCCGACAAATTTCTTGGGGCTATAAATATTTTTATGAATAAAAACCATATAAAAGAAGTTGTTCATTATGAAACAATTATTAATGTTTACCTTTAGATACTCCTAGAAGTTTGTTGGTACAATTACTATATATCCTGTATAAATTATTTCTATTTGCAATAAATTTAGAAATTATATTTTTCAAAAAGACTTTTAATTTCCTCTGACATTATGTTGTAATATAAATTAATCGATTTCACCTCTGATTACAATCGTTTCTAATCAGAAATTTTATTTAATCGTTAAGAGTAATTTATAAACGCCAGATAACCCAAGTAAAAATACAGGGTTTCCCTCATAAGAAGTATTTTAAAGGGTCCTTCAGTGAAGATGCTTCCTTAAAATATTACAGATTTTTTACTTGATGGATGATTTAAAAAAAATAGTTCATTTCATAGATAATTTAATTTTAAAACTTATCTTTTTGTTTTTTTAAATTCCTTGTCGTTTTGATGAAAAACACTAAAAAATAAAGTCATGAACATTATCAATAATACTTAAAATCGTTAATTAATCGTTACTTAATTCAAAAGTTAGTTATACAAAGTCAAAGTTGGATTAAGCACCATATTTTAGGCTCCCTAACATGTCCAGCTCTGTGTAGGTTCTTATGCAGGATACCCTGTATAATGTATAATAAATTAAAGAATTTCACCTCTGATAACAATCATCAGAAACCAGATTTAATCGCAGACTTCCAAAGGGTTATTTATAAACTCCAGATAATCCAAGTTCTAATATGAATATATCGAACGGTCATCGGCGGATAATAAAATACACGAATCGCAAGAAAATTGAAATGGTCAATAAATCGGTCAATCGAGCAAAGGAGCTGGATATTTGAGTGGGTGGTAATTTAAGTCCATAAGGAAGTTTTCCCATCACCTTCGGATCGCCTGAGTTGGCCGTACGGGCTATTTAGATTATATATTAATTCAGTTCGACATGCAACAACGACCGAATTCCGGGCAGGGGCGGCGAACGCGTGGGCGTTCCGGGATGAAATATTGAACCGTGTATAATTCGAACCTTTAATTCTTATTTGCTCAATCGACACGTATAAGAATAAGTAGAACGGCGGGCCTACGCGAACGTGAAAAAATGAAAAATATTCATAAGTGGGTTTGCGTATTTTCGGATAAAAAATTACGTTATTGTTCCGAAAAATGTGTATTGAAATTAGGGGTTTATTAAATTTCGATTTCAATAAGTAGAAAGATAAATAGAGTGTGAAGAATCGTCAAACTCGAGGAACACGCTTCTCTGGCAAAAATAACGTGCGAATGAAAACGATGCTTCCTATCCGTAACGCAAACAATCATATTTTTATTTACCGTTAAATCGTTCTAACGAGAAATTTTTAGCAACGTCACATTAATTTACTTTAATTAAAAATTAGGTGGGTAATGAATTAAGCGACGATATTTTATTAGTTTGCTACAAATTGGATATAAAAATTTAATCGATAAGTTTCACAAAGCCGGGAGAAAAGTTTCCAATAGTGAAAAAGTTTGTTTGATGAATATTCTATTTCCATAGAAGTGAATTTTTTATGGCTCTCAACTGGTAGATAATTGAGGATTTATCCTTATTCACGTTCTATGCTTTCCTGAACCTAACTATTCATTAGTTTGTTATTAAAGGGAAACTTTATTATGGATCAACTCTGACTACCTATTCTGAGTAATATTTTACGTGATAAAAATTTTATATTTGATGACGTGACACGTTGCTATTCTTTCAACTAAAAAATCTATTAAAACAGGTAGATAATTTACTTCATAATAAATTTATTACTAATATTTCTAATACCTAATATTGAATTTTTTTCTTTTATGTTACATCTGATATATTTTAATGTCATTTTCTCTTTACCACGAGAGCAGCAAAAAAAATCACAGAGAAATTAACACATTTGATGGTTCTGTTTAATAGTTTCAACCCATTTTTACGCGAGACGATAAATACGGCTTTTTCAAGCTCTAGTAAATCTAATAATTTTTTCTACATGCGACAATATTGTTTTCTGCAATTTCATCCAGTCGTAACTCAAACGTTTTTAGTGAAGGATTGTTCATAATTCAAAAAACATGATCTTCGTAATATTCAATTTATTTTTATTTTGTTATCAAATTAAAGGTGAACGCATTTATCAATCAAGAGATTTTAATAGCAAATATATCTACAATGATGAAGTTAATAAGGAACTTTCAAGGCGCTATGATGAAATGCATAGAAGGTAAGAAGTATTGTTTAGAGATATGTGTATATTTTTAATTTACTCTAAATATGTAATATTTTTGAAAGATATCATCAAACATTAAATACTATAAGGCCACATAATGATCCAGAAGAAAACGAATATGTAGATAAGATGGACTTCCATTATCCAGAAGTGGAATTTTTAACGAAAGACGATCGTATGGATCATGATAATAACGATTTCGATCAAACATTCTCCGCATCTCAAACATACAGCGTTATCAACAAAGACAAGGATGTTAGAATTGACCGAAAAAGATTCCCAAGGCTCAGGAAAAAAACCCAAAATTCAACGTTCACCCTATTCAAACCCGTGGCGCTTTCGTACGTGCAAAAAATTCCAAAACCCCCCAGGACGCAACTCGAAAAAGAATATTCCCGATACCAGGAAATATCCACAGAAACCACCGAACCGCCGCAACCAGCAGAAAACATCAACAACATATTAAATAAATACATAAACGATCTCTACAATAAATCATCAAACGAACCAACAACCGAAAACTCAAATTTCGAAAGCGATACGCAACCTTACGACGATCCTTCCAACTCGGCTGAGACCAAATTTTTTGACAAGTCCATTTGGCTAGCTAAGAAAAAGAAACTCCTGAAATTCCAGAAACTTCTCGGTTTATTCACCATAGTGCAATTTAATAACTCGGAATGCAATGCAAATAGCGTCACCGGGTCGTACTCGGGAATTTGCTACACTAGTACCGAGTGCACCAGACTCGAAGGAACCGCCTTCGGGGATTGCGCTTATGGATATGGAGTATGCTGCGTCTGTAAGTATTGTGAGAAAATTATTACTTTAACCCTTCAGAGTCTAATTACAGTTTTTATTTGGTATTACCTATTCATAAATAAATAGGTATTTATTTTTACTGACAACCACACTTAGCACGTAAGACCACCTGCTATATAATTAATTTATTCCTTAATTTTTTTAATCTATTATTCATCACTACATATTCCAAATAGTCACCACAAATTATACTTAAATAATTACATTGAATATTAAAATACTTCAAAATAAAAATAGATAAAGCAATTAGAAAATACATAAAATATTTGAACAATTTTTCCAGTTAGAGGATCCTGTGGAAGCACGCTATCTCAGAACTGCAGCTACTTCGAGAGCCCGAATTATCCCGATTACTATCCCCCAGGAGGTGGTGTAATTATCCCGACTACGGCTGCTCCGCCAACTACCGCAAATCCTTCACCAACTCCGGATCCCAGATGGGGCTGGATGAATTACGACAATAACGAGTATAATTATAATACTTATGATGTCGAATTATTAAGGCAAAGCAGCGATTTTACGTTAAATTGCATTGTTACCGTAAACAAAATTAACAGCGATATAACTAAGATGAAAATAGACTTTGTGGATTTCGAGGTAACTGGCAATCAAGCTCCTAATAAAAAGAATAAATGCATTGTAGATAAACCTAGTGCATGTTAATTCTTCTAAATTGATAATATTTTAGTTAGCAGGACCGACAAATGGAACTTGTACTATAGAGAGATTGGTAATTACCGGTCAGAATATAAACAACATGATTCCTGCTATTTGCGGTTATAATACAGGTCAATCCAGTAAGTTATATTTTGTAACAGATTTATCCCGGTACAATTATACATGGAACAATTGTTTGTAGTTTACGTGGACGTTTCACAATCGGACTCAATAAAATTAATGGTTTTGTCTACAATGGCATTCAAGAAACGATTTAAGATAAGAATATGTCAATTCACAGACCTATGCATGGCAGATAACTGCTTGCAGTATTATACGGGCGTCACAGGAACGATATCGTCGTTCAACTACGATCAAGCCATCATGTTAAACAGAAGTGTTCCAGGTTATTTTGTAGGTGGTATGTTAAATTGATTCAATAATGAATTACAATCGCGATATTTTCAGAACAACATGAACTATGCCATCTGCATTAAAAGAGAGCCTGGTTACTGTTCCATAACGTACACGAACGTAGCGAACGGTATCGAATATCCCTTTAATTTGGTCAATGTCGTGAGTACGTTGGATCCTATCCCTTGCTAATTGGAAAAATATCTCCCGATGATTTAATTTTAGATGGTGTTTCGACGGTACCCCAGAACATGGCAGGAGTCGACGTGGTGGATTGTCCCAACGATTACATCGGAATCGACACTACCAGACTTTGCGGTTACAAGTTTAACGACGGCTCCGTTACTGCCAATTTGAGCTTAAACGCTCCCGTTACAGGTGAATTATTAGTAAAATTTTGGTTTTTGGGAAAGTGTATTAATTGCTTAATATGCCAATTGTTTCTATTCTTAGCGGTTTTCTGCTAGTTTGGAGGGATTATCAGAAGCTGAAATATATTTTTTATGTTTCAGATACGAATTTAGGTCCAATTGTTATACCAGTACGAACTAACGCAGCAGCTGTGGGCTATGGTTTCAAGTTATTCTATACGCAAAATCGGTGTAAAGTGTAAATTAGCGATTGCATTAATCATCTAATATGATTATAGAAAATTATAGCTACTTTTTAAGTTTATTTATTGTACTGAATCCGCTATTTATGTATTGAATAAATAAAATAATACAAAGAGACTTTTTTAATATACCTACCAACATACATATAGATATAATATAGACAATATAATTCAACTTTACAATTGAAACAAAATAATCGATAACCAGTCATTTTCTGAAAAATTTAGAATGTACTAAGGCTTTCATTTTTTATTAATATCGTGTATATCTCACCAAAAACAGTACTACGAAGTGCCGGGATATCCCAACATAGCGATTAAAGAGGGAAACATCTAATCAAATCGTTAGGTTTTTTTTGCTAATAATTATTGCATTTTCACCTGGTCAAATTCACACGGAAAAGGGGTCAATTTCGCTGCAATTTTAATGCATTTGCTTCAACAAATAGAAGTACACTTTCGAATAAGTCGCATGTACATTATAATGTCTTAAAGAGATATTTATTTTTGGTGGTTCTCCAATTAAATCATTAGGTATTTAAAAAAATATTAAAAACGATTTGTTCATTTCCTCATTTACTCATTTACAAATTACATAAAACATTTTTCATAAGTGGTGTCAATAAAATAATCCAATATTAAACGTTATGCTAACAGAGGGCTAACGTAAATTGTAGGAAGCATCGTAAAAACGTTATCTAATTCGTTTTATCCAGTGTAACGTCAAATGACCAGTAATTTTACCACACATTACAATACCTACAATAAAACAATATAAAATATAGGTTAAAATTGATTTTAACCTCTGTATATATTTGTGGTTTCTATGGCTATTCTTTATTAAATATTAACGTCCGATCCAGTCGATAACAATCCTACGATTCATCCTTTCTGGATAAATACGCGATTGTTTAGTGAAAGCACGTCAGCTGCGGTGACGATTTTCCGAAAAAAAAGAACGTTCGATTTTCTCCGGGCTTTTACTTTATTCCATATATTCGTTTAGATAGAAACTGAAACTTGTGATTAACTTCTGACCGGAGGACTTTTATATGTGATATCCACGGGATTTTAAGAAATTGCGGTAATATTGGCAATCATATAAATTTTTCCAAAAAAAATTTAATCGATATCTATTTTTAAAATAGTTTCTGTAATAACTTTATATAATTTTACCTGCACATTACTGGTTTTTGTCGTGTTGTACAATTTTTAACAAGGTGATTTACTCTTGTCGCAAATTCGATCACATCAAACTGCAATTAAAAAAAATCGTTATCAACTTTTCTATTAAATATTGTGGGCACAAATTCACTCTGTCTTAATACCACTTTTAATTAATTTGTTCAAATAAGTTTCGCTACCACTAAATCATCTTCAGTGTAATTTGTTGCAACAAAAATGGTAGCAAATTTAATTTCCTGCGAAGAACGTGCAACCTGATTACCGATTCTAATTTTCCAGTGTTCGATTAAAATCCAAAATGTTATAACGTATAATGATTTTTTCGCATTTGGTATTGCGAGTACAAAATATGGAACGCAATGGCAAAAAAGGTAATACCCTTTTCATTGAAACTGAACGAGCGTCCAAATCGACTGGTGAGTTTCGGTGTAGACGTAGTTGTGCCATCCTATGTGTCTTAGAAATAGTTGTCTTAGTAAGTAGAAATATCTTAGTAAACCCTAGAGAATCCATCTTTTCTTCTACCAGATATTAGATTTTATTCCAAATTGGTGTTATTTGAATAGCTATTGGAATTTAGAAGAAATGTGCATCAATTTCTTTTATCAAGTTCAAGCCTAGAATATTTTCTCCCTTCGACAACTTATTAGACAGCTATTTGTACTAAACAACATTTCTCTATAGCTCAATCAAGCTCATTTATTATTGTATGACATATAATAATGTACATTACCACATTTTAGAATTCCAGGAGAACAAACCATTGCAGTTTATAAACTAAATTAAAAAACCAACTACCTATAAATAATATAAGCTGGTTTCTAAATTCAATTTTGCACATCCCTGTATTCACCATCGACTTTTAAATTCATTCCCTTGCCAAAAATTCCTGCATATGTATTCAAATATTACGTTACCAAACGTTCAGTCGACACAAAATACCCGAAAAGCCAGTTGAGTAAAGCAAATTAAATTTCCCTTGATCGCAGAAGGTTTAAAATGGAATTGCGGAAACCAAGCAAACACACGATCTATTGCAGTATCAGTACTTACACAAATCTACGGCGGGATTTTGTACATAAGAAGCAATTGAGAGTACCTAACATATTTATTAATTGAATAGAATAATGATTCATTGCAGATCTAAACGAAAATGTACAAAAATGTTTAGAATAATGTTAGTAAATATATATGCATGCTTGGATATTTGCTGAGGTAAGTTTCTGTTCCAGGTAATTCCAGAAGGCACAGCAACGACAGCACGTGCAGCTTGAACGTACCGCTGAGCTTACAATTCGATCGCGCCTCCACGCCCCACATCAACGAACTCACCTTGCCCAAACCACAGGAGAAGACCAGATCCCAGTCGTTGTTCAACATCAGCAAATACCAGAAATCCCAATCAATGATCGATAACGATGCTCATTTGAACGGCATCGAGGAAAGCCCGAGAGAGAGAAGCTACCGGAGGGGATCCTTGCCAGTCGATCAAGTACGATTAAATTTGATTGAGTACCTATTCTTGAGAATATTGGTGAAGGTGCTACTTCATTAAATTTGGGTTCATAAGATGTTTCCATGTTGTCATAGAGAAATTACATATGTACTCTCTTTTATTAACAAATCGTATAGTGATTTGTTAAGGTAAAAAACTGAATGATGTGGAAATTTCCATTTTGCTGAGATGATATAAAATGCATTCGTTACATGAATGAAGCTATAAATGAATGTATGAACTTATGAACACCTGTTCTGACGTACGTGTTGGAGTTTTTATACCACGTTATAGGCAAAAACCATTGATAAAGAATGGATAAATCCAATTCTATTAGGTCTAAAAATAGATAAAAATGGTATTTTATTAATGACTAATCGTCTATTCGTGGATCCTATACTTTTCCACCCGATGGTGGTTTTATAAACAATTTTTAACAAATTTAAAAACTTTATTTCCTTAATTTATTTAGTTACAGTCGATAACGAGCAGTACTGTAAGTGTTAAGGATGCATTCGGTCCTCAACTTAATGATGATAGTCAGGTGAACCTGCCTGGTACTCCACTGCCTTCTCTAGTACAAGATAGCGATGAATATCCAGACCCCACACCACCGCTAACTCCCGTAGCTAAAGAACAGGTAAATGATTGTGAAGTTTTCAGTTTATTTCTCTTAGCTATTTTCGTATACTCGAATAATACAGCTAATTAAAAATTAATCTATCTTTACAAAGTTTTTGTCCAATTTTATGGATGTACGTATTACTGGGACACTCCATACAATTAACAGCCTAGTTTTTCATCTACTTATATTTTCTAACCCAGTTTAGTAAGGGATACTTTTAACGAGGTTAAATACGATAAAAATTAGGTATGGGAATACTAGTAATCGAAATCCAATAGTTTTTCAGTTACAAATGTTACAATAGCTCTGTAATTTAGGTAAGTTAATAATTATTCAACAACAAACAAATTATTTTTTTCCGCTAAAAGTGTATTGATCAGAAGTAATAGATAGGGTACCTACCTACTTATTACTGAAAAATAGACAGACAGTTTAATGCACTTAACTAATATAAGTGGTTAATACATTTCAAACGATTTCAAATAGCATATTTAATGTACAGATAGTCCCAAAAATAAAGCAATTTAATAGATTAAAGGTAATATTATTTGTATTTCTTAGTAAAGCAAATTTCAGGTTTTAGATCCGGAGAGTCTCTACTTTCGAGATGGACGAAGGAAGATCGATATGGTCCTCGTGTACGAGGAAGAAGAACTGGGCGTAATGACGGAAGCCGAAGCGAAAAGAAGAGACAGAAGGAAAACGTTTCAGGTAAATTAAAAACCGATTGAAATCTTTTTAATGATTACAGAATTGCAGGAGAACTTGATGAAGGAAGGCTTGGAATTGGAATTGGAACACAAAAATCTGTCGTTCGATTGCAAAACGTGGTTCCTGAAGGTGCATCTGCCGTGGAAAACGAAAACCAGATATTCCGCTTTGATGGGCATGAAGTTGCCCATCAAGAGATTCATTACCATATCCGTTAAAGCGTGGGTATGTGGACCAAAACTAATACTAATTTATCCAATAAATTATGTTCCAATTTTTATAGGACGATAAAAAAGAGTCCGGCAAGGTCGAAACGATTTATTCGAAATGGATGAAAAAATGGAAGGAATTCTTCGAGTTCAATCACGATTTAATTAATAAAGAACCCTCTTTTTATGACGCAACTGAAGGGGGAGACAGAGAAGAGCAGTAAGTATTTTATATTACGCAGTTGTGATAATCTTTGATCTGTTTAATACCTTTTCTTATCTCATCGATCTGCCCTGCTTCAAATTAAAATTTCCACCTTTTCAGATTTGTTGTTAAAGACAGGGTAACAGAATATTCCAGCGCCCAACGAAGTCTGGTAGTCATGCAAATCCTGCTAAGAGTAAAATTCGATGACACTGACAAAGTGAGTATGAATTTAATATTTAACTTCACTTTGAAATACTAGAATAATATTTATATAACGTGCTTTTCAGGTGGGAATTCGACGACTCCTGAACGATTCCACTTACTATGCATGTTTTCCGTTACACGAAGGCAGATGGGACAGAGATACGAGCGATGGTAAAATTTTGGATCGAAGAGTAGGTATTTTTGTCCTTTTATTGCTATCATTATAGAAATTTATTTGTTTCAGCTCTTATATTTGGAATGGGCTAGACCGGCGAAATGGATGAAACGGCAACCGTTGAATTTAGTCAGGAAATATTTCGGAGACAAAATTGGTTTATATTTCTGCTGGCTGGGTTACTACACTAAAATGTTGTACGCCCCTGCTCTTGTAGGGACATTGTGTTTTTTATATGGACTCTTCACCATAGACAGTGATGATAATATACCAACGTAAGTCACAGCTTCTTTTCCTTAAACGAATGCTCAGGTTATTTACCTCAAGATGAAACCATAGCTTATGATAATTCAAAGGATTATGAAATAATTTATCATCACTGATTTACAGCACTTGACAATAATTTAAACTCCTTACTTTATATTTTTTATGTTAATTGAAGCTTGTTAATTTTTCTAGTAAAGAAATATGCGACCCGATGGGTCCAGGCAACATAACTTTGTGTCCTATGTGCGATAAAGTTTGTAAATATCAGAAACTAATTGAAAGCTGTAAATTCGCTAGACTAACGTATCTCTTCGATAACCCAGCGACCGTCTTCTTCGCTATTTTCATGAGTTTATGGGGTGAGTAAAAAAGACTCGATATTCTTCCGACCTTTAAACATTTCTGTTATATTTAGCTACCGTTTTTTTGGAAATGTGGAGGCGTAAACAGAGCGTTATACAATGGGAATGGGACTTACAGGCGACGGAACAAGACGAGGAACCCAGACCAGGTGCGATACAAACGATTTAGAATTATAGTACCTATTATTCTATTATTTGATGTATTTCTAGAATTCGAAACGAGCGTAAAAACATTTAGAACGAACCCCGTAACAAGAGACAAAGAACCGTATTTACCTACTTGGACTAAAGCGGGGCGATTGGCTGTGACAGGTTCCGCTGTATTTTTTATGGTAAAATAATTAATTCAATTGTAGCGAATAATAATTAAGCTTGTATCTTTTTAGTTGGTCGTGGTGTTGTGCGTAGTATTAGGAACAATAATTTATAGACTGTCCCTCGTATCGGTGATATATTCGAGCAAGAATTTGTTCATGAAGAAGCATGCCAAAATCGTAACTTCTGTCTCAGCTGCCGTTATTAACTTGATCATGATAATGTTTCTTACCAGGGTAAAGCAACGAATGTTATTTACGATTACCCGTCGATAATTCGTTCATATTTTGTTACAGTTCTATCATAGACTGGCGATATATTTAACGAACTTAGAAAGCCCGAGAACTCAAACTGAATACGAAAATTCGTATACGTTTAAGATATTTTTTTTCGAATTTATGAACTTTTATTCGTCGTTGATATACATCGCATTTTTCAAGGTATATTTTATCTAATAATGTTCGAATTAGTGCATAAATTTATTTGGATATTTTTTAATTAGGGTAGATTTTACGATTATCCTGGAGACGCGTACTCCAGACAATCGGAATTTCTGCGCGTCAAACTCGATATCTGCGATCCGGCCGGTTGTCTCAGCGAATTGTGCATTCAATTAGCCATTATAATGATAGGAAAGCAGATTTTTAATAATTTCGTCGAATTGTTCAATCCGTAAGTATACAAATTTATCCAATATCCAAAGCGACACTGAAATTTACCATGCATTTACAGGGCGTTTTACAATTGGTGGAGAATGAGAACACACAAGTCAGTTACCAAAGACTTGACCAGGCAACACACCAGATGGGAAGAAGATTACCATCTTCAAGATCCAGGCAGATTAGCATTGTTTGACGAATATTTAGAAATGAGTGAGTAAATCTAACATCATCAGGTATTTTCGCTAAACTCACGCCATTGATTTTTTTGCAGTTCTTCAATACGGTTTCGTTACTTTATTTGTAGCGGCATTCCCGTTAGCTCCATTGTGTGCCTTATTGAATAATATAGCGGAGATCAGGCTGGACGCGTACAAAATGGTCACGCAAGCTAGGAGACCGCTGGCGGAAAGAGTCGAAGACATCGGAGCTTGGTATGGTATATTGAGGGCCATAACTTATGCAGCTGTCGTGTCAAACGTAAGAAACATATTTTTTTTACAATGGAGTCGTTGTAAAATTGGTTTATTTTTAGGGATTCGTCATAGCTTATACAAGTGATTTTATACCGAGAATGGTTTATCAATATAAATATTCTGAATCGTTCAATTTGACTGGTTATATAGACGCTTCGTTATCAGGTATTGCGGTTTACGTTGAGTGATATTTTTTATTTATATTTCTTTTTTAGTGTTTAATACTTCGCATTATACAGACGAAATGAGGGTTGTTGATGAACCGAATCCACCCCTCAGCTGCCAGTACAGAGGTAATCATAAATTATCATCACATCCATCTAAAATTCGATACAATTAAATTTTCAAATAGGTTACAGAAACGGTCCAGACGAACAAGACCCTTACGGATTGAGTCCCCAATATTGGCACGTTTTCGCTGCCAGACTGGCATTCGTCGTGGTATTCGAGGTAAAAGATAAAAAAAGTATTTTCCAGTTTCAAATCTCAACAATCCGTGTAATTTGTTTTCGCAGCATGTTGTTTTCGCTCTGGTGGGTCTGATGCAGTACTGCATTCCGGATATCCCGTCAGAGGTAGAAACTCCGAAGAATCTCGAACGTTTGTTTAAAATATTTGTTTGCAGTTGAAGACCCAGATTCAAAGAGAAACGCTTTTGGCCAAAGAGGCGAAATACGAACACGGATTGAAGAAGAGCGAGTACGACTATGAGGAATTAATGCAAGCCTTCAGAGACAATAATAACGCTTCTAGGAACGAAAATAGAGCTGGTAGGTGTACTGAGGATTTCTAATTGAGGAGTGATTTTTCTAATTGTGGTACTGTGTTGTAGGTATGAGAGGTTCTTGGGCTAGAAGGCTGAGTCGCTTGTCTGATGGTTTAGACGCTCACGTTGAGGTGGCGTCTAGAAAAAGAAACTCGCATGAAAACACAGTGTGGGAAGCCTCCTATTGATAAAAAAAATTACCAGTAATCTTTAAATTAAATTAAACTAAATTAAATATTAATTGTTTTTTACTGTGTTTAATAAATATGTACTGTTTTAGGTGCCTTAATTAAAAAAAACACTTTCCTTTCCGCGAACTTAAGTTGTACTCTAGGCGTTAAAACAAATCAAACACAAAACGTTAAATTAACTACTAAAAACAAAAAAAACCCAGCAGGTAATTGAGCGTCTCAAGCTCATTGCTTGGGCGGAATTTTCAGAATGTCGCACAGCGTTTCGTAAACTTTGCCGAACACTTTGGAGTAGCCGCTGTTGGTGAGGTGGAGGTAATCGTGCATGAGGTGGTGCGATATGGTCCTGTCGTTGCCCACGATGTGATCGTCGATGGCCACTACGTGGACGTTCGAAGTGATTTCGTCGGCGTTCGCCTCGTTGCAGAACTTGTCCAGCAGGAACGTGTTGACGTGATCGTTGCGCTCCCTGTAAGGGTTGGGATGGTGGCCGCGCGGCAGGAGGGTCTGCGAACAATCGCCTGAATTAATTGACTTTTCCTAGGTAGACTCCTGGAGCTCTAAGAAATTGGAGTACCTGTGTTGTTACTTACTGGTAGTAAAATGGCGACGTTGCCGAGTTGTCGTTTAATTTCCCTAATTATTTCCAAAATGCCCTCGAATATTTCGTGTCCAGTGCAATCGATGTTGTTGGTGCCTACCATTAGAACGACGGCTTTAATTTTAGCACTGAATTCTAGTTCGCCGTTTTGGACGCGCCATAGCACGTTTTCCACCCTAAAATAAAAAAAAAGACACCCATTTTTCCTCAATTTACTTCAACGCTTCGTTAATAATTGTTTACCTATCTCCTCCAATACCGAAATTTAAGCAATGCAAAGAGCTAATTTTTTCAACCCACAGAGAACTGAACTGCAACTGCTGTATGATCGAATCGCCTATAAAAAGAACTTCAGATTCGCTGTTTTTCGCCTCTTGCAAATACCGATTGTGCTGAAAAAATGCCCCACTTTAAAATTAAACATCATTAAGCCGTAATGAGAATTTCTCTCAGGAAGCAACTACAGCTTCCATTAAACGTTCTTTGGGTAAATAAAATAATCATTTAATATTTTTTATTGAGGTGATTATCTTATTAGCGTGCGCTTATCTGATAAGACAATGATAGGTGTACAGCGGAGACATTAGTTAAAGGAAGCATTTAATAAAGCCTTTAAAAATAACGTGTATGCAGTTTTCGGACCTTTGCTTTTAGTTTGAAAAGTAAAACCAAAACTTAAATTAGATAATAAAATGGGTTTACACTGTTAAAATACATAAAGAGAAGGGAATTAATAGTTAGTATAATACTAAAAAATATGAAAATGAGGAAAAGGAAGAAAAATATACTGAGAAATGGTAAAAAAAAATTTTAAAAATTTATGAAAAACTAAAGTTTTCATTATTAAATGGTGCAGTATGTAAAATAATATTTGTTATCTGCATAGTTGAATTCGTTTTCTTAATTTTATCAATCCTAATATGATTGAACCGTTATCAATAATAAATAATAATTATATTTTAATCAAATAAGAATGTAAACAGGAAAATGTTAACAACCTATACATAGTTGATAATGAATTATTCACATCAATATCGAATAGGTGCCTTCTTTTGTGATTAGAAAATAAGAGAAATACTGTTTTAAACCCAATAACATTGTAAAATTTTTGATTAAATGTCAAGCAGTAAATGTAACGGGTATAGGATTTATCTTAATAAATGTTTGGATTACGGTAATTAAAAATAAGACAATAAAGAAATTTAACAAGAGCACGAATTCAACAGGTTGAGGCAAATTAAACACCTTTATTGTAATGGTAAAAAAATCATTTGCAAATTCTACATTCTAGCTAGATGAAAATAAAAAAAGTTTAATCTTACCATAGACATCCACCTCCCATCGCCGACGGTGTCTTCGGGCCGCTCGGGCTTAACGCAAGGATTCAGCATCTCCCCCAATGAACTAACGCAGCAGAAGCGGAGCCGTTCGAGCGAAACTTTCGAAACTCACCCGACCCGACTACTTCTCGCGCGCCCCTTATATACTACGTGAACGTGAATGTGGATGTGAACAATTGCCGACTATCAACATCGCTAAGTTGAACGAAACTGCATTACATTCTCTGCTCGAAACTCGAAACAAAAATCATTCCGTACAATAAGCAAGCGACAAATTGTAAATATCCGGTGTCCGGTAACCAAGAAAAACAACGTTCATTGAAGAGGTGAAGTGAACGCTTTTTGCGAAATGCACGCGTATTTATTCATTGAGTAAAAAATAATAGTAAACGGTTGGCATGGTCATTGAGTAGATGGAGCAAAATTTCGAGGTTTCTATATTCTGGACGTTCAAGTACGTTTGTTTGTCGGTAGATGGAATCAAATACTTCTTTTCAAAAATTGGATTAGGCATTATTTTTAAATTATTATACAGGGTGTCGCAAAAAGTTTTCACTACAGACTTCTGAGGCATATGAATTTTACCTAACTTACCTATGTATTTATTTCGAAAAGTGCATAATAAAGAAGTTATAGGGTGTTAAAGTTGAAAATAAAAAGAGATTTTTTGATACTGGGTCAGAAAGGCTGAAGGCTTTTTTATGAATATTTATACAGAATATCATTGTTTAGTGGCCTATTATTGTGTAATTTTTTTTAAATTGTAAATCTGTCTCATGTTTAACGAGGTTCCAAACCATTGAAGGTCCCAATTCTTCAGCCGACGGTATTTACCTAATTTTAGAATCAGAACTAGATTTATCGGATTATTTTTATAATAATTTTTTACTCCTTGTAATTTTCTGTAAAACTCACATTTTTGAAGATAAATCTCATTTTTTGTATTTATACGATTTTTAAATCCCCATAGTTAAATTTATCAGATTTAAGAGTTATTTTAAACAAAAAACTATTTATAATCGTAATACTTGTAGAAAATGTTTTAATGTTAAAAATTATCCTTAAAATTTCGGTACAGATACATAATTTATAAAAACTGTTCAATATGGCCTTTATTTTGATAAGTAAATCCAGAATAAAAATGTAAATATACACCGTACTTCATTCGCGATTGCAACATGGGCATTTCTCTGAGTTGAACAAAGAAAGATTATTAAAATAACAGTTGTCAGAGTGAAAAGTTGCAATGACACAAATGTCACTCTTTCCTTTTCCTTTATAAGTGCCTAATTGAAGTTGTCTTTGTTGCACCCATAGCATATGTTGCAATGAAAAATGAAGCAATCTGTATAATTAAATAATAATAGAGAATCTAGGGAGTTTTTTTTAAGGACTAGATGAATATGTTGAGGTAGATACAGGAACATTTGGGAATTTGGGTCCATGAAGAACCAATATTTCTTTTATTAACTATTTTATTTGGGAATATTAGTAAACATCAACTTAAATACCTTTACATTTTATTATTATTTGGTAATCTAAAATGCACATTTTTCGTAAAGCCGATGATTAAAAGCATTCATTTAATTTGTAGCTGAAAAATTCGTGTGAAATTTCTATTTTACTATTTACACATTTAACTACTTCATCGGTTAAATTGCTGAGGAAATGTCTAAAAACTGAGAAGATGGTTTAAGCAAATTCAGTTGTATTTAAATGAACACTCGGTATACAATGCGAACATTTTTTATCTTTACCTATACTGTAAATTTTATACGCACAAACATCCACGGTACTAAAATTTCGTTCTATACGCGAAAAAAAAAACATATCGAGAAAAATGTTAGATAATAATCTCGACTTAAACCTATATTTATACGAAAATAACAAATAAAATTACATTTATTTTTCAAGTAACGATAATTTACACAATTTGATTTTAATCACAAGTCGAAATATTTACAAAAATTATTTATGACTATTAGGCTCCCTTGCATAAAACTGGTAATTGATATTTTTAACGTCACCGACTATGTCAATGTCACTTTCGCAATCGCTCACATCGGAATTGGACATGGAAATTCCGGAATTACCTGGAGTATTTTGTTGTTTATCCAGTGAAACTGCCGATGAATTTGACCCGATACCTGCAATTAAATTTTATATTAGCATTATTTAGATAAAGACTAAAAATTATTCAGAGGCCAAATAAATCTCTAAAAGTTAATAAATATCTATTAGAAAAACAATTTTATTGATCCTATCTAATAGTGGGTACAGAAACTCAATATTGTGAAAATCTGATAAATAAAATATATATTACAACAAACATCCCGTAAACAAATGTCTAAATATTTATTGACAAATAAGATGCTCCATATTTAGCAAAATTATTAAGAAACAATTCTAAATTAATAATAGGTAGGTAGATATAAAAAGGGTCGCTTCAGAATTTCAAATCATAGTCACAACTGCACTGTGAACAAAACTTTTGAAATTCTCTTCAATTCATAAAACAATCAACAAATGTAAGTATCTAATCATATTTTAAATTTAACATTCTACGAATAAATTATTTCTAACTCTAGATGAAACTGATAATCACGTTATTATTGGCAAACATTCTATGCGCCTATGCACTTACTGATAAGGAGGAATGGATCAATTTCAAAGTAAGTTACAGTAATTAATTTTCTAAATGGAAATTCCTAAGCTCAAATTTTTAGTCTAAGAATGGTAAAGTATACAAAAATCCTGCTGAAGAGATGAAACGCTTCTCGATCTTCCAATCGAATTTGCGTAGAATTGAAGCTCATAATGCACAACAAGAACAAGGTCTCTCATCGTACAGAATGGGAGTCACAGTATTCGCAGATCTCACGCCTGAGGAGTTCAAAAGTATGATGAAATTATCCAAAGTTGGAGAACCAGAACATGAAGAACGTAACCCGACAGTTAAGTTTCAAGGAGAACTTCCTGAAGAAGTTGATTGGAGGAAAAAGGGCGCTGTAACAGGAGTCAAAAATCAATTGGCTTGCGGATCCTGCTGGAGTTTCAGTACTGTAAGTATATCCAGTAATATAGGGAATTTTTAAATTTTTGATGTTTTAACTTGGTTGTAGACGGGAACAGTAGAGGCTGCAAACTATAAAAAAACTGGTAAATTGGTTTCTCTAAGCGAACAAAACTTAGTGGATTGCGATAAAAACGATCACGGATGTGGTGGAGGATTCATGATAAGCGCACTTGAATATATAGAAAAAAACGGAATTATGTCGGAGAAAGATTACCCTTACGAAGCTATAGATGATAAGTGTAGATTTAACAATTCTGATGTAGCTGTGAAAATTTCCTCATTCACAAAAGTTACAATTGGAGATGAGGATGATCTAAAAGAAAAAGTCGCATTAATTGGACCCGTTTCTGTGGCAATTGATGCAACCTTTAATTTTCAGTTATATAGCTCAGGTAATTAATTCTTTCTTTTATTAGAATGTGTTTGACTGTTTTACTATCCAATAGGAGTATTCGATGATAACTCCTGCGGAAATGATTTACAATCTTTGGACCATGCGGTATTAGCTGTGGGATATGGTAGTGAAAACGGAAAGGATTACTGGATTGTTAAAAACTCATGGGGAACCGATTGGGGAATGGATGGTTACATTTTGATGTCCAGAAACAAGAAAAATCAATGTGGAATTGCCACATATGGAGTCGTAGCTACAATGTAGAAATGTAGATGTAGGTAATTCGTTAGAATATAATCGTTAGAATTACAAGTGAGTAGTTCTGTTAATATATCTGTTAAATGAAATAAATGTTCTATGTTGATCTAAGCAAATATTTTATTGCGTATATTAAAGAAGTATAGAGTGAGTTGATGAATATTCACGATGACAATACCTACATATGAAAATTGGGTGTCTAATTTTTCTGTATAGTGATCGGAAAAAATTAATTACGACGAAAATGAGAAAATCCTCTTATGGATCGTTAGAGAGTCGTGTGCCGTTGACAGCGGAAAGAATGGCGCAATGCAACCACGAAAGCCGAAGGTCGGGTTTCCTCTAACAATGCCTGAGGGAAGTCATTAAAATTGCATTAGGTCTAGTTTCGACTCCTATTCCGCTTACTGTTTTTTAAGCTTTTCTTTTCGTTGATTCATTATACAAATACAACAAATTTGACTGCTCGTGGATTGTTTCCACTCACAGCTTCCCGCCACACATACACCATACCAAACTCGAGCAGAAAACCGAAAATTCATTTTCCAATTAATCATTAAGTTTCCTTATTAAACAGACTCTTAACAACGAATTAATGTAATGAACTCGTCTATTAAGAATCGTTACCTGCTTTCCGAGCGAAGCGAAATTCGAAAGACATTTAACGACGTCGCGATATTAAATGTTAATTGAATGGGGGGACGGAAGAAAATGAGCGAGAGAAAGGCACCGGCCAACTTTGCTAATTTTGTTTCTAAGTGGAGAAGATCTTGGATCTTACCCCGCCATCTTACTACCTAATTTACTTCGTTAACTTGTGAACTCGCCTTAATTGATGTTTAAGATCGGGGCGACATCTTGAGCGGCCCCGACTTCGATTTTCGGGTTTGCTATCTACTTAGCGTGCAGGGAAGTTGGGTTGAGGAAAATGCGATTTTATTTAGAAAATTTCCCTCAGGAGTTTTCCTGCAAGCCGGGCGAACATTGTAGCAAGTTCTGTTATAAAATTAATTTATTTTGTTAATTGGATTTGATTGTTTTAATAAATTCATTAATTGAAGTTTTATGATATTCTCGTTTTTTAAGGAGCTAATTTTACCAATAATAAATGAATTTAACATTTAATTGCGCATACCTAACATTTGTGTGGATTTCTATACCATTTCTATTTTAAAGAGCTATTTTAAACTGGAATGTCTATCAAAATTCTGATATTTATTATACAGGGTTAACACTCTGATTAATTGAGTGCCGATACTTCAGGATGTGAATATTCAGATGATTTTAAGAAGAAAAGTTTATAAAAATACATGTCCTTAACCTCTTAGCTTTCGAGCTACAGGGTGTTGCAGATTTAGAAAAAAAAGCATTTCTATTATTATTTTCTTATTACCTACTTCAGATATTTTTTATTAATTTTCGGACGTGGACGTCACTGGTAATAGTAGAAAATTAATTTTTGTCCCAAAAAAAGCGTTTCGATGCATGGTGGGCGCCCACCAAATTTCAACAAAACATCGAAAGCAGTCTCAAAATGAACTTGTGAAAAAATGTTTTGGATTTTATTTTTTTACGCGAAAATTGTGCGTCGTACGAAAGTAATAAGTCTTCGGATCGAGTTTGCTCCAAAATAAATGAGGATTTTAAACATAAATATATTTAGAAAAAAAAAGTAGCGTACAATTTTTGCTTTAAACATATTCAGTTCAAACCCCGTACGGACGTCACTGGTAAAAATAAAAAAAAAATCTTTTGCTACAAAAATTGCTTCTTAATAATTAAAAAGTGTGTAAAAAATTTCATAAAAATATCTGTAGTAATAAGAAAATTATGATAAAAATTATGGTAGTTATTTTTTTTCTAAAATTGTGACACCCTGTAGTTCGAAAACTAAAACATTTAGGAAATATATTGAAAATTTTCTTCTTAAAACCATCAAAATATTAAAATCCAGAAGTTTCGGCACTCAAATTATTAACACTCTGTAGATACGAACTTCTTTAGTTTAAGTAGTTGCTGGAGCTTATTTGTTAAATATTTCCTGTTATATTTTTGCATTTTGTAGATCTCCACGAGAAGAACCTGATTGATCTGATCTTTGACAATAAACCTACACATCAAGTTATGGCATCTATTCACAGATTTATACTTTTCACTTTTTTTATTGGTCGTGTAGGTATTTTATAAGTGTATTAATTACTAGTCAAAAGTATTAGGAGCTTACAATTAGATGCATAAACAACACAAGGAAATTAGCTTACCTAATTTATCCGGAGTTCCTGTTTTCCCAGGAACGCTCTTTTCTTCTTGAATCTTCCTCTGTTGTTTTTTGTGCTTCATTCTTCTATTCTGAAACCACGTTTTCACTTGCGTTTCGCTAAGACTTAATGCGCTGGCCAATTCCACTCTCTCTGGCGTCGATAAATATCTTTGAGCCGAGAACCTCTTCTCCAAGCCTGAAACACAAGTGATTATCTTGTAATAATCTTGAATTTTATCAAGAATAACTTTCACAATATAAGAGTCATGTCATGTTGCTAAACAAAGAGTTTAGTTGGAAGCAGAATTTATAAGCAAAATGGAAAAAGATTTCGTTTTTAAGCAGATTGAAATTCATGTATTTACCTGTTAATTGGGGATCGCTGAATACGGTTCGAGCTTTCCTTCTTCGACAATGTTTCAAAGCATTTAGAGAAATTTCACTGGGAGTACTGCCAAAGAGCGCGTGATGGAAGGGAATTCCTGAAATTGAAAACATCTAACATCAAAACCATAAAAGAAACCATCAACATTGAACCTGATGATACCCGAGTATATCTACAAATCGTTTTGGGAAACGGAAAACTTCAATTTGTAGCGGTATAATAGAAATTTAAAAATACAAAAACTATAAGTAGATATAAAAATACTTTTATCTTCATCTATTAGAATTTGTAGTTTGTATAAAGAAATACAAGAGGCATCCATAATATTTAAATAACTCTTATAAAATAGGTTTTATAAGTTTATTTTATAAAATAATGCATTAAAAATACAATAAAAACAATTTACCTTGAGTGAGAAAATACGGATCCGTCATGCTTTTGTACGGAGGTCCCAGATAGGCTCCCAAGGCTCCCATAACTTGAATATATCCATTATCAGGCTGCGGAAAACTTTGAACCATCCCGGCACTCGGAACCGGAATGTTAGTTTGAAAATAACTGTATCCGGTTTTCTCCGGCGATACGCGTTTTTCCGCAATTTTGGGCAAATGGAAAACTTTCTCGCGACTCGAGCATTCCTGGCCGTTCTCTTCGTGCTCCGATTTCTGTCTGTACAGAATGTCTTCGATCAAAAAAGAGGTGCGATTTTGCATTAGATTCGTGTCGTTCAAGTGCATTTCGGCCATGCTAGGTGCGAGCGCGAAAAACCGCCGTGTATATTTCGGAAAATTCACCGCGCTTAGGATTAACTTGCTCGATTGTTAGCAAACAATCGGTATCTGATAGTTAGAACCGCCAACGTTCGCTCGATCTGTGCCTGAAAAGTTCCGCCTACTGTGTCATTTCAACCCTTAACGGGGGAAGTAAGTTTTGATCGAATCGCGGAGGTTAACAAGGGTTGATTTCGCAGAGATGACTTTGATTAGAGGGTAATTGTGTTCTTCTAAGTTAATTTCGTTCGGCTTCGCAGATCGCAGCTGTGGGCCGATATTAAAGTGGAGTGGTCTTAAATTAATCGATTCTATGATTATGTTGCTTCATTAAAAATTTGCTGAATTACGGAATAACGAAGTTGATAAAATGTGAAAGAACTAAACTTGCAAAATTTAAGTGATTTATTTAATTAATCTTGAATGTACCAAAATGTTTGAATTCTATCCTATTTATGGTGCATTTTAAAGCACTCATAATAATATCTGCGTACATAACTAATAGTATGTATGTACCTAATAACAATAATGGGAGGAATAGAAGGAAAACCTAGATATGCTTTGAGAGAGCGGAATTTCGCTAATAATATTAGTCATAAGTTTTGCGGTTTAACTATGGCGCTCGGGATTGTTCTAGTCGGAAGTTTCCTCGGTTTGTTTTCTAACTTATGTTATTAAAAATTGAATTTATAACTTTAATTAGAATGTTCCTACGATGCTATAGTTGTTCGCTTTATTTTAATATAAATAATAATTTAATGATACTCTTGGAGACTTGTTTATTTTCAATTATTTCCAAGTTTTCCTTTGCATGTTCTCTATATCTTAATTAATTCTGCTGATTGTTGATGATTTTTTCTCTGGCTACTCTTCAGCGGCAAATAAATCTTTTTTTCTAGTACCTAATGTTAGCTTGAAGTTAAGGCCATTTAGAAGTAATTAAGATTATACATTATTGACTCAGTGCAATGGGTGATTATAATTTATATATCCATACAGCAGCTTTTGGCATGGGGGGTGATGAATAAAGTAAATTTACCAACTGCACTCATTTGGTTGGACAAAATTTTACAATTTATTAATTTCTTTGCGGAAAAACATCATTACAGATTAAACGTTCTTAATGTATCCGTTAAAGACTTTATAAAACCAATTTAAGTAATTTATGAAACATATTTTCTCTACTTTTATATAGAGATATTTTTGCTCTAATAACTCTAATCGAAATGATTACCTATCTATAAAATATTATATTTACAATAATAATTGAATCGCTCAGCGACATAGTGGCCCAGCTGCGAATTGCATTTACTGGTTTCAAACAGGAAAAGTGCTGAATATTTTCTAAATTTCAAGTCTACATGGGCCCAAATGGCCCAAGTATGCACTCTATATCAATTAGTGAATTAGAAAAGTTCATTTGGGTCCATGTAGACTTGAAATTTAGAAAATACGCAGCACTTTTCCTGTTTGATACCAGTAAATGCAATTCGCAGTTAGGCCACTCTGGCGCTCAACGAGTAAATTATTTCTTTACTAATCATCAAACATAAGCAACATATTTGAATATTTGTTTCTATAATTTGTTTCTATATACTATCTATTATAGTTTATTATTTCTTCAAAAATTCCAAAACAAACTTATTCAAGAGCAAAACAAACCTACCAGATTTATCATCTCGCAGAAAATAACCCTCCGATTTTCCCCGTAAAAGCAATATGCTCAAATCGAAATGATCAATCAGCATCCCTGTCTTCCCGCGATTCTCCCAGTCCTAAGCGTTCCGAAAGCTCCCTTTCCCCCCGATATCAACCCCCATTAAGGTGCGTTAAACCTATAGATTAGGTTGTCATAGCGACGGCGGGTGTGGCGTCCGATCGCGAGCCAATAGCGATGACGCACCCCTTCAATTGTAACCCTTAGATGCAAACTCCACCCTTAGTTTCATTGTACACTGATCGGGCCATATATTCGGGCCAAATTGGCCATTTAGCGGCAATATGCGGTGTATTAGCGGAAATAAGTTTAGAGTCAGATATACGCCGGTTTATAGTACAAGCCCTTACAGGAATTATTTACTCACCTTTTTCTTGCAACTATGTATACTTACTAACTACTATTATAATAATATAACATAACCTACTGTAAATTTTAATCATATCATAAATAATGAAGTTTTCAAAGATAATATTAAAAATATTTCTTCGTATTTACTTTGTCCTGGATCATAAAGTAAACCTGTAACTTTTTATTTTATTTTTTTAGCTTAATTAAAGAAATTGCAATGAAAAATTCCAATAAGCAATCTTATTCTATTCTTATTTTTATTGTATAAAAATTGCTAAAATATTTACCTATTAGTTTTAATAGAAGATTAAGGAAGATAATAGGATTTTAATAGGAATATTTAGATTTCCATATTATCCATGCATGATACAAACGGAATTTAACTGCACTATAATGTTGATTTATTACTATGATGTTGGGACTTCTTGTTCTTATTATTTAGCATAATAATTGGGATGAACCTTATTAGTACATCATTTTATTTCCTATTATTACTTATTATGATAATTAATTAAATGTTTAAGTAATCAAATTTAATTATTAGGAGATTAAAAAAAAACAGAATTAGTTCTAATTAAATCTTTTTGTAGCCAACATAAGTTATGTAATGTCAATTTCAAGAAACATGCGACATTAAACATGCAAATAGTATAATGTATCGAATGGAATATTTGTTTATATTTTTAATTTATAATGAACCTATGTAGGTATAATAATAATAACAGAATTATAATCAAATAGGCCGCATCAAACGGCTTATCGACAATATAATTATTTACATCGTAACATTAAATTTAATGAAAACGCGTAGCCCGGCGTTGTTAACAAACATCAAAAGCGTCGAATTTGAGGTCCGGGCGTCGACGGAGCGTAAAGCGTAAACGCAGGCGGCTTATTTTAGGCCCTTTAGCCCTTTTACACCCTTTACGGTTGACATTTGGTGACATTTCGCGCTGCATCGTGCGGTGCCCATCTGACAATTAACCTTTAAGTTCGCTAATAATAATCTCCAGCCCATTCGTATGTTTACTCGTTTGATATTTGGATTAATTCTTCGATAGGGATAATCGATTTTTGATTGGCAATTTCGGTTTTCATTAAGTATTTTTCTTCTAGAAAAAAAAAATAGTTATTTTCCTTGCACCGAAATTTGTTAATTTTATGCAGTTTAAAGCTAAATGTTACAGATTTTCTTAAGTACTGTTGCTTAATTAAATCAATTAATATTAAAGCTTCAATTCAAGCTCCCAGTATATAACACTACAAGTACAATACAAAACGAGTGCATATAACACGACTCGAAAATAATATCCCATTCTCAGACAATCTCTTTTTAACAACCCGCACGCACCCCTATTTTTCACCGTCGATCTCCCTAATGAGCTGCTTACCATCCCCATTCGCGCAATATTTGTGTTTGCCCGTACCCAAAACACGTACTGCGCCTCTTCGGGCCTCGATTTCGCATCACGAAGAGAGATAAACCATGAACTGTGATCGTCGCCGGAATTTTAAAGAGCCACCCGCGCCTCGGCCTCCTTCTGATCTTCGTAGCCAATTAATCCGTTTTCCCGGTGGAAACGCAAATTAACCACCCATACATGCCAGCGTCTTAGCTCTAATAATACGTCGCTTCGTTCAAAATTACCTATACCTAAGGATTTTTTGAGAATATTCTTCATCATGTTATATTCACGCAACCAGCGCAGAGTAAAAAATGTGCTTTATTAGAGGCGACATGTAATCAAATAAAGCTCTATTTACTTCCTTTTGGCGGAGTAAATATTAGTAAACAAAGGCGCCGAACAATAGAGTAAATTTTTTAATATACCCCCTCGAGTGCGTTTTCGCCCGGGCAACGCCGCCCCCCTCTGTTGCAAAGTAATACGTCGAAAAGGAGGATGAATGGGCGGCGGTCGGGCGAGCGCAAGTGCCTTTTCGGCCGCTTTTATTTTCTATTATGCGCCGTCCCATTCATTGGCAACATCAAAAAGTAAATAATTTCATTAAATTTCTTTATTTATTTTGGACAACGAGCTCTCCCGTAATTCCTGCACGGTCATGGCAAATCTAATAAGTGAAGACTCCAGTGACGGCACACTTGAGAGAAATATAGCTCTTTTTTTCTATACATTTTTTTATTATCGTACAAATTTTATTTACTAATCTAAATAATTGGGAATCAAGTGGTCTCATTAATACATTCATTATCACTATCATTAACTTACTCTGAATGGTTCAAGGATTGGTTCCAGATACCTTCGTCTTTCTTTAATGAATCCTTATTCTTCCATGCTTAAGGAAGAGGGATATTTTCCAGGAAAATTTTGCAACTACGCCAAATGATCACAATGCAACTTCAGACCTGATGAACGTTCGAAGGTAATGGTACGTGTCGGTGAAATTTAATAAAATCGCAGTAAGCTTTCCGCGCCCTGAATGAATAGAAGTAACCCTAGTAACCCGATACTCGGAACAATCGACTGTCGCCCGTCGGTCGTCAGTCAAGGGTGGCTTGATTTTACAATCCCCAATTAGAAGGCGTACGTTTAGCGATTAAGGGCCTTGTCATGTGAGTAATTTTCAGGATAATATTATTATTTCGGATAAGCACAGGAACGGTTTCGTATTCGAAAGAATTTCGAGAAAAAAATCCTCGTCTCGTGATATCAACAAATTTTTCACCCTTTTTTAATTGGTGCCGAAAATACCAGCATCAGTAAATGAACGTTTTTCCACAAAGTAGAAGACTATAAATTTAATTTTACACATTTTTGTTCCAACAAATTAACTCCGATTTTGCAATAAATTTTCAATAATTTTGGATTTAGAATTTCATGCTATGCCAATATTTAAAATAAAACTAGTTTTCTCAAATCTCCTGTACTAGAATTGTAAAACTTTAATAGAAATATTTGAATCCAGATCTGCGGCTTCGATGTTTCAGATGGGCGTATTTCGGCTAAACGAAGGCTTTTATTAGTTAATTACGGGACTATTACTGATAAAAATACGTTTAGATTCGATACATTGTGCGTACTTAATTTATTTACCGTCCGCATTGACAGCAAAGAGATGCTTTGAACGCCCCATCAGTCCTTTGTATAAACACTTCGTGAATTCATCTGTAGTGGGTAGTGGAGGGTGAATAGGATAGTCGCAAATAAGAATATTGCTGGTCCTCGATAAACAGGGATAATTAATTTAGGGTTTGCAATAATTTGCGGTGATTGTGAATCTAATGAACTTATTGCAAAAGGCCTTTCACTCACAACCTCTCTAAAACGATCCACGAATTCACTTTTGTTTTTATTTTTGATTAATTTTTTACAAAGTTATAATTATACAAAAAAAACTTATTTTATAAATTACATTAAATGCAATAACTATATTATCTTTCGCTATCTTTCGTTTACAATGCGATAACGATTAGTTTAAATGAATCGAGTCTGTAAATTTTACACAAAACTGATATCATCAGAAGTCATCATTACGCGTCGAATTGTAGAATCTTCTTGAATAAGAAGCCGGAGATCGGTCGCAAAAGCCCAAGACGCTGAACCACTTTCTTTGATAAGCGTACATAACCATCAAAATTAACGGAATAACTATCAATATGCCTGAAATATTAAATTATACCATACAATAGTTCAAATAATTCCTAGATAATAATACAAGTTTCATTTACACTATGAATTAACCCACAAACAGGACGTCTTACCTGAAGCCCGTCCAATGGATAATGAACATTCTCCATTCGTATCACAGGCTCTGTCATAATAATCCTCGTCAATTTTCTCCTCACTAAATCTATTCTTACCTGCTAGTACTGCCACCAACATGACTCCGTCTTTTTCAGGCCTGTTCCCATATACATCGAGACATCTCATATGACTCTTCTTCATGTAAATATCATATAAAGTGTACGCTTTCATTTCTATCGGGGCAGCACACCTAAAAAGTTACAGCAAGTTATACATTTATATAATAAAAATAATTCCAAAACTCACCTCACTTCCTTAGCCATTTCTTCGTTAATTTTCAAATATATGGGCATCAAATCTTCGACCAACCACTGATTCTCGCACTCGCAAGTCAACGGGTTCTCCCTGATGTCCAATTCCGATAAGCTATCCCATCTAGCTACCAACTCGCTCTCCAAATAAGCCAATTTGTTGTTGCCAATGTAGAGCTAAATTAACGAAGCGACTCGATTTATTATTTCATTATCGTCGTTCGATTAATTTCCTAAGTTACCTTTTTGATGGGCGGCCAGACGGCTCCGCCGCTCACGTTCGAAGGCTTCGGCAAGGCTAATTCGTGGATGGAGCTCAAGTCGATGTTGTCGCATATCCGAAGATCGGACAAATTGGTGAGGCCGCTCAGCGCGTATTTGTCGATGTGGTGCAAGTGTTCGTTGCGGCACAAATGGAGGACTTTCAGCGAAGGCAAATCGGGAAATCCGCTGTGAATTTTTATCGTATTAGATGTAGATACGAATTAAATTGATGAATTGAACTTACTTTTCGCGAGTTAAATTAACGAAGCCGGTGTTGTTTAGATACAATTTCTGCAAGTTTATGGCTTGTTCTAAAGTGGTTGGCATTTTGCTGATTTCCATATTTCCTGATAAATCTAAAACTTGGAGTTTCCTTAGCGTGTGCAACATATTATCCGGTAAAGTCTTTAGGCCCGTATATTGCAGATATAATTCCTATTTAAAACGAAAACCATATCTTTAAATCGAAAGTATTTTGTAGAAAAAGTAGAGGAAAACGAGCAAATTTAAAAGGTCATAAAATTATCGAATTTTACTTACCTTTAAAGAGGCCAAACTGCAAATAGCAAACAGCGTCGGATGATCAATTATGTCGAAATCGTTGTAACTTAAATCCAATATTTCTATGTCTGTTGTGTGTTCGAAAGTGTCTTGGTGAAGAGTGTGGAGTTTATTGTGATCTAATCTAAGCTCTCTTAAGCTTCTCAATGGTAATAGCCTTTCTTCTAAATAAAGACCCTAAAAAAGTATAAAATAAAATCCTACTTTAAGAAATTAATAGAAACGTTACTTTAAAGGTATCTGGATGGATGGTCTCCAAATCATTATGACTCAAGATCAGCACCACCATGTTTTGTAAATTCCTGAAGACACTATCCTTAATAATGACAATATTATTTTCAGCTAAATTCAACAACGTTAAATTCGATTTGGGAAACAATTCGGTCAAATTATTAAAATTGTTGTTGTTTATGACCAATGAATTATACGCAATACTCTCGTTGGTATTGTTCAGTTTCCAAAAATAGTCCTGAAAAATGTGGTCATATGGCAGAAGTTCTTTGCACATTACATCCGCTGCCGTGTCATTGGCGTTGAAATTGCACTTGCATAGTTTACAGAGAGGAAATTTATTTTTGTCTAATTCCGCTGTCGTTAACGTGACGAAACCCCAAAAAAGGATAAATTGTAAAATGTTTCTCATCCTAAAAAAAGAAGGTTGTTGTAATTAACACTTTATACAGATAGTATATTTTATACAGATAAGTAGGTACTACATACAGGTTGCTCCATTTTTGATCGCAACATAGGTTATATAGGTTATAGGTGCGATAAAGACAATTTCCATTAGACACTTATAAAGGAAAAAGAAAGAGTGACATTTGTATCATTGCAACTTTTCACTCTGACAACTGTTATTTTATTAATCTTTCTTTGTTCCACTCATAGAAATGACCATGTTGCAATCGGAAATGGAGCAAACGATATAACATAATGTACAGAGAGGCTAATTGCGACCGCTGCAATCTTTAGAAAGAGACTCAATCAATATCTATCGATATAATAAGATAGTAAAGAACAGTAAACATCAGTTGAACTGATTGCCGGCAGATATTAGAATTCGCTTCGTCTACTAGCGAATAGCGGGGATAGCTGGCGTGACTATTTCGTTTGTTCTCTTTATTCCTTACATAACAAAAATTCCATTAGCTATCTCATCGTAAGCTTGCAGCAGTCCGAAGTTGCCTTACTGTATATAGTACCTAAAACTACTCCATATATTAATAATTGGATAATAAGAATTTGTTGAGTAATGTTTTAAGCAGAAAAGATCTAAGTAAATATCTACTTGCTTTTCATGCTTTTTTCATTGCGTGATACGAGACTCCATCATAGAGTAATGTTTTATGAGTTGCCCTAATTGAAAGCATAACTTAAAAATACCAGATCTGCATATGCACATATGTAGGTATAGGAAAGGAAGAGTATTAATTTCATTTCTTGACCTACATATGTATATTTGAGTCAGTACAGAGGTTATAATAGATTTCTATAGATTTCACAACGACCATAAAGTACCTGCCGTAGTTGCTTTAATCGTTTGCAAATAAAATGATAACACACCTATCGCTTTAGATTACTCACAGTATTTGTTATTTGCGTATTTATTAATAATAATAAAAAAACAAAATGTACCTATAAAGTAATTGTCTTAATTAGTTTTTTAGGAAAAAACAACGTTGTCCTTTATAAATAGGGCATTTTACAATCAAATTATCGGTTAAATACATAAACAAAAATACATCACACAAACAAAATACAATAATGAAGTTTTGAAGTTAATTGTAAAATGTTACATACAAAACTTTTAAAAGAATAGATGTATTTTGCACTTGCACGTACCTTATCATAAAATTCACTTCTTTATACTTAACACAATGTGCATCAAGTTTAGTACGATAGATAGCTTTCGTGTTTCTAAATGATTCTATACCTAACACTATAGCCAAATTTATCTTATCTTGTTTAAATATTGGGAAAAAATGTGTTATTCATACTGATATCATCTCATCATCACAGATAAACTAATATTAAAGCTACATCTTACGAACTGTTTGCATTAACTGATTTAGATACAAAAATAAAAAAGTGCTGGAAAGGTAGTAACTTCTTCGGATTTTAAAACCTTTCATTTCCTTTAAAACTTCGTCCGTAATCATTATGTAAGTACCTACCTACGCAACTGACTGCATAAAAATCTCGTCCTTCACTCTCCCAACAAAAGTAAACGAGGCTTCCGGCTCGGGTTAGCTATATTAGCACCTTTATCTTTTGTTTTGAATTCTTTGTGAGCCTCGAGGGTGCTCGCCGCAGAAGATAAAGTCGAGTCCGTTCTTTCCGAGCCTCCTCTTTTTCCGGCCGTAATAAGCGCGAGAGGGACGGCGCGCAAGATGCTGGCGTCCCTTCACGTAAGTGACATCTTTTTAGGTTTTTATTCGAGCGAAATTACAGAGTGGAGACGAAAGTTTTTCGAGTGGAGAGTCGAGCGTTCGCTCGGAAACGTTTCCACTTTGTGCTGCGGGTGGGTGAAGGACGAGCGACGGAGGAAGCGGTCCTTTAATGAGGGCATGAGATTTGCGAGGTCGTAGTCTAAATTAGATTAAATTTTTGCGAGTGGGGTTCATAGAAAAGTGGATGCGATTTAAGGAAATTAAGGAAAGTGCTTAGATACACAACACCAATTTTTTTATAACTACTACTGTGACAAAAAAGTACCCGGAAATTTGTTAATCGTCATTAATATTTCTTGAGTGTTCTTCAAAATATTCTTCTTTTAAATCGAAAAACATAGTCAGGCGCCTTTTCCAATCATCGAAGCATTTTTATAGGCCCTTTTTGGTACGGCTTTTAGCTCTGCGAATTTTCTTTGATGGCATTTGTGGAGTCAAATTGGGTTCCTCGAGTTGTCAATTTGAGCTTGGAAAACAAAAAATGTCGCACGAGGCTAAATCGGGTGATTAAAGCGGCTGGTCGATGGCACTTCACACGAACCAGCATATCGTTTTTGAAGGAAATTCAGCTACTCTTCCTACGATGTCTGATTCTGATTGGTTGAGCAAAATCAAACGAGCGGTTTAACGGGAGATCTTGAGATCAGGTGATACTTCTCTAATACTGGTATGATGATTTTCGAACTCAAATTCCTTCATTTCTTTGCCGTTATCATTGGTTGAAGAGGTCGAAGGCTGTCGGGAACAAGGCAAGTCTTTAGCGATTTCCCGACTGTCTTTAAAAGTTTTCTACCATTCGTAAATTCGACAAACTCTTTGTTCATTATCTCTATCCATTGCAAAATTCGCAGAGCACTACTGACATTAACTGATTCAATCAGCTGCTACAACCAAACTGATTGAAAAATCTCTATATTTTTTTTGCATGCCAATTAAGAACAGTTTTACCTAGATAATGAAATTTGAAGTAATTAAAAATATTAAATGCTGGTAAATTAAAATAGAATTTCCGGGTTCTTTTTTGTAGGAATATAATATGTACTGTATTATTCAGATCAGTGTATAATATAAGACTTGCACAATATCAAAATGCATTTATTTAAAACAATTCAATCAGGGGATAGGGAATTTACCATCATTTGATGAAAATTATTAAATCCCAGTTCCAAATGTACATTCTTTACCTAAATATTTTTAATAACGTACAGATATTGATTGAGCATCAACGGTTCTATTGAAATCGCCTCTAAAAAACCAATGCACGTAGCTCGAATAGGGATATTATATTCAGATAAAAGCGAATACTTTTTTATCGTTTATTTATTCCCGTCGCTTTTTCTCGATGTGGATGTCGATGTTGGTATCAATAGATTCGGATATATCATACGATTCCATCGTTTTATTAGAATCGAGTCTGAAGGGCCGCAAATTGCGCGAATATTCTTCCAAATCGTCTGGAAAGGAGAAGGTTTTGTTAAGTTTACTATCCCAAAGACTGATCTGGAATATTGCAATTCATAATGTTAAATTTTCTGCAAACAATGTCATAAATTATTCATAAAATAATTAAGTGATCTATTAAAATAAACAAATTTTAGAATTTTTTAAATGCTTATACAAAAAATCGTCCGCAATTGGCGGATCGGGAGACTTTCGCATCGATTTTTGCCATTATTAACTTAGCTGTTTTTAAAGCGAGTGTAGTACGAGCTAGCTGGAAACCCATATTGAACGAAAATTGGACGTTATTGGAAAAATTACATCAGAATAGCATTCGTTACGAGCAATTTGCGGCGTATGCTCGAGAGAGTAAGCCCGGAAAACAGGCTAGAAATCGCGGAAAATGTTATCTCTATCGATTCTGGTCGAAGCGCGTCGTTTAATTTTATTTTGCCGGGGATTTTTTAATAAATTGTCCGGAAAATTTTTGCCTGTAATCAAATTACGGTGGTTGAAAAATTTCCTATAAATAATGCAATTATGTTGGGAATAAGGTAATAAGAAGAAACAACATCAAAGTAATCTCGAAACATATAATAAATTGTAACTCCCATGAAAACTCGACTTTGATACTTATAAAAGTAAAAAAAAAGCAAAAAAAATCAAAAAATACTTTAGAAAATAAACTCAATCACTGAATTAATTATCCCATATTTTTGTATTACAGAGTGCTTCATTTAATATTAGAATCCCTCAAGAATGAGCCTTCCTCAAGAACATTCTGCAATATGGTCAAATATGTGAGTTGAACAAAGACGGATTATTGAAATAAAAGTGGTTAAAGTGTGAAACTTGCAAATGTGCAATGTGCAATGTGCAAACGTGCAAATTCAATTATTACTCTTTTTTTCTTTTTTGAGACTAATATAAGTTGTCTTTATTGCACACATAGCCTATACTGCAAACAGTTTTGAATCTACCTGTATAGCGGTACCAGTTTTTCCCCGCTGATTCTTCATCTTTTTTTAGGGGATTTCTAAGATATCTAAGAATTACTTGATTTAGCCCATTGAATTAAATCATTTCTCTTATAAACTGCTCCACAAAAGTTAAGGAAATTCGCAAATTTCGCGATTATTTTAAAAGTTACAGACTTTTTGATCACCAAATTTTCAAATATGCGAAATTAAATGTTTTCTTTCGTATCTGAGTGGATTTTTTTGTCCCTACCTCTACAACTCATACTAAATTTGGCGATCAAAAAACCTGTAACTTTTAAATTAATCGCAATATTTGTGAACTTCCTTAACTTTTGTGGAGCAGTATATTTCATTATAGATTAAATCAGCATATTCATTAACGCTTAAACTATGTTATAAAAATAATAAAAATCCAGTTTTATTAAAATTTTACCTACAAGAAAAAAATTTAATTTTTTATAAAAAAAAGAAGAATAAAAAACCAATCCAATTGACATTGACAGTGACGTTAGTGACACCAACATCAAATTGACATTTGACAATTAAAATATGGCTTCCAACAAAACACTAGTAAAAATGTTATAAAAATGTTTTTATTCCCAGTTTATTTTTTAATTTTAGTTATAGATAGTGTAAAATGTAAGTACACGTTTACTACGCGTATTTAGTAGTAGTTAGTAAATTTTTCATGCGGTCAAAAATTAATCTTTTAGGTAAGTCATTAACCGTAACTAAAAACTATGCCGAAGCTTTCTACCCTGTAGCAGGGGTAGTCGAAGAAAAGGTGGGCACTACCTTTTCTCTAATATGCGAGCTCGAATCTAAAGAGGAGCGAAATGCCGTCGATGATCACCTAATTTGGATCAAGAAGGAAGTTCTATCGAATCAAACGAGGTTTGACCACATTCACAAAAACTTCATTTGACTACCATTTGATGATCACAAACTTTCAGATTGCAAAAAAACATACCGAGCATACCGGGTATAAACAAATCCGTGAAGCGCTTCGATCCTCTGCGGGCAGAGGATAAAGGTCTCTACGTTTGCATTAGCCACAAATTCAATCTCACTACGAATGTAACCGTCCTGTTAATTGACAATATCAAGAGAAACGAACTGAGACCTATGAGGGAAAAGTTCTTCTGCACCGATCAAATGTTCCAATGTGTCTCGAATGGCGTTTGTATCATTCCCCATTATGTATGTGATGGCAAACCGGACTGTAAAGACGCATCTGATGAATCTCGTGAACAATGCAATGGAGAACCTTGCAGAGGTATATGCAATTAATGCATTTAATCGGGCAATTTGTACATGTATTTTTCATAGATAAAATACCTTGTGATGATGGAAGGTGCATTCCTAGTAGCTGGTGTTGTAACAGACTCCATGACCCTAATTGCACGGTAACAAATAGACCTAAATGCTGTCAACCTCCAATTATACCCGATTGTAAGTAATTATAATTAATTTATGTAATTATAATTATTAATGTTAGTGGGAATAATAAACTTTTTGTTGTGTATAGCATACGAAGAAATGGAATACGGATACCCGAATATTAACCACAACAATCATAATGGTGCTCGATATTTATTCATATCAGTTTGTAAGTTGCAAATACTATTATTAAATCATCTGTTAATTTGTGCATGATTCAAGCATTATTTCCGTAATATTAAGTAGTTACCTAATTACATTTAAATGATTAATAACTATTGTATTTTCAGGTATTATCAGCATACTCTTTTCGATTGTATTGCTCTTACTAATTATATCGAAAGTGATGATTTTCGCTAAAAAGAGCTCACTGCAGCAACAACGGCACAATTTATGCGAAAATATCGCGCTGCGGAATCAAACGAATGTAAACATAATCAGGGCTGATTTCGCCCCGAGTGGTATATACACTGTGAGAAATAATTCCCGCACGCCCCGCTCAAATATCATCATTGACACGTCTGAAGTCAGCGATCCGCTTCTGTACTCCCCGGCTCGATTCAATATCGATAATTTTAGAGGGTACTCAGATCAACCTCCTTCGTATGTTGATGTTTTAAGAAACAACAGATTAATAAGCGAACCACCACCTCCTTATACTAGTAGAGAAATTCTCAATTGCAATGAAGAAAGGCAGGAGAGGAGATGATGGTTTGGTTTGTAATTTTTTCGGTTCTAACGTTCTCTCGAACTACTATTTGAGTACTAATTAGTTGCGTGATTAACATTGGTAAGTTTTTTATGGATTATGATTACAAGCTTTGTCATTTTATGTAAGTAAACTATCAGTTATAGCGATGTACTAAGTGACAAATCCTGTACGGTAATATCTGCAGTTTTTCGTGTAAAAAAATAATGAGTGTAATGATATAATTTGTTCCGGAGTCGTTATGGAGATGTAACGAAAACATAATAAAATTGTTTTAGGTTTTAAATAATAATTTTGGAATTTGTTTTAAAATGCTAGGGTATCCATAAAAATTAGTATGATTTTTTTTAATATTCAGTTGGCTTTATTATATTTACAAAAATTTCGTATTGAAATTATTGTATAACCCAATAAAATGTCACTGGGTGAATGAGAATCGATTTGACCAATTTTTTGTCTTTATAGTAAAGACTTTATGGCCTCAACATAAATGTATGTACTTCACTTGTTAAATTCGAGTGTTATCACTTTTTAATCTGTTGAGAGTATTTTAAATAGATCTTTTACAAACAAATCATTATTATCGTTAAGTTATCGAATGAATAAGGTTATTATCATTCTGTAACTATATTTTAAATATTAAGCAATAACATCGTTAAGTTTATACAAATTAATTTTCAAGTATTACTCATCCTACTCTTAGAATCTTGCCCACATATCTTAAATATATCAAAATACATTTTGCACATTTTTTAAACACACTTGTTTATCAGTGATTAGTACAAGAACTGTGATTAGAAGTTAATGAAAAAGATTGTGCAAAATTAATTATACTCCTTAATGAAATTTACATATGATTACGACAATAACTTATTCGTACTATAAATTCGTATTTTTTAGACTGATTATTTTTTTAAGTGACCGCTTATTGTAAAATTAAAATATATTAAATTACAATTATGTAATGCGTTTTTTTACTTTGTTGTCCTGAAATTAGTATTATGGTTTTCTTGTTACCAATTGAATACAAGAAGCACTGTTTCTTGGATGTATACGATTTATTTTTTCAAAATAATTTTATATTCCACATTTTTTTACTAATGTTCATCACTATTGATCGCTAATTGTGTAAAAATAGTTGACCCTAAAATGTTAAAAAAATAATTGAGTGATTAAAATGAACAAAAATCAATAAAAAGTATATAAAACTTAAACAGTAACACCTGAACGTAATCTAACGTTAGAATCACTACTTTTTTTGCTTTTTAGACTGAGAGAACTCTCTGTTGAATCGCTTCTTTTAACGCTTGCAATGTATTCAACCTAAAAGAAATTTATCGACTAGAATATTAGTAACTAATTAACCTAATTAACAAACCTGTTTGTCTATGGCTCTAAACTGCCACGACCAATTGGCGCGATACAAAAACGGACGCAAATCAAACCTGTTATCCTCCGGGCTGTAAGATTCCGCATGATAAGACGGCGTGACAACAGTCATCTTGTGCCTATTAATAGCATAACACCTGCAAAGAACACAATTAATTGCATTAAAAACGCTTTGTGACTAATTAACAACTGCACCTGAAAAAATGTTTCACTTTTTCCGCGACTTGTTTGGGTGTGTACGTCGAAGACCAAGTCTGAACCAATTTGCAATACATCGAATACGGTCCGCAACATTCGATTTTCCTCAATCTGCCGTACTGGCTGAGCTCATCGTACGTCATACCCATGTCTTCTTCGTCCGTTTGCGCCAACACGCCTTGTCTCAACGGCTCCAGCTCCGCCGTAGGTGGAGCATCGATAATCTCGTTTAGAATGGGCAATTTGAACTTCTTCGTAGCGTAACTCATGAATCTGAAAAATGCATTTACGTATACGATTACACCTTATGTTCCCCAACACCAACCTTCTTAAATCGGTTTTCGAAATCCCTCCGATAGGATTTATGTCTGCGCTGGAGCAATCGTACTTAGTCATGTAACCTCGTAGGGATTCGTCTACATTAGCGCTGCCTAATACCAGTAATCCTCCCGGTCTTCCTTTGGTCCAGAGCATGAGTTGGGCGAATAAGTAAGAGAAAACCATCCTAACTCTCGCTTGGATATTCTGCAGAGCCAGATTTTGTCGAGCGCAACCGCCGTTCGACGAGAACTTAGGAAGCATCGTGGTTACTTGCGTGAAAACTTCTATGAAAGCAGACACCGCTTTGTCTATGATGATGTTTGTATGCGTGCTAAAAAAATTAAATTTGTTATAAAATAATTTGATTAAAAGTAATTTAGTACCTGCAAATCGTTCCTGCTAAAGCATCCGCGCGTGCTCTCGTTTCTTTTGAAGAATTCTCGCTTCCCATGTAGCAAGTGAATAGAATTTTGTTGCATAATTCTTGAGGGCTTTTTGGTGTGTATTCAGGGTTTGCTAATATTCTTCTTAAATCTGACAATACCTTTTGATCTACAAATAAGTATGAAAATATAATTCATTCCAAAATTATGAACTCGTAAAAATTAATTTTACAGAATCTATCTTACCCCCGCCCTGATGAATGGCTTCCATAATAAGATTGCACATTGAATAAACGATCACAGCTGTACTGGATGAATCTACTCCACCGCTAAGTGGCAGGAAAAATCCACCCTGCCCGGACCTCCTCAAGTAATCCCACAACCAGCAAGCCGGACCCTGCATTAAGAACGATTTGTAATAAAATTATTTCAGATTAGAAATTTGCTTTATACCTGAGCTATTTCTTCTTCTGGTAAAAGAAAATGCCATTCTATCGGTACAGCTGTAGGAAGTGTAGTATCGTGTTCTGGGGATAACGAAAAATCAACAACAATTCTCGGATATGACGGTGCTGAAGAGGCTAAATGTGAATTTGATCTAAGACTATTTCGATACGTTCTGATATCTTCTAAATCAATTGTAGTTGCAATAACTTCCTGTAAATACACATTTCATAAGTAATTAAAACTAAACAGATCTCAATTCGTCTAATATAATACTCACTACTTCACCCAAAGCAAACTGCCTAGCTCTATTCAATATTTTTCCATTCAAGGAAATGCAAGATACACCATCGAAGTAAATCCGTTGGCCATCGCATCCTCGTAAATTGCTGTAAACATAGCATCCTCCGCATTTCATAGTAGCATTTTTTACCAAATCTACCATCACGAAGCCTTTCCTCAACTCCGTATGACTCCCTGAGGAGTTGCAAATTATTTCGACTCCGTCTAACGAGAGAGGAATGTGGGAGCTAGCAGAACTCCACAGTTCTTCGCAGATTTCAAAGCCTTAAATGAGGATCTTTAAGTATGTGTAATTATTGTTTTACTAAAGATCTATCTACCTATGCATGTGTCCAATGTAGAGATAACACCGTCTCCAATTGGTACTACTCTTTGACCAGTATGTTTGGTTATCATTCGTGGTAAATAAAAATCTTCTACACAACGTTCCTACAATGGTATAAGTATGAAATATTATCATTTCTGGGATGTAATTATTACTTTTTTCCAGGTCGTAAACCATCTGGATTCCCTGTAATTTCCACTATCACACAGTATTCTCTTCGGTCTGATTAAAAGTATTTTCTTGTTTAAAAATATGACTCTACAGTTGTAACAGACATTTTTGTGCATAACGGGCATTCCTACGTCTATGAGGATGTCTTTGCATAAGGGAGCAATCAAAAGTTCCGCTAGTACTTCCCAAGAATGAAGGAAAGTGTCGCTTTCGTAAAAATGATCTTCGCAGCTGTACCCACTAAAAAAATAAATTTAGTCTATTGTAATTGATCAGTTTGGAATTGTTACCATATTTCCAGCTCGGGTCCTGTTCTGAAGGTCGCTCCTAATTCTTTTGCTTCCAATATAGACTGTAAAATTCTGTCCAAATTTCCTTCAAAATCCAAAGCCCATTGATTCAATGTAGAAGCAGCTATTGTTACTTTTCTTCCCATTTTGGGGTAGTTATATTTACTGTCTATTACGTAACTAGTAACCTAATTGAAATGTATCGACCAAACAATTTGCAACAATAGATAATAAAACTTGCAGATTAAAAGTATCACCTGTTAGGGTTTGTAAATATAACCTAAAATTTCTTTAAAATTATGTTTACTAAGCGGTTATTCAACCAACAACATGCTAGATTATTAGTAGATCAAATGTACAACAGAAAAAAGAAGAATTTGTATAATTTGACATTGGCAGTTGACATTTACCTAAACATAACCTATCATTTTCACATTTTTAATGTTTGAAAATATGCTTGTAGAGCGCAAATAAACTAGTTTACATACTAAAATAGAAGATGGATTTACTTTTAACAACAGCTCAATCAGACCAACAATTCTCGTGTTGTTTATGGGATTACAAGACTTTAAATATTCACAAATATTACAAGAATGGTGGTAAAGTGTCTCCTAAGTGTTTAGAATTGATCGGGGAGGATTATATTTTAACGTCTGAAATTGGGAAGCCTTTGCTACATCTGTGGCTATTAAACAGTCAAGCGGTGGCAAAAAACGTTAGGTAAATATACATGATTCAATCTTTCATTCTTCTGAGTATACTTTTATTTTAGATTAGTTATCCCTGAGCCAGCCAATTGCCTAGCCGTGTGCCCTCAAAACATTTATTTAGCTGTTGGAATTGGGTGTAAGCTGTACATGTGGCACATATCTTCAGGGAAGCTGTTGGCAGTACAACAGAAAAATTACCAGCCCGTTTCAGTGATTAAATTTTCGAGCGATGGAGATTTTCTGTTAGTCGGTGGTGAAGATGGAATGTTGTTGACCTACTATTTAAGTGATTTACTTACTGTTTCAAGTAATTACACTTCGCAAAGCGATCTCGGGAAGGCTGAACCGATGTACGTTAGGAAGGACCACTCCATGGCTATAAAAGATATACATGTTGGTATGTAAATTAATGAATTCTTTTTCGTATTAACTTTATTATAAATGTATTTTTTTTAGGTCGTTTTGGTAGAAAATCTCACTTTGTAACGGTTTCCGCAGATCGTACATGCAAAATATACAATCTTTTGAATGGAGAGCTAGAATGCAATTTGGTTTTTGGAAACTGTTTAACAAGCGTCATATTCGATTCTTCGTTTGGGCAACTTTACGTCGGAATGGAGACTGGGTTGATCAAACAATTCGTGCTGAAGGACCCTCCGAGGACTTTGACTCATCACGTTGAAGATGGAAAATTGAGTTTGGAGTTTGTGGGACACAAAAGTAAAATCGTTTGCTTGGCTTTAAACGCGATGGAAACGATCCTGGCCTCAGGCAGTTCGGATTCTTTCGTGTACACTTGGGACGTTAGGAAAAGGCAAATATTGAAAAAAATCAAACATAACAGTCCTATAACAAACGTAAAGTTCGTTATGAGCTATGAAAATTTCTTTGCGGAGAATATTAAACCGCGATACCAGATTAAAAGTTTACAGAGAAGCTTGGAATATTCAGAAGATTTAATGGTTAGTCAGCTGCAAACCGAGGATATAGAAACGAAAGATGAAGAATTCGTTTTATCTAAGAAAGAAAAACAGAAAGACATGTTTGAAGAAAATTGTAAATTAAGGACTGTAAATGAGGAATTGTTTAATGCTCTCGTTAAGATTGGTACAAAAACTTATTTGCCGAAATAAAGTTCTTAACGAAATTGTTTCTCTATCAATAAAACAAATATTTAAAAACATATATAAATACTTTATTTAGAAGATAAAATAAAGGACGGATACATAATTCAGAATGTTTAAGTCTTAATTGAAGTGGAAGTTTAAAAATTTGACATGGAATGGCACTTCTGGATGTAAATATCAGATCTATAAAATTATTACTTTAATGTAAACTTATTGTTTACAAGTTTAAAATCGAATAGACTCGTAACTTCAAACATCCCACTAATTTGTTTAGCATTTTTTTTCAAAAATGTTTTAATGGTACATTTGAAATGGAATGCGAGATTCATTGTTTTCACTTATTCTCTATAGAATATTTTATCAAAAATTTTACATATAAAAATACTGCGCTTTTTCTAAAACGTAATTTAATATTAAAATGATTGTACCCGACGAATGCAAATTTAATATTTTATAGATATAAATGGCTAACCTAATATTACTATTGTAAAAATATGTGTTGTCTAAAACCGAATAAAGATAAGAATATAAATCTTCTAATCACAATAAATAAAATATTTAAAAAGAAAATGGAAACCTTAACGATAAAAAAGCAGATCTAAACGGAAATAATAGCGTGTCTCACTGCAATATTGAAAAGCATGTATCAGAGCAGTTAAAATTTGTATCCTGCAAAAATTACCTAGTAATCCCTCAACTGCGATATACCTCCAAAAAAATCAGTAACTAAATAATCTCTCTGAACTGATACAGTAAATTTTATAGGAATCAATATATTAAGCCAAATAGCTATTGCCTTAGCATAATACCATAAGTAAATAAAAATTTAACACCACTAAGTATTGTTGCAAATAAAATAGTATAAAAATAGCTGTATAAGTAAAATGTGGTGTCAATCTCAGTAACATAAGTACATCACCGAAACATTAAAACTCGAGAACTAAGCTTAAAAGTCTTAAAATCAAAGAAGTTGCCAATAAAATTGATAATATTTCAGCATAGTTCTGGAGTTTATCTAACATTTCTTAAAAATAACATCTCTGCGCAATAAAAAATTAAAATGGCTTATTCGAAACTTCCAATCGTACGAAGAGTACTTGTACATCTGTTAAAATAAAAAAAATATCAACAATTACAGCTGCGTTGTAATCACAGATTTCCTTATAATCGTTGTCTCTGTCGTATCCACTTTGGAAACTGGCGATGAAACCACATCAGAGGAAACCAACCAGGGCGACACTTTGCTAAGCGTAGGACTCAGAGGCGTGGATTGCTTCGAAAGCGGCTCCTCTAAACTCGTCTTATTCTGTTAAAAAGAACCACAGAAATTTACAATACATTAACCCCAAAGATTTATAAGCACAACACTAACATAATGATACTTGTAATGAACACAAAAAGCATGCACACAACATACCTCTTCATCGGATTCCTTCGAATCGCTATCAGGACCATCATCTTTACATCCCGCTTCCGAATTACAAAACGGATTGTTCGGATGGAACACGTTCAGCGAATTAAAATGGTCGCCGTTATTCTCATTCAAATAATCAGCGAAAGGATTCAAGCTGATCTTTTCGTCCTCCACTTTGCATATACCCAATTTACCGTCGTTTTGTCCGAAGAACGTCACGGTAACCGGCGTGGGACAACGCTTGTGGTCTTTTTCGTCGCTTTTATTTTTATTTTCGTCCAGCGTTTCGGTCTCGATGATCTTCGGCGATTTGAGCACGGAACTCGTTATTACCGGCGGCAAACTCGTCGGGCCGCTCACCGATAAAGTCAATTTATCTCCGCCCTAAATTCGGTCCAAGGTGTTAATAAAATCAGCGCACGCACGTGAACAGAGTGTACAAAGCAAAACAAACGTGTGGGTGAATTTACATAATAATAAAACATTTAATTAGACACAATTAAACCTGTGGAGAGATGCCACAACTCGATATACTATAGAATTTATTAAATTGAACCTAATTTCTGAAGTAAGTTTGCTTTAATGTTAAACTTTTACTGTTATACTCCACAATTTTGAACATCTCAAAGAGTGGTACTGATAACTATCAAGTTAAGACAACTATCCACAGAAACACAAGATAAAAATTTGCTATAGAATGGCATTTGTAAAAGCTTTTCACAGGAACTTACCACTGAAATAAATGTAGCCGCGTTGAGAGGTGTTTCTTCTTCCTTGGCATGTACAAACATTTGATTAGTCAGCTTTTGGTGAAGCTCTTCTTCCGCTTTGGCTAAAAATAAAACGGATAATTAACAATCGATGCAATATCGGCGTTTTAGAGTTGGATAACTATGAACAATGGGGCAATCGAGTTATAACTAGGTATACTAACCCTTCAAAATGTTACACTTTATTTGTCCAGGTGGTAGAGGTTTAGCCACTCCAACAAATTTGGTAATGTTGTTAGGGATTTCATTTGGAAGGGGTTTAGCACTGCCATCGTTTTCAGCTTTAAGATATCAAAAAGTCGAATAAGTACATAAATATCATCTTCCGCGATAAATACTTACATTCGGATTCGGTGTTTTCGTTTCTTTTGTCGTCTCGGTTAATTCCCGACAATGATTCTTTCGCCAGACTTTTGAACAAAAAGTCCAACTGACTGTCCGCGTTAGAAGGCGTTGGACTCACTGAAGGCACTTGACTTGGAGTGGCTGATTTGTTCCTTTGTAAAGTACCATTCTTGCTACCAGTAGAGAGTACAGGACTGAAATTTAATTGTGTAATACAATCATTTATGTTGGTTTAAATTTATTTACCTATTGCACGATGCTCCACCAACAGAAGCCCTACCATATGAATTTACTGATGCTTTTCCGAAACTGTTGTGTCCGATAGAAGATTTACCGAAACTATTGTGACCGACTGAAGCTTTGCCGAAGCTGCTGTGGCTCAACAATCCTATTGATTCTGGTCCTAAAATGAAAGTGATAAAATCTGAAGGTATTAATGAACTTTTCATATACCTGTTGGAGTAGGAGTCGAAGGAGTAGGTGTAAGGCTTTTAGTAACATCGTCTTTCACAGTGTAATAGAGAGGCTCTGTAGGAGTTGCAGTTGATTTTTCGCTGCTGTTCGATGAGACTTGTTCCTTTTCCTTTTCGCGTTCCCTTTCGCGGAGTACGTGACTCTGGCGCCTCCCGTATCTAAATAGTACAAAATTATATTAAGTTAATGAATATTTAATTTTCTTGTTTAGGCAGCTTGCCTTTGACTTGGTTTTCTTTCTAGTTGGACAGTCCTCCTCGCTCTGTTTTGATATGTACTTTGATATTCCGTCCGTCCGGAGTAACGAAACCTGGAGCCCATCCGGAAAAAGTTTTGCCTAGCCGATGGTCCTTTGACGGGCGCGCGAAGCCTGAAAAATCCGTGATGCTCGACGGCGCATTTCCACAAATGTTTACAAGCTTTCTCGTTATGCAACCTAAGTGTAAAATACGAGTTTAGGCAAGATTTTTACAAATGAACCGTTAAATATATTGTACCTAAAAACGAAAGTGTGCTCTTGTTCTCTCCCTTGATCATCGTCTTCTACTACAACTAAAGTTAGTTTCTTCTTTTTAAAGTTCAATTTACTTATTTTCGGCCAAAAAAATAACCCGATTTTCTGGTTGGGCTCTTCAAACACTAGTATGCCCGTTGGAGTCAAACCTAATCTATACTCCATACTGTCTTTACCCTAAAATAAATAAGTTTAATCAGAATCAACCAGAACGATCCAGAATCATTACAGTTGCTTAGAATCATTTAGAACACTCAAGATTAATATATAACTATCTAGATCCACCTAGAATGTTCCAAAATCATCTAAAACTTTTTAGAATCATTTGCATAATAACGCTACATAATCATTTAGAACATCTAGAACAGTCTAAAACCATTTAGAACACTCCAGAACAATTTAGAACTATCTAGACTCATTTAGAACGCTCCAGAATCATCTAGAACTCTCTAGGATCATTTAGAACTGTCTAGATCAGTCCAGAACGCTCCACAATCATATAGAACTACCTACAAAAATTTAGGACGCTCCAGATTTATTTAGAACTGTCTAGATCAGTCTAGAACGCGCTCCAAAATCATTTAGAAATGTCTAGACTTATTCAGAACGCTCCAGAATCATTTGGATCTGTCTAGAACCATTTAGAACTGTCTATATAACTGTCTATATTTAGATCTGTCTTTTGCTTCTACCCTTTTACTTCAAAGTATATAAATGCTTCATTTTTATAAATATGGACTAATCTGTATTAAATATTTTATCTATTAACCAATTTATCTACATACCAATACTGTGTGCATATCCACTCCATACATTTCTAGCCACTTGACTTCATTTAGGTAACTTTGCTCGGCATTAGCAGGTGTCAGACCTTTGCATTTTTTAAATTCTTCTAGTATATCAATTTCCATATCTTCCGTTTGATTCGGTACGAATCTAAATTCGGAAACGGTGGCAGGAGTGTGCTGGGTTTCGTCATAATCGCCAAGCTCAGCTAGAAAACATCGAAATTATTAAACTGTTAATAATTTTAAAGTGTGATTTATACTTACATTGTAACGCCAAAGCGGATAATTTTACGGCTACATCATAAGGACACTCTAATTTACCTTCGAGCAGGTCCTGTTTCAGTTGCAGGAAAAATTGGTACCGTGTCAATTCCTCCCTGAGATTGTTTGGTTCGGAGGAATAAAATTTTACTTTTAGGCGAATCGTGTAAGGTGGACCAACTAAACAAACAAAATTAACTTATCAAAAATGCCTTTTATAGTTTATGCGATAGCAAACAGTAAACATGCAGATAAAAAATTATTACTTAAAAATTCTTTAAAGATTATCGAACGTTTTATCGCCTTTTTGAATGCTCCATTTGGAATAACTTACTTTTTATTTGTTTCTTTATTGTTTTCGTGGGATCCAGCCAATGTTTTACGTGATTAGCGTCCGTGAATTGCAATCCGAAATAGTCCTTTTCTATTAGATCCAATGAATAGAATACTTGTTCGTATAAATCTCTCGCTTTAGCCTTTTTCTATTAACAAAATTAATTTTATAGAAAAATGTTTGGAGCAATTAAATTTTACTTAAGATAAAATTTGAACAATTATTTTCCTTCAATCATAACCCATTATAACTATTACTATAATACTGCAGTTGGTTTATGTAATTGCGATAAGTATACAAAAAATAGTAATTAAAAGTTAGATAATAACGTGGTTTCCCACTAAATAAGGTCTGTTATTTGTTGTGTAAAAAATGTGGGAACTGGGATATACATTTCAAACAATTTAGAAAGTACCTACTTGAAACATTTCATTGGGAAATGAGAATCAGAGAAATACTAAACGCTATTGTTAACTTCCTAAAAAATAATGAATAGTTCAATTATCTGTAACGAATATCTGTCATTACACCAGAAGCGATTTGAACTGACACACTTTTTTATTTGTGGTTTTGCCATGTTTTACCGTATTTAAATTATACCCTGTAGATGTACTGAATATTTATCGGCTTATTTTCTTTAAAAAACCCTAAGTACGCGTTTATTTCATTTCAAATTAACAATTTAAATCATTACCACGTGTACCGAAACAAAATATTATGAAATACAGTACAGTACGCCTACACAAACAAATAAACTTTTACATCTGGTACGTTAATTCCGCGTAATCGAAATTAATAGTTAGTTATAACTTACCGATAATTCCACAGATAAATCCGTTCCATCTAATAATATGACTCTGCATTGCAATAAATTCTTGTTTATCACACTTTTATTCGATTTTGCATTTGTACTATTTGTAGCCCTTGCGTTCCTGGGCTTCCTTCCACTTAAGAATCTAAACATTTTTAGTAGATTTATTTCATATCACGATTACGAATGACCAAGTTACACGATAAAACGAACATTAATTGATTTTAAGGCAGTACTTTGATTACATTCTCTCACTTAATTGACCTAAAACATTCGAGGTAGCCATTTATTTTTTATGTCAAATATCGTTTACGTTTTAAAACGGTGTATGTCAAATGTCAAACTTTTGTTTTACGCCGTGGTTATAGTTACGACAACGTATCATTATAGTTCCTTACTGTACCATTAATAAAATACTAACAAATGACAATTTTTTTAGTACGTTTCTTATTAGTACCATTATACACTATTAAATTCAATTTAGACGACGAAAATTTTTATCTTTAAGCTATGTGTGTAGCTTCGGGACTGTAAATTTATACACTGTAGTTCATTGAAATATGTAGCCAACAAGTAGTCAGTTTTAGGGACAACCTGTTGATATGCTATTTGCTTACTCCTACTTGTTATGCAACTCTATATACCCAAAATTTCTATAATAAAAGAATCTTCACCCAGCAAGTGGCGACATTAAAAGTTAGTGGCGTATGAAAAATAAAGAATTTCGATTGTCTGGGACTGTGAATGATTACCAGGTTCTTCGAATTCGTATCGCTAGATGGCACTTCAGTTTGTAAAGTAACCATTTTTTATCCATTACTTACACACGATTAGACATGATTTAAATTTAGTGTTATTGAATGAATTTAGTGAAATAGTAATTTTAAATTATTAAAACAGTAGAGCATTTAATTAATTTAATAAATAGAACCAAAACTCTATAGTTTATTACTCCTTTGAGTAATGCATCAAACAGGGTCAAATCTGGTGTATACAGGGTACTGGGTACTCTTACGGATCGAAATCTAATAATATAGAGAGCACAGATTCCACAATAGTATAGCTTTTCGATGCATAAAAAATAGATTTTTAGATGTTCAAAGACTTTTATTCTCCTGACAATCAACAGATGTAATTGGACCTTTTATCCAAATTTATGTACTTAGTAGATAAACCTGATAAAGGAATTGGTCCCAATGAAAGTGTGAACTCAAAAATATGATTTGAGGAAAGGTGATTAAAATTTCCGATTAAATTGAATACCTAGACTGTTAATCAAAAATTAAAATTTCCAATTATTTTTCCCTCTCGGTATCTTTAAGTGAAATCCAAATTGGCCCAAAAAACTCTTAAGGCCATTTCCCTTTTTCCCCGACCATAATTTCTGCTGGCAGTTTACGAATTATCCAATTATCTTTCGGCGTTCTTTTTGTAAAATTAGGGAAATTTTTCATTAGCGTTGGAATTACACTCTTAAAGTTGTTAACCCTCAAATACGTTATAATAAATGACTTATAGTACGCATTTAACGCAATTATCACGTAACGAGCATCACTGCAGATCAAAATCATATAATTTCTTATATATAATTCAATTTAAGTATAGGTACATTTATTTACATTTTCTTTTTACCATTCAACAGATTTGCTGTGGAAACTTTGTGTAGGTATATTTGTCCTGATTCTGTTCCTTTGGTGGATTTCAGCTCCTCAATTTCTATTGATTGGCCCGCGAGTTAATTAATAATTTTCTTGTAATATAATTAGATCGTCGCCAATATTAATTTTGTTTTTGGCGGAAAAAGATCGTCATTGGATTAGAAGAGCGCTCTAAATTAAAATTAAAAGTATCCAGTAACAGAGTTTTTCAGACCAGACACCTCGATCGGATATCGCTTGTATCCTTATAGGAAAATTCAATTTATCTCTTAAGTTTCCAAATTAAGAACGCTATCAGTCTTGTATTTAAAAAGATATCGTCCTTTATCCGCTCGCGTAGAAAAACAAGGAAGCGAACACCCTCCTCTCGAATCCCAGGACGACGAAGAGGAAAAGGACCAAAAGTTGTGCAGAGTGTATTTTTAATGAATAAGGTGTATTCGAGGAGAAACAATTTTGAAAAACGACTTTCTTTGTTTCGTCGCCATTAACGACTAATTGCTACGTTTTAAATTTTAAGGTCTGAGATAACTTTTGACAATCTTTTGAATACGTATAATTTATTAGAGTTTTTTATGAAGGAACGGCTTCGTAAACAGTTTTAATGTCTTTAATGTCGGTCCGCAGGAGGCGATAATCGCTCGGTTTTCGCCAATTTATAACTTATACAGGATAATTCTATATAATTTCTTAATTCGCCCATTAATATTATCTTCGTAAGTACTGGTGAGTTAAAGGGATATAAAAAACCGCCTAATTTCCTCAAAGGTATATCCCAGAATAAACCGAAAGGGGTGCTAAACAAACAAGCATCGTTCGGCAGCATCTCTACCTGTAGCCCGTAAAGCAATGATCAGAATAAAGCGCCCCATAGAATATCCGTATCTCGATTGACCCCTAAAAATAAAAATCTCTCTCTTAACCGGTTTGACCGATTCTAAAGAAGGGGTTAAAAATAAAAATATTGACCCTTGATTTGCATACTGGCCTGACCAGTGTGGGAAAATGTTTTTTTAGAGGCGTCTGACGCTATTCAATTACACGATGGTCATTATGAAGCTCAGATGGGATAACGGTTTTTGGTATTTTTTTAATTTTTTTAGAGCAGATGCTATCCTGGTGACCAGGCAGGTAAAAATTGACCGAATATTTATCTGGTTTTATCAGATAGAGTGATGAATTTTTATGTATTTTCTTCGGATTTTTGCATAGTGTATCCACAAATTGTTGTCTCCATGACGTTTCCGAATACAATTCGCCCCTTTTCCTCTTCCAGCAATTCGAGCAAAATTAATGGGGTTAAAAAACAAACGGGGAAGATCAGAAATCAAAACAACAGTTTCTTATACAGACAACATTTTTGTTTATACAACTTACGATCAAAGAAATTCCGAAACGTAACAAATCATTAATAAAACCGTTCCGCTCGGCTGGTCGACAAAGACCCCAGCGCAAAAATGACTAGGCATCAATTAGTATACGCAAACGGACGCCCTCGGGCCGCGTTTCCAAAAATGCCGTCGCTCATGCAATAATAATTCGCGACCCTAAAAACGCCCGGGCATCAAAGTGCATTGCCGTTATTATTTAAAACGCTTATTCCGTAAGAAATTCCTGAAAACGAAGTCGACGCGGGGGGCCGCTCCCCCGCCTCACCAATCTCGGTATAGTGATTGATAAAGCCGAAGAGATATATCTTGGGGGAAAGTCGAAGAGAAAAGTCATCGAAAAACATCGAGGCCCGTCGACCGGGATCTTAATTATGACGGGGTAATCGAAAGGCAGCTACCAGAAAAATTATTTATCAGAGCCGGAATTGGATGCCTTTAATTCATCTCAAAAAAATTATACCAATTTTAAAATAGGAAATGAAGCATTACCGTTATTACCTAGTAGATGTCAATTACACCAGCAACGTTCATTCGATTTATGATTTATTTATTTGAAAGATTTGTAAGTCAGAACCAATATATGATTATGGTCTTACTTTACTTACATATTTTTATTAGGAAATTATTTTAGTTTTATTGGGATATAAAAATGTGGGAATAATAGAGAACTTTTCACTTTGCCACTAATTAAAGTCAAATCTGTTGCGCTGTAGACGAGTGGAAAAAACGGAAAAGTCGTAAAAACTATTAGAAAGTTGTCTGGAAAGCGGATTGAAAATTCGAGAAAGAATGAATTCGCCGAAGAATATCGCCAAAGTTCCGAAAGGTGGACGTAAAGTACAATGGAATACGGGGCCGAATAAGAAGGCTTTTTAATATTCCCTTTCGATTTGCAGCGGAAAATCAATAAAAACAAGGATCTCATTAATTTTTTGCCCTCTTTCATTAGCACAGGATTGGCTCAAGGAACACAAAGTATTTTGCCAGACGTTTTGATTTTACTAAATAATTGTAAACTTACTTTCTCTACATAATTTTGTATACTTTAAGATAATAAGCTCACGAGTACAATTATTACTACTTTGTAATTTTATCATTAGCTCAAGGATAATTAACAAAGTATGTATGTATATTTTTTATATATTTTAGAAGTATATTTTAGATGCACGGTCATTTCGTTGTAAAAAAAATCGGCTCGTCCAGAAATCGATGAAAGTACAACGAAACTTAGAATTTTCCGTCACAGCCGTACAATCGGACATTTAAAGGATTCGCCGTCTCGGTCGGGCGTCGAGTTTCTTTCGTTAGGCCGTCTCTTTTGTACTTATTATACGGCCGACCCTTTCGAGAAGTGTAAAAGTAGGGTGAAAGAATAAAAGAGGGGCATAAACGGGGGTGGTTTGGGGGTGGATTTGAAGTAAAAAAGGGGGCGAATTTACATCGGAAAGAGTTGATTGCTTTCCCTGAGAGGCGGCCATCTTACTTCTTTATTATTGGCCGTTGCCTTTATGAAAATACGTTAAAGTTTTTATGATTTTTCCGGCAGCGTGTCTTGAATTTTTCATGACAGGACTGCATTAAACGGATTTGAGTATACGTAAATTTTGAAAATTTTTCGAAAGGAATGCTTCGCTCGAGACTCTAAAGAACTGGGAGAAATATATATAAATATCTCCGCTTCAAAGAAAATCTTTTAAAATGCCCGGCTTTGAAACGATTCTTTATTAGGAAAATACGAGAAGTGGAAACCTGGAAAAAGCATTCTACTCTTGATGTTACCGGTTTTATTTTCTATTTACATTTTAAAATTACTGGGAACGTCGAGACGATGCCGTTTGTAAACAAGCCCGACAAGGCGCTTGTTTATTTTCACTGTGGAAAAAGAAAATTTTCTTGAAATTTATTAATTTAAAAAATATGTTAAGTGCAGTTCATCAAAGCTATGCATTCTAATTAAGAGTATGTTTGTATATTACCTATTTAATTGTTAACAAATTTAATCTTATTCTTTCTTGCGCTTTACCGAAATAAATAACACCTTTTGTATAGAATTAATTGTATTCAGAAAACAAACAACTATCAAGTAAGTTTACTTAATCAAAAAACTGACAAGAGGCGGAAAATTGAATTGAATTTATCCTGTGATTTATACAATTTTGTTGTTAAATTAAACAAAAGTTTCCTTAATAATTATCTATTAATCTATAAATTCGAGAAATCGAGAAACTAATTCTGAAGACGGCATTGTTAAAAGATAAG